TTAGATACGTAAAAGGTTCTAAACTCCAGTAAACAGTTCAGTAACAGTAAGCAGCAACACTCGGCTAGCTCACTCAGCGGAGGTTGAAACACTATTCAAAAATTCAATAGAAAACACAACCTTTGTTGAAGCTTCACTGTTTTTCACACACATTTCTCCAGTTTTCCCTTTATGTGGTGCTGGAAATGTCTATATTCGACCTGTCCAGGCTGCAGGGAGGCCTGTGGAAGGCATTAACTCTGTATACTAAGACATACCTGGCTTTGCTTTGCTAAAAGTTGTATTTACAGAGGGTCCTCAACTTCACACATCAACTATTAGCCTGGAAAAGTCCGAGAAATCAGCAGCTGCCATGGCAGACTGTGGATGACAGTTTTCTGTGCCTCTCTGTAAACAGTCCTTCACTGAACTGAAAAGATCAGAAACTGATCAAATTAAAAATTACGTTAACTGACATTACAAATACAACTAATTACATGGTCATTTTCTTATACCAAGAGAGCTCAGTCTGATCTCCTGGATCTGCAGAATTCAAATGATACCCTTGGTAGATAACAGTTATTCAAATGAGCATGACGAGCTTCAAATCCCTGAACAATCCTTCAGATATTTAACTCAGCAGCACACAGGCTCTCTCACTGAGGAGCTGGCTCTGGCCAAAGCTGTCATTATAATGGAAATCCCTCCACTGTCAGCAGTGAACACAGCAGCAGCAGCAGCAGCAGCAGCAGCAGCAGCAGCCTCAGACCTGTTGCAAATAAGCTCCAGGGAACAGGATGTTGCTTTCACCGTGGACTAGTTTGTCAAGAGAAACAGCCCTGCCTTCGTAACAGAACAGGAAGCTCCAAAGTGGTGCTCCACTTATTCACCAGACCCTGACACCCACATGCTTAAAGGTGAACAGGAGTGTGCAGCTTGGCCTGTCGGGTCCTGACTGGGCTGTGGTCAGAAAGGAAATGACTGTTTCCCTTCTGCTGTAACAACTCCACCGGTAAATTGGCCCAGGTTATTCAATTTAGGCGTCTGTACAAGGATGTGTGTGCTCCAATGGAGCACCTGTGAAAACAACCTTGAACCTGGGGACTTTATGATTGTACAGTAGACAGCAGTGGTCAACATCACTCAGTCTGGAGAGTTCAAGAAATGTCCATCCAAGTGGTTAGGCCTGAGATCCAAACTGGTGCAAGTTCCCCTCCCAAAAAAACAGATTCAATTTAGGTGAAGTTCTATAAGGAAAATCAACTAAAGTGTCTGTTGCCTCCTTGCACGGTAACCATGTCTAATGTTGTCAGGATCCTGACAGCTGTTGGCAGAGGCTGTACGACGATGAGTCACTGAGAAGTAAAAACTGTTCTGATGAATGACAGAGAACAAGTGGAGGAGCAGAGGGTGTTGAAAATCACAGCGTGACTCAAAATATCAATGTTTCCGACTGTTGAATTAGGCTACAGACATCTTCTTTGTGTGTGTGGTCCACAGTTCAGTGCTGTTTTTTAATGTTTAATGAACTTATAAAACAATCTGTCACTTCCCAAGTGGCCAAGGACTCGACTGCACTGGTGCTTTTAATTAGCAAACTGCAGACGGGAGTGTTCATAGTTCTGGGCTCTCAGGGCTGAGAACAAAGCTCTCTTTATCCTTATACCAGTTTAACCAATTCACTTTTACATAAAACACTTGTCCAAATGTGTCCAAGCATTTCATTGGCTCTCAGCTCAAAAACATCTTCATCACGTTCCTCTTCGTAGCCAGTACATCTCAGCAGAGAACTGCATTATTATTATGCACATCTATTTGGGGCCAAACGTGGTAGGTTCAGAAGGGGCCTGCAAGCCAGGGGTTTGAGACATCTGCTCCAGGTGAATACAATTAAATCCTTGTGCTTCAGTTGATCTAAAAAGTTGATTTAAAAATTTGACACAGACAATTAGAGTCAGATTAAAACTGTAGACACACATTCTCCTTCTTCAGTAGTGCTGAAACATGTGGTGCAGTTAGAAGACAAACACACAAAGAGAGAGCGTTTTAGAAGTAAAAGTGAGTGAAGGTTATGGAACAGGTATAATTATCTTGGAAACGACTCCTGAGGCCACAAACATGTGACTTCTAATCCCTCTGGAGTGAAGACGTAACAGGAGATGCAATAGATTAATTACTTTAAAATGCAGCCTTGTCATGTCGCATTTGACGACGACACCTGAAGCTTTGTCAAGGTTAAGTGTGTTTACCCTGCAATTATGAAAGCCCAGCTCCACACGGACTAATAACAAAGTATGTTCAAGTGTGGGATTACACAACGACAATGTCAGGGCTGAGGAGAGGAGCTGCTGTAAGAAGTGATGGGTCACACAGGTGGAAAATATGATGCAAAGTGAGAAAGACTTCTAAGAAGAAAGAATAAAAAGCTGACATGGAAAAGACCCCCCATAAAGAAAGAATAACATCAACATTTCAAATTAAAACTAAGTCCTTCTCACATAGAACTAAAAGTCAAAGTTGTTTATGTCTGATGTAGTTGGTTGTTAGAGTTAAACATCAGTCACCGTCTGTGTTGTTGGACGGCTATGATACTGGTTATATATAGACACCCATCCATGTTGACGTGCGTGTGTTTATGTTTATGACTAGGACGGCCTGAGGTGAACTAATATCCTGGAAATTAGACTCAAAACAACTTCAAAACAAAGACGGCGGCCAAAACTCTAACAATCACAATTGAGTCTGCCTGGAGGTCATTGCCACTGTCCAGATGTCAGACCGGTGTGTGTGGCTTCAACACACTGCTCAGAGACCAATGTGCAGATCTGAGTGTGAATCACTGCAGGAAAGGTAGATGAGTTTAAAAAAAAAACACACACACACACGACAGGAGGTAATCAGTGACATCCGGAAACTCTGTGAGTCACTTGGTTCATGTTCAGAACCAATGTTTACAAGTATGTAAATGTTTATGAATGCATGTAAGCGTGCTACTTTAAGCTCCTGAACAGATGTTGGAGTTTAAAATAGACCTATATATATGGCTGATGTGTCTGCTGCTCAGACCACTCTCCAGGCTGCACCTACACTTCAGATTCATGTAAATAAATGAAACGGAATTCAACTTTGGTTCTAGAGGGTAGCACAAGAAAATACTGGAGCTATGGCTTGTCGGATCATTTTGAACAGGTTCGTTTCAAAACACACAACGTTCTCCTGAGTAGGATCCTCCGAGTCTATTTCTGTGAGAAGAGGAAGAGCTCTCTTCGTTAGAAAGTCTCCATCCATCATTCATCTCTCTCTGGCCTGCGGAGAAGCAGGGAAAGCTCCTGTAAACAAACACAAGAAATGGAACACTGACACTCCACCTTCGGACCCCATGTTTACCGCCGGCTGTATATTCTTGGCTGGCTGTGTTTGAAAATATCCCCACATATACAAACAACTGCGGCTGTGTGGATGGGCCCCGAGCGTGCACCGTGCACGAGGACTGAGAGACTCAAACTAGTCTCAATGGAAAAAAGGAAATATCGACAATGGTCAAAATCATGTTTGAGCACCTTCGTAAACACCGTTAAACCGGGCCAATCAGGCAGGCTGCTGTGTACGTGGGGTCGGACTCTCAGAGTGACAACGCTGAGCCGTAATCACGTGTACCTGCAGTAATAGCCGGTAGAGGATGTTGGAAGCTTGGTGATGCTGCTGTGCTGTGATTACAGATGGTTTACTGATGCAAAACACATTCGGGAAACAAAGTGTTTGCAACTGATGATCCGTCCAGGAACAAGGTCAAGTCTTCTGTGCCAGGATTCAGGCTGAGTTCTGCCCTGAAGTAAATGACTCTCTGCCTGGGTTGTTAAGTCGGTGGTTAGGTGTGTGTTTGCGAAAGTGTGCAAGGCACAAAAATACAAGATTGGGAAATTGCCTCTCCAATTTGTATTCTGTTCAGCCACCCAAGACAGAGCTGCAGGCATTTAACAGCTACAGTACCACAGTACAGGATATTCAGGTACACTGACCACTGACTGGATGAGTCACTGACGGCTGCACTACAACGCTGTAACCACCCACTAACCTTGAAAAGGACAGACATTTCAGTTTCAAACCCACAGGGGATGGAGAGAAAAAGCTTACACTAAAAACTTCCCTTCTCAGCTAACAGATGTGAAAGCTCTTAACGGTTGCCATGGTAACGTTAAGTCTTTAGTGGTGTGAGGTCTACGGCCACCTCTGCTTTCTATGCACTTTATCATTAACAACCTACTACACTTGGAATTTTACAAATAAAACCTTGTTAAAACTGACTCAGTATCCGGGGGAGTTTGGAGGATTATCTTTTGTCATTGTCTCTTCAGTTTGTTTTTTTTTCCCCAGTGTTCGTAGAAACCATTCATCTCTTTGTTACGCATGCACCAGTAAGACTCTTTAGCATTTTTCTTAATCAGCTCTTCTATGACAAGAGCAAAAAGAAACCATCAACTGTCTGGGACCTTCAGCAACACACGAGATGATCCGTAATGGTCTAGGGCTGCATTTTAGGCCTGTAATACGACTACAGCTCCGCAGGCTGTGGAGTGATCATACCGGTGGGTTTGGGTATCACATTTTTTGACGCGTCTCTTAAGTTCCCATAAGGAAACAAACACAGACAGACAAAAACACCTCTTTGTGTGAAGTTCTTCTAATGTGTGCATGAGCTCGACACAAAGAGCCAGGGCAGCACTCTTGAACACGGCTTAAGCTTCTTTCAAGTTGTTGCAGACAACAGACAAAGACATTTCATTCAATAGTAAACATATGATGGCCCAGCGCCACCGCTCGCTCAGGAGGAGTTTCCAGAGCTCAGTCAATGTTAAAAAAAGGCTGTTGACTTTTTATAATTATTATTATCAATTCCTCAAAATTTGCATCAAATAAAAGTCAGAGATATTTATCATAACAGATGGTCAAATACAGCAGATGAAATTTAGAGAAAAAAAACAAGGACTTGTCCTTTTCTTTTTCCTAATTACCATAAAGGACAGACCAGATTATTTTTTTGTTCTGTTTCCTGATTTCTTAGCCATGGGAAACATTCTTTCCTCCTCAGCAGATCAAAGAGGAGCGGCTCAGATGCCAGGGGCCAAATCAATTACCCTGAACAGCCATTTGCACTGTCCTCTCCCCTCTGACACCCCAGAAGAAAAGCTGGGCCCTATCAAAGGCTGCAGGAGCCATCAACCAGCCAAGAAAACTATTTTCCTCTATTTCACTTTATTGTTACCTTCCCACCACTTGTTTTCTTTTCCTACGCTATTAATGTACGACTTGACTTTCTCCTCTCATCCGTCTTTCCTTTATTCCCTTTTATCTGACCAGCTTCACACAACCACTACGTTTCAGCTGGCACTTGAGGTCCATCAAAAAACCATTGTCCTTCCTGAAATTACCATGAAATGAAATTCTCTATCAGTGCCTTTGCATCGTCCTTCCTGAAATGACCGTGAAATGAAATTCTCTATCAGTGCCTTTTTAACTGACAGGGTTTGAATATGGGGTTCAAACGGGTCCTTTTAAATGAATACATCAGATCTCGATAAGACAAATCCTATTCTTTCAACATGTGTGACCCTTTGGATTAAAGGTCACAATTTAAAGCTGTAACAATAAAAAAAAAAAAATTAAGCACACTATTTGATGAGTTTTCAATCTCTGTTAAATAATTCTGTACTACCAATGCAGACAGACTCATGTTCTGGATAAATACTCTAAGATACAGCTGTGAAAGTACAGCACAGTAGCTTTCAGGCTTAGCTCAGGGAATATTTCCACGACAGGATCCCTGGTATCTTTGCAAATTAACAATGCAAAATGAAAGATTCTTTTTTTGTGTATTATTATAGCTATTTTCTGGACAGACTGCAAAAGATCTGATCATTTTGTAATTAAAAATGTCTGACATTGTCAAGATTGTTTTTGTTCTAAGATCAAAACTCTAATTGTGAACATCCAAAAGCATGGAGCAGTATTATGTCCTTACAGAGACATCCAGACTATTTATTTAAGATTCATGTTTATCCGTTCAATAAAATTGCAACAGAAAGGAATGTACAGAATGTGAAGAGCGCTCAGACGTCCTCGACTCTGAACTCTTTTTACTGAATTCTTTTTACGGCTGACAGATTTTTTTCATATCAATTTTTTTTATTTGAACGAGGGTCGGGCTTTGAATAACCATTTCTGTTGTGTTCAATTTTGGACGAGGGTCTTTGAATAACCATTTCTGTTGTGTTCACTCTTGAGTTAAAACTTCCTGAATGTTTATTTCAAAAATGTTAATCCTTACCGGTTTCTCCTGGAAGACAATCTGTCGGAGCCACTTGAAATCCAAAGGTTTGAAAGCAGAAAAAACAAAAAGTGAGTCTTTCTCATAGTTTTCAGGTCTTTGCATGGCTCCCTCTGGATATGTAATTCTCAAGGTGGTTTTGGTCCCTACGTCTTTGCGATACCCTTTCACTGGTGCCTCGTTTAATCTACACAGAAGAGAGAAAATGAAAGAAAGTCCATTTTGTTTGACTCATGGTTGCAGCATCTTCTCCTCAGAGGTTCCATCTTACCTTATTACAACATCGTAGTCATCTATACGGGGGCCCAAGGATTTGTTGGACAGGATGCCACCGTTTCCCACAATGATACATTTTTTGCAACTGAGACTGAAAGTTGAGAAGGTCAGAGGTTAAATATTTTAAACACTGATAAACAAAGAAAATGGACATTCTCTTGGTGCAGGTGGGAGTCGGCCAATACCTGTCCATGTCTTCTGTTAGTCCATACATTTTTGTGGTTGTTAAAATGCTTTCGATCAGTTTCTCTAAAATAGAGAAAGAGGAAAAGATTTGTATTATTATTTCTGCACAAAACCAGAGAGTCCAGACACAAAGGAATTCCTGTTCAGGTCTCACCCTGGAGCCTAGTTCAGACTTAGGTAGTAAAGTACTGTACTGTTGTACTATTGAGCAGCTGGCTGGCTTGAAGGATGATTAAGGATGAGTACATTTTAAAAATAAAACATATTTCAGACTTTATTCTGTTTAGCATCAGAGATGTATTTCTTTAAAAATGACGGATTATCTTTAAAAGAAGAAAGTAAATGATGAATTCTTTTCAGTCTGATCTGTTAAAGCTGGGCACCAAATGACAATGGACTGGTACTGCTCCATGAACCAGATGTTGAGGACCCCTGTCTAACCCAAATGATTAGTCAATTTCCAGGCTCAACTTTTTTGTAACAGCTGAAGGATGAACTTGATATAAAATGTTCTGCAAATAAAGACAACAGACGACAAGTCTCTGAAAGTCTAGAACTAACATCAGACTCTCAAAGGAAGACGAGGGACTGAAGTGGAGAGTGAGAACAGAGGGAAATGCTCATTTGAAAGATAACCCTGAACATATTAGCAGATACATAGCTGCCTAGGTGGTCTTATGACAGTCGGAGGTGAGAACACCTCTCTCCGTTTATCCACTCACAGATAAGAGTGACCAATCAGAAATGGAGGTGATGGGATTGAGGCAGAGAGGAGTAGATCTAGGAGAAACAGATGTACAGGGTTCCTGATGGTGTGTGTGTGTGTGTGTGTGTGTGTGTGTGTGGAAACTCTCCCATAAAAGCACTCAGAGAGGAATGCTGTTTTCAAACAGCACATTCTCCTGGTAAGGTGGGCGCTGGTAAGCTAGCGTGGCCGACATTCTTCTGAATGCAGGGTGAGAAATGGGGATGTTTTAACTCCAGCACACATTCCTGCCATGTTCTACGGGGCTTTCGGCTGCAGTAACACTTCCCTTATTAGATTATTGCATAGATTTCCCTCTTCACTTCACCTTTTTAGGTGCTCTGATACTTGGTAATTCATTTGTCATAAAACCACAGAACGCAGACACCGTTACTGTTGATGCTACTCTTAATCCGCAGCACTGCTGAGGCAGACACCATAGAAGGATAACATGGAACACAACGACACAATGTTTCATTATTTCAAAGCATCCCAAATCAGCATCACCAGAAGGACCAAGAAAAGAGCAAAAGTGAGAGTGAAGTGACTGTTGAGAGGAAGAGGGCGCTGGCGGCTCATGGCTGTTGAGACAACGACCCTAATGATTAACCTGCTGAGGAGAGGCCAGCAGAGCAACAGTCAATTGTTTGGATGTGGTGTCGATGTCTGGCGTCAAGCATCACCCTGAGCAGCATAAACACAATCGGCAGACCACACCTGGATCCAAGCGGGCGAAACGTGAAATATTACAATGGGCAGAACGCTCCTCCAGAGGACGACATGGAAGCTAATTGTTTTAGGAGCAGAGGTAAACATTTCAGCAAAGTATGTCTCACCGTACAGGCAGAGACAAATGGTTGCAGGTTCAGACACTAGTTGGACACGGCGCTGAAATAACAAATCTTTACAGGCAACAACGAGGAACGACACAGGAAGCTTTGGGTAACATCTAAACACAGACGCAGGGATGGGAAAGGTAAAGCCTAAACAATGGAAAGAAAAAAAATCCTGTGATGAAAAGTCAATGCGCATTTCTCATTCCAACTCCAACTCTTTGTTTGGAACTGAGTAACAAAATACACCGTTTGATATTTACCCAAACAGAATGAGACTCTCTGTGAAGATGCTAAATTGTAAGATCTCTCCAAAAAGATGGATTTGATTTTAAAAGAAGAACTAAAATAACAACTCCCTCAGTGTCTCACTGAGTTCACATCATCAACAGGCCACTCAGCCGTTTTATATATATGTATATATAATGCCTTTTCACTTGTCCCCAAAAGAAAATAAATGCTGCTCCGTCATGTTCCGATTCCAAGTGTAATTTAATTAAAAAAAACAACATTTGAACTGTACATTTTTTTAACCCTCTTGTTGACTACTTTTATTTTTAGAACACAGGGACAAAAGGTAGTCCAGGAAGGCTACGAGGTTTCCCCAGGGCACCACGTCGGTGATCCCTGGTTTAGATAAATCTAACCAAAGACCTTCAGGAGTTAGCTGGCGTTCTGACAAGTGAATGTTCTCTGACACTATGTCAACACAGACTAACCATTCTCAGTCTTTTGTTGATGCGTGCCCATAGATGTCAGATTAGGAAGTAAAAATAAAACTGCTGCCCTCCACAACACCTCTCTGTGCTCCCAGTTTGGAATCCTTTGTAGCGTTCCAGTCCAAATCAGCACGTATCATCTCTACACATGGGCACCGCTCAAAGGGGAAAGCCCACCGCCATCGCACGGCAATGAGAAAGAAGAAACCTGGTGGAACAGGGTGAGCTCTTTTGACGACTTGTTGTAGTGCACCTGTAATGTGCAGATGTGCATGCGTGTGTGTGTGTAAGTAAGTATGACAGTGGAGAACTTGCAGAGGCACAATGGTCACATTCAGTCTCCCTTCACCCACAAAGTATTGGAAAATATGTGAAATGTGTTAAATGTTATCTCTTGACTTCCTGTGGTATTCAGTGCTACAGTGTGTTAAGGTCAAGGAACAAACACAGAGAATGAAGACGTGGAAGTCACAATGTGAGCGACATGAGTGCTCTGCCCCCAGACAAGAACAACCAAGTAAACAAGTGCTTGTTCCTGAGGAGGAACATTATGTAACAAGTGTGTGTTCATGTAAGAATCCTAAAATGACCGCAGCACAGTGAAGTAAATGAGTGAAGGGCCACCCAGGTAGACCAACAGAGGGAACTTTAACTCTGGAAAATTACTCTGGTCATTAATTGGACCGATAACATCGGTGTAATAATAAATGTAATTAAAGTACCAATACCAATACCAATACTGCAACTTGGAGCATGTAATTAAAGTACCAATACCAATACTGCAACTTGGAGTATCTGTCAATACTGATATCAATCAGATACCTAGGTTAGGACAGGTATCTATGTCAGGCCTGTGTTGATCCTCAGTATCAGCCTTCCCTAGATTCTAACATCACTTCATCAAGTTATCACAGTTTTATGTATTTTAAATTTTGATTGTTGGCCAAAGACTAGAAGACAACAGGTCGAAGGTGCAAATATTTTCTTACCTTGTGTTTTAAAACCAAACGGAGGTAAATAATTTCTAACTTTGCCAAGTTGCTTGAAGTTCCGATCAAGAAACATGGGCGCTGGTTTCACAAACCTGCAAAGGAGAAACAAAACGTGACAAATAAGCCATTTCTTGTAGAATGGACCTCCTCTCCCGAGCATGTACAATAACCTGAGGACTCCCATGTGATTAGTTCCATGTGTAACCAGTGCTAATGGTCTGCACGGTGTTTAAGCCACACAAAAATAAACTGAAACCTTTGCGCCGTCATCATTAATCTCATAACATTCCAAGCTCCTGTGCCCTGCCTAGCCTCCCAAAACAAGCACATTAGCAAGGTAGCTTCAAAACTAAGAACGGAACACAAACTGAGGAGGCAAGGAGTCACAGAGCGCAGCTGCAGCGTGTAACCCATCATCATAACCTCTCCAACCAGGCTTTAATCACAGCTGAGGCACAGTTTTAGGAAACCTGCAGGGACAACACACTCCTGCCAGAGTATTTTCCCTCAAATCATCTTGGACGAGGCTTTTCACTCAAATGGTCCCAAAGTGTGAACATACATCCACTGGAGCATCTGAGCCAAATGTCAATTGGTTTCTGGTTTCTAACCCCCCGCATTGTAGACCATCATCCAGTGGTGCAATTCACCAACTGCTAACTTTGAAGGAGAGTTGTCCAGAATGACCAGCAGAGATTTTACAAAGAACATTTGGATTTAAGTTCCTTTCTCTCTGACCTGTCTCTGTCCTGATTATTACATTTGACAGTGTTGTTTTTTTATACTTCAGTTTACCTTTCAAATTGAGTAATTAGTGAAATACTTCAGATGCTACATGAATAAAGGAGGGAAGAATTTATCACAACTGGTGACATTTGTTTAGCCTTAACTATAACAGACGGGGTGAACATGTTGAAGCAGCTACTTTGGATCAGAACACGGAGCTTTCGGTTTCAGACAATATCACATTATTAACAAATACTCATTTAAACACAGTTTCTTTTTTTAAAAAAAAAAAATTCTCATCAAAGTTCTACTTCCCTCTCCTTATCTTGTGTCTGCTCGAGTGTGTGCAGGTCACACGTTGATTAATTACCGCCCTAAAATCAAAAGAATCCATTTCCTCTTAGTAACATCGTGACCCTAGTGGTAGGATATGTGCCACTTCTGCAAGTGTGTCTTCAAGATGGATGTGTGTTTTCATGACCCGCTGTCATGCTGGGAGAGAAAGCATGCACAGGGCACCGAGGGTACACCTTTACTGCATATGAGTCTGGGTTTGTTTAGGAACGTTCTGGAAACGACGAGGAGACCAACAAAAACGGTGCAAGTGTTCTGTTCATGCTGTGAGGCGGTTACACGGAGTGTTGTACTGTCTCATTAACTGGAACCAGACCACCAGTAAGTCCTGCATCTGGCTGCAGGGCTGATGACTGCTCCTTCTCAGCATCCATAAACTATGACTGCAGATGCTGACAGACCACACTAACTAGAAAGAGACATTTTAAACTCTGGAATCAAGTGAGGACACATGGATAGGACAACATTCGCTCAACGCTACGGACGCTTTCAGAAGACCTTGTTAGTACAACTCTGCAGCTGGTTCGTTGGTTTGACATGGAGGGTTGATTACAGCACGGTTTTGAAGCAACAACGCAAAGGGACAAAAAGAAGAAGCCACAAGGTCACAGTTTTTCTCTAATTGAGTAGAGAAACCCTGCATCATTGAAGTTTGGTTTTATCCTGCACACAGAACGGCAGTAAACTGATGTACGCTCAGAAAAGCACTGTCCTCTGATGAAATTTACAAATATACCTAATCAGCACAGATGTAAAAACATAGGAAATGCCTCCTCAGGCTGATTGGAAAGATAGTTTCAGGAGAGATACAGAGCCAAGGAAAACACCCAAAGACATTTAATCCAAGCATAGAACATCAAATGGTCAAAGAACAATAGAAGCCTGGTAGAAAGCCACAGTTACGATGAGAATGTTCTTGTACCAATTTGAACATTTTAAAGCTTTTTTGAAAATCTGATTTATATGAAAAACAGTGTTAAACTGTTGTCAGTGTCAAATAACCTTAGAGATTCTGTAGTTAGAGTTTGCTTTTTGGAAGGACACCAACAAATCTGTTCTCCGTCTTTTTCAGGTTGTATGCAGGGTGCTCTCGTCTCTTTAATGATCCTACACAGGTGCACACATATGAAGGCTCATTCACTTCTATCCTGCCAAAAAAGGGGGGATTCATTAAAGCCAAAACTAAAGCCGTGTGGGGCTATAAATAACAGAGAATCACTGAACCCTGACCGGCAGTCAGTCACTGACATCCTGACAAAGCAGAGATACAGCGGGCGGCCTGTTGTTAACAGACAGCTCCCCAACACAGCCAACAGGCCCAAGATGCATCGTGCTCACTTCCTCTGCTGCATCCATTTCTCACTGGCAATATTTTCATAACCGTGCTGCTTCAAGTTCAGTGCCAAGACGTGATTAAGAGTTCCAATGCAAACAGTTTTGGGTAAAGCAAGGGGAAGGGTGGCTGAGCAAAATAAATTGGGTTCTGCAGGGGCAAGGGCCAGGGGGGAAGGCAAACATGGAGGAAGCAGAAGATGATTAGAGAGAGGGCCACAGGACCTCAGTGATAAGGGGTTAAGTAGGTTGTCTCAGGGAGTGGAACTGGCCAGACCAGGGTTCCCCAAGCTTTTCTGCAGCATGCAGTTTTATCTTCTTTATTATTATAACTTATTAAAAATTATATGTTTGTGCATATTATTTTGTATATTATATGTATATACATGTGCAAAAATATATATACATACATTCCTAAACTTAAAGTGGGTTATAATGGCGCACGAGCTACCCTCACTCAAACCTAAAACTGGTCCATGGTGCAGAGAAGATCATATAGTTGCCCCTACTCTACTGGTCTCTGTTTAAATCACAAATGTAAAAAAGGCTCAGATACGAAAACAGAAATCTTTGGTTTGGTGTCATTGTGAAACAAACAAATAGTAAAGTAGTGCAAACACAACTAAAGCTCATGCATAAAGCATATACATCTGCACAGGTTGGCTAAATCACTGCATTATTCTCCTCATTGACCTGTGTGCAATTAGGTTGAAGGTGGTAGCAATCACCCGGCTCCTGGTGGGGGTTCTTTGTTGAACACAACTTTGATCCGACACGTGCGGGTGATTAGCGGAAGTCTTTACCAGGGAGGACATTGTTAACATGCAGCCTCTCAGATAGGGAGAGGGCACACCATGAAAATGCTTTGTCTGTCTGGTTAAGCGGGTCAGGGCAGATGATATTTGTAGAAACACATGCTCCTATTATTTCAAAACTCTAAATTCGGAGAAGCATAATAACACGAAGTCTACAATATTTTCTCACATGGAGATTTAACTCTGGGCGTGCATCTCAAGGCTGTAGTTGATATAATGGGAGTTATGCTTAAAATTCCTCACAATCCTTCATAACTTGACCTTAAAGTACCAAGAACTGCAGCTAAGCAATGCATATAACGGCCCCTTTTTTAGCCTAGCTTTGAGAACATGTTACAATGTTCCATAGACAGAGCTAACACACGCATAGATAAATCAAAAGAGCCAGTGACATCAGGCGGTTTGTGTTGATTGTGTAGGCCGAGTACCAGGAAACTCCTGATGAGTCAAGACAGGAAGCTGGTTGGTGTCACTCATAGAGGACGCCTCTTATACTGGTCGATACGGCCGGGGAAAGATGGAAGAGTTTGTACTCGGCCGACAAAAGTTCCATTATGTGCCAGGATCACAAGGACACAGTTGAGGTTTTGTGGTGGGAACGGGAGATGATAGAAACATGATTAAAAACTGAGGGAGATTGTAGAAGATTGTGCCGGCTTCTCTGTTTCTAACTCAAAAGCCCTGAAGGCGAAGTAGGGCTCAGGGAATGACATCATGCATGTTGGTATGCTGGAGTGAAAGTTTTACATTTTCTTTGAAAAATCATTTGTCTGCAATGCAGTAATGTGGGAAAGTCTTAAGTTACTAAAAAAAAAAAAAAAAAGTTGTTGACTTATTTAAGCGTTGATTAGTCATTTTTCAACTGACACTTTTTTTGCGGCCCTTACACTGGACATTCAACACATTTCTACAGAAGTTATCTTCAATAAGACATGAAAAAATAAAACAATCTTCCTCACTTAGGATAGATGGAGGTCATCTTGGCTGCTGTGTATCCTGGCTTGCACACTCCTTCGCTGAGGTTGCCATATTTGTACACCAATTCGGGCGGCCTATACATTAACAAGGCAGAGAGAGGGAAGGAGACAAAGGGAGAGAAAGTGTGTAATCAGACACATCATGATAACTGATTATCAATCACTCGGACACATTTCAAAGCATCAAAAGCCCGGCTTGTCAAACAGTCTGCTGCACATGGAGGGAAACACGATACTTAGAAAGTCAAAGAACTCAGCAACAGCTCAGAGTATCACTTGTGTGTGGCAAGACAACGCAGAGAGGCCTTGTTTAAATAATCACCCTGACGGTGCTAAAACTAGAACCCTCCAGATTACCAGCGTGATCATTAATAACCTGATGAATGCTTCCAATCTAGTTTAAATAAACAGGGAGATGGGAGAGAGGCCCATGCTTTGGTGCTACGTGAGGCCCGAAAATCAATGTCGGGACGAGAACGGGCCTGAGAGCAGCTCGACAGTTCACGAGGTGAATCTGTTCTGTAAGAACATGTCCAGTTGACCGCTTGATATTTATATATTTTTTGACACTAGTAAACTGTAGTGTTGTGAAAAAACAACTTGTTATGAAGATGTAGAGCTGGGGTCACCAACTGAACGAGGGCCAGAACTTTTCTGGACAGAAACCTTACAGGCTGGACACATGTTTATGCTGGAATCCAGTCAAAGGTTCGATTGTTGGTTCAATACCCAGTATGTTACAAATAAACGTCAGACACAAGGAAAAAAAAAAAGGTCAGATAAACAACCTATTTATGATTTTTTTTAAATAAGCAATGCACCTTATTTCCATAGATGTTAATTTGAAATATGAAATGTAGTTTCATGTTTTTTATGTACTCACAATTTTGTATCCAGCTGCAGCAGAAAGCCCTGCTTGTCGTACACTGGAAGAGAAAGCAGACAGAGAATACGAGAGTTACAACACATTTGTACAGAGCATTGCAGGGGAAGAAAAGAAAATGGCACCTTTGGGGCAGACACTTCATCAGCACAGGCCATCCAGCCTATTCATTCTCAACTAACAGCTACATTAGATGGAGTAAACAAATATCTGCATCTCTCACAGGTAAAAGCAAACATGTCAAGGGAGAAGCATAAGAATTCAGGGTAAACAATACACAAAGAGTTAGGAAGAGGCAGCCAAGACAATCTGTTGAGTTTGGAGTTAAAAAGAAAAAAGTTGGCAAAGAAGATTAGAGATCACCTATGGACAACCAGAGGTGCAGCCATGAGGTGCCTGGCTGAAGCAAACATTAGCAGTGGTACTGGAGTTATTCTGTGTGCATCAAACAGTTTGACACTTAATTATAAATAATTAGTATCTAGATCAACTATTAGCATCAATATGAAAAGGTGTAACATGACAAGCATTGGTTTGGATATAGGAACAGATACAGCTTTACTCCTGTGGGTGTGGATCTTGTCTTCACAGAGAAGCTGGAGGAGAAAGATAAAGAAAAAGGGGAGAATGGGAAATGCATGGCAGCTGGTTAGGGAGAGATCCAAGCACTGCACTGGAAGATAGGGACTCTGCCATAAAAGCAACAATGTGTGTGAATTATGTTTTTGAAGAAAAAATGTAAAGCAGCCAAAGGGACAAATAAAGGAGAAGAGTCAGGAAAGGTTTAAACCGCTAACAGAAATGCAACCAAAACTCCTGCAGACGCCTTCAGATGTCAACCATTCGGTACCCGTGAGGGACAACAGAGGGCAGTGCTGTACCACACTACAGCCTCATGGGAAGGATTGAGCCCCAGAAGGACTTTTGTTACAGTTTGTGCTGTTTAGTACAATCTGTCACCTTCTAATACAATAAAACTTGAATCACTTTTAACAATGTTAATGAAATTAATTTAATAATTACACCTTATATGTCTTAGGGTTTTTTTTCTCTGCCCTGCATCCTGATCAATACATCGTATTCCTTGAAGCTGGGATACTCTTTGTCATTTAGATTCCATGATGGCTGTGTGGTTTTGACCATAGTCTCACTAATCCCTCAAAATTCTGTCATTATATCTTGGAATCCCATCAACACGTAACAAGTTTCCTTGACTTTCTACTGTAGCAGTTGAAGTACTGCAGGGATTTTATTTTTTATTATTGTTTCTTGTGCCACATGGACGACAAAGAGGTGAAGTTAGGTCGGGGCTGCGGCGGTACCTGAGTCTACTATTCGTCCCACGTTGTCTTGTTCCACCTCTGAAACACAAAAGTGTCAGTTAGGACTGTTTGAGGTCAGTCTGTTCATAGCAGCACTGGAGTTGGAAAACTCAAGGCAGATGTAATTGTGATTGTGAATCACAGAGTAAAGGAGCGACAGGAGAAGTTAGTGCTCTTAATACCAAAGGAATTAATTCCGATTATGAGAGGTCCGCATGAAGTGTCAAAATATTTGGTAGAAACTCACCTTCTGATGCAGCGATTACTATAGCAGTAAATTAGGTTTTCAATTTAAAATAAACAAGTGGATTGTACGAACATCTATGATTACAAATGATGATGATAGATGGGTAAAAGTGGAAAATGGAGAGCTTTCATTGTTGAGTTAGCAGGGATTTATAATCCAGAGAGGAGAAACACACACCAACAGAACAATTCAAAAATAAATAAACGCATCACAACAGTCACCCAGGATATAAAGGCAGAGTCTCATTGCCTCTACCTGCAATTCTTTTTACTCCAGGCCCTTTAGGCATGACTACAGTCGGCACGACTTCAGCATCCTTCTCTGTAAACAAAAGGTGAGTTAAGACACTCAAGTCAGATTATTGTGGCTGTAGACGTTTCAAAGCAACTCTTCACCTGCATCAGTTAAACAACACCAGCGAGTTCGACATCTGCTTCAGCAAAACAAAGGCAGCTGCTGTGCACAAACACAGACGTTCACGAACAATAAGCACACGCTGACACAGAAGCCAGAAGAACGGACGCATCAGATCTCCGCTGCCCTACGTCGGTTCATGACACTTGACACTTCATCTTCATGACACGAAGATGATTTCATTAAAAACCATTTCCTGTCCTATCATCAACAAAAACACAGCCAACAGTCCAACTTCAGCAGCAACAGGTCCCACAAAGCAGGAAAAGATGAGAACACAAACATCAACAACTATTGCATTCACACAGGTTCTGATGCTGGAATACGGTCCATACACTGCTGCTAACGGTAACTATAGAAACAAGTCAAGTACCTTTCTTGAATTTTTATGATATATATATTTAATAAACCAATAACCACTGTTAGTGAGGAAATGTATATAATAATAATAATAATGATAATAATAATATCTGATGGGGGCTGATATCCTTTTCTCACCCTGCAGGTGTTAATGTTAAGTGTTACTTCACACTCAGGAGGTGGCGCTGTTACTACCATCTGAGGAGAATTACAGCTACTCTGCCGCCTCTCCCCTTGAGTAACCAGGTGTAAATTGTATGTAAAAATGACAAGGCCCAAGTTCCTCCATTAAAAAACACACACATTTTCAGCAGCCTTTCCTGAAAACTGATGTTACCGTTGTCAACCACCCGCAACTGATTTTTACCACAGAAAAAGATACCAGTGACCTGACAGGAAAGGCTGTCGTTACCTTTACAGACACAATGTTTCAGAAAACATTAACATACTCTCTGTACAAGCACACACCCACACACACACACACTCCTGGCAGTTTGGTCTAGTTTTTCTCTAACTGCATTCTCCGTGCTTCTGGTCCGACTGCTAGACACTGTGATGAATTGAAAGAGCAATAATGTTCTTCTTGGACAGACACGGCAGCAATAACAGAGTTCAACAAACACCCAGAGGAAAGTGACATCATTTAGGTTGTTTCAAGAATGGCAGCTTCTTAACTAGCAGTGACAAAACAACTTCAGGCCGGGGTTTGTAAAGGCTAAAGCAACGTGCTAATGCTGGTCAACTGTTTGAGCAGAAACAGAAGCAATGAAAGTTGGCAAGCAACCCTGCAGGGTGGAAAAACAGGCATGTTTTTGAGTCTGTAAAACGTAACAAATAAATAAATAAACAGCTTTGTTGTCATATTTGTTGACCTTCCAAGATTCTGGCTAACTTTATAGAAACACTCAATTAGAGCTGGCGTTGTTATAAGAGTGCTCTCCAGTGGGACATGACGTTACTGCAAAAGTAAAAAAAAAAAACAGAAATGCAGCTCAAAGCAATTATCTTTGAAATAGAATGTGAATCCTGTGTATATCTTTGTGCTCTTTAAATGTCACTGTACAGGATGTCAAACATTAGCAAGCATCAGATATGAATCACTGAAGTTTCTGTTGCAGACAGAAGACGTAGCTGATCAGATTTGTACTACAGAAGGACAGAAGAAGTGTTGGAAAGACACACGTAGCTGAAGCGGCCATGGGGCTCCCATCACTATATCAAGTTGCAGGAGTCAAACACCAACATCGGCTGACAAACAAGCGGTCACATGATGCTGCTGTGAAACTAACACTAGCAGTGCCATTAAATAGTAAAACCAAGTAAAGTCAATCAAGTGGCTACAGGGCCTCAGTGGACGTGAACTCTTCCCTCACATTTCTTTTAGCAAAAGGTGAATTCCCCAAATATGGTGATTATATTTACAAGGCAGAGTCAATTTAGCTTAAAGGGCACAAGGGCAACCTTGACCCGATCTTGCTCCCCCTGTGTCACGTTGTGTACAGTGGGTGGAATGAAGTCTTAATGTAGATATATGCTCACACTTAATCTTTAACATAAATCAAGAACCAAGAGAAGAGATTATCCAGAGTTGATCCTCTCAGAGTGACCGGCTGGGCAGAGGGAGAGGAGACACAGTCAGAGGCTCATCTGTCCACTTTGACCCTCTTAACACCAAACATCTGGCATTATCGTACTACAGAACGCCAAGAATTCTGCCGTCAAATGTCCCCTCCGTCTAATGCTCTTCATCTGTGCTCTAAAGCAGAAACGATTTTTAAGCACATCATAGTATATCATGATCCAATGTAAGATTATCACAAAACCCCAAAAACATATAGTTAAGAGAAACCAGTACAAGTTTGTTTTAATCATTGATTTGAATCTCAACTTCGATCTGATTTCTTTTATTTTGAATGAGAATGTCTTTGTCGTTTTTGACATTTGGGAATTCATTTATAAACCCCATTTTTGTAAAAAAGTAAAAACACATTTTAGAGGTGTAGAAAAATGAAACATATAGTGTTCAATAAACTATGTTATATTGATCAAGCGCATGCTTATAAACTGATGTTTATAACGAAAGGCGAGGGCATCGAGATTATGAATTAAAAGGAGCATCGACCATGAAGAGAAGTTGATGTGACACAGAGGGAACTGTTCAATTTGCAAATGTTTTCATGCCTAGAAAAAATATAACAGTCTGTTCTTTGTTCTTCTGCCTATTAAATAATATATTAAACAACAAGCTTGGAAATATTTGTGTGACTAAAAACAGCCAAGACACAAGTCAGCGCTAAGTATTAGAGCACAGGAGAAAGATTGTCACGCTTAAGTGAAATCTTTTAGCCCCCTCTGCTGGACTGAGAGGTATTCCACAATGTCGCCCCACGGCTTAACAGTTTCCCAGAGAGATAAGTGTAACAGGGCCCTCCGAAGAGGAACCTGGTACGTGTGCGTCGTTTTGTTACAGATTTAAATTTTCTAGTGTGAACGATCGGTTTCAGAACTTCTGTGATGTTTTTTAATATACCATTTCCTCATTTTAAAACTAAACAGAAGACTATCAACACGTAGTACTTTTTATGGAGAAGTTTGGCACCATCAGCAGAGAGACTGTGAAAATAAAGCACTGAAATAGAAAGGCAGATTTCCTGCAGTCAGCACAGCAAAGCAGATTTGTTCAGTACACGACACAGCGACATATTCAAACAGTTTTAAAGGGCGGTGAATGAGCACGATCATGAATAAATATTAGTCACAATAAAACTGTTACTTACGAGGCTTCTGTCCCCAGACATGTTGATGGAGATTTTTAGAGGAGTAAAAAATAAAGACCAGGACGGTCACGGGACAGAAAAACATGACCTTGTGTTTGTGCTTCATGGTCTACGGTCATTTACACGGCACTCCGTCGTCACCTGGAAAAAGAGCAGAAGAAAAGAGAGGGTGAATTATCATGCTCTAAACAAAAACTTCTCAAAAATCTCCAGCACCAATGTGGAGCCGAAAAGCTGTTGTGGAATTGTAGGGCAAGCAACAGTCAAAACAAAATACAGGGTGAGGAAACAAGTACCAAGTAATAAAGTTCCTAGTGTCTGGGGAAAAGTTCCGATAGACAATGAAGTCACACAGAGGAAAACATGAGGTATAAAAATAACAGAACCACACTGTAAAAACAAACTTTTCAGCTACAGTATGTAACAGTCAAATGTCACACACGACAAAACAGCTCCTAAATTACTATAGAGGTTCTTTCCCCAAACATCTGTGTTCAGGTTAGTCCAGTGTTACAGAACAAGAACATGACGAGTAACAAACCGTCACATTAGTAGTCAAGGCAGCAACTGTAAGAAGAAAAAAAAACTCTAAATAACTGACGCCACACCAGGCGTTAACAGGAAACTGCAGGCTTGCTGCAGACAAGAGGTGATAAAAATACAGCACATGCAGGACACACAGCTTTAGTAACTGTGTAACTGTGCTTACACACAACATGGCGGGGCAGAACATCTCCACTTTTGAATTCATCTTAAAAGTTCCACTTTGGTTTCACTGTTAGGATGTCTGTTGACAGGTGCAGGTAAAGGACTGATGAACGCAGGGAGGATGAATAACAATTATTAGTGAGAATGCCTTGACAATAATGGAAATGCCTTTTGTCAACTAGTGAAAAGTTCAACGTGGACATAACCTGAGGAAATATTCAGAGCCTAAGTATAAGACCTACAAGAAGCCAAAGTCAGGATTCTTCCTGGTCTACTCTACTGTCTTACAGGAGGTACTTCCATCTTCACCGGTGTCATCATCGTCATCGTCATCGTCAACTTCTCAGCTGCTGCCAAGCTTTTGCTTATGGACCATCTGTGTCAACTGTATTCATCTCCTTTCAGTTCATTTAAATAATACTTTTTATTTATAGTTTGCCATCTGTAGTTGCGACACGCTTCGTTCTCTCCCTGCTCACAATCAGATGTGGTGTTAAATTAAACTTCAAAACAGATTTAGGTTTATTTAATGAATGAAATCTGCATAAAGGGTGTGGAGAAAATCAATAATAAAGAAGAAAAATGTACCCATATGTTGGTCCTAAGTCTACAACCATCATTTGGTAATTACTGATTTACTGTAAAAGCACTGACTGGTATTTTTAAGTATCTATAAATACCAGTTCTTCAGAATCTGTATCTGTGTTGATTTTTTTTTTAGACTTTTTATAAAATCCTAACCAAATTTTTTTACTGGTATTTTAAACCATACAACCTGTTTTTCCTTCATGAATAAATAAGGTGACATATAAACCAAACACAAACAGAGTGCCCAGCTTATTGCACACGCACCTCAAACTTAAAAATAAAACTTATTGGAAGAAAAAAAAAAAAAAACGCCAGCTCTGCTTTTAGTGTCTAATCTTGTCAATGTTAGTTCAAGTACAATGCAACATTAGCTGCTTCCAACAACACCCCATTCATACTGTTACCTTCTCATTTTCACAGAGTTTTGAGTGTTCTATTTCAGGTCTTTGTCAAGCAAATTAAAGTTTAAATATCCAGCAACATGACAACGTTAAATCGTTTCACAACACAAAAGCCCATACAACTCTGTGGTCTAATAATTTCACACTTGTTGAATTTTGTATCTTTAATAGAATTCTTTACAATGTCACGGCAAAAAGCCATAGTAGCAAAAAGACAATTTTGCTACTATTTTATTATTATTATTATTATTATTATCTGATTTGTTTTCCTCCAAGATGGCTCACTGAATCACATTTCCCACAAATTATTTTATAAATGTATCAAGAATTTGTAAATAGTGGAGCAATATTAAAAGTCTGTATGATGTTATAAAGATCTTAATCTAATAAAATCCTAATATCCTATTATTATACATCCCTATGACGCAGGATGGTAAACAAAGTTAAACATATTCAAATACAAAAACTCAGTGATGAAGGATCCAGCAGCAGTAAAATCATTTTCTTTCTTTCTTCTTTCAGGCTATTATAATGGGATAAGTAACATCTGATCTGTGAAAACATCACATCTCTGCAGTTGAAATCCATCCGGAGAGCTTGGTTTGAAGAGGCTTTTTATTTGACCGACGCAATTGTGACACGAATACGTCATTTGCAGTACAAAAATGAATGAATGATATTAAATACAACACACACAGGTCAGTCAGTAGAGTGTGTTGAGGTGTATTTGCACACAAACTAGACATACTCGCACGTGTTTTTTCAACAATCAAATCTACTGTGTGTGTTTAATGATGAGCAATAAAAAAACAAGTAGCTTATCATTGAAGTCCCAACGAATGCTCAGAAACAGAAACCAACCTCCAAAGGTGTACAGACCTTAAACATCTCACGGACACTGGTCTCTCTGACCCAGGGTCAGTCTCTGGTGTCTACGTCAGAAAGATTTGATTTCAAAATGACTTTTGCAAAAAAAACAGCATCACAACACAACAAATGCAACAACTTCTGTGCAGTCCTACAGTGTTATCTTTGACACACACACACGCACTCATTCTCTCTCTCTCTCACACACACACACACACACAATGGCTGCTCAAAAACCTGCGTCTCCATCTTGCCTTTTTTCACGCCGCGGACACAGCTAACGATGTGTTCGAACCGCTGCGTCACTCGTCTGATGACGACTTCATGTAAACGCATCATCCAAATACCTTAACATGACCGTTAACCCGGTGCAGCTGTAGGTGCTAGGCTAAAAGCGCTACGTTTGCACAGCCAGTGGCCAGAGTTGGTCTTTTCTCTCAGGCCTTCAGCTCTGCAAGCTCGAACCGCTAGTTCAGACGTGGACGCAGCGGAGACGCAGCGTTGATCAGTCGTCGAACGTGTCCCAGCACACACGGCGGCCACAGTTGGTAAATAACGGTGTGCAACAAAACAAAGCGAATGGGTTGCCAGTTTCTGACGACACAACACTAATGATGTTAAGAGGGAGACACTAACTGTCTAGAAGAGCAAAACAAAGGCTCGACGACGTCTTCAGACGCTCGGACGTGTTCATGTTACCTGTTATGTTCCACAGAGGTCCCCGGGTCAGAAACGGCAGCAGCTCCAAAATTGAATCATAGAGCGGTCGGTGAAAACCACCGTCTTCTCCCCTCTCGAGGTAAAAAGAATGAACGGACAGAAAAAGATCCGTGTGTGAAGAGAATGCCTGACTGAGTGAGAGAGGAAATCAGGGGGAGCAGTCAGTCTGTCTGTCTGTCTGCCTGTCTCTGTGTATACTTGTCTCCTCCTGCCTACTTTACATCAAGAAGAAGAGGCAAAAGGAACAGTCAACCCCCTGCATCAACACTACCTGCACCTCCAGCAGGGGCTGCTCACTGGTCTACACCCCTGCACCCACAGTCACATGAGAGGAGTCGCTGTATTACCATGCCCCCTCCTGTTGAGACACAACCAAAGTTCATGCATGTTCGTATTCATCCTCACGTGGTTTTTTCTCAGCTGTTCCCCTTTCTAGATTAAAAAGAAAACCGCTTTAATGTGACTTTAAATCATGATTACTGTAGCTGTCTTTCGGATTTATTTTTGTATAACAATAAAAACAAAAGGCCAACTTGTTGATGTCAGAAATCTACAAACCCTACAAAATAAACCATTGTTTAATTTTAATACATTTTTCACAACAATCAAACAACAACAAAAAAACAACTTCATATGGTGGTGTCATAACCTGTGACACTCACTAGAAATATGTTTCAAAGAGTGAGCTGTTTCCTCCTTATTGTTGAACTTCCCGGCTCCTGGTTGTTTGCTAGTGTAACAATATACATTGTTACTCATTAAACCACATGAATAGTCATAATTGTATGACTGACATTTGATATCAAGGATGTAGACTGCGGCTTACTGGTCTACAGCACTCTGGTTTTCATTTCAAAGGCCCATTAGATGAGTTCTCACATCTTTTTTCACCTGGTTCTCTTCCTGCTCTCTGAAGCCTTTCACATCCCTTTGTAAACTGGCTTTGTCTGCATTGCAGCGGCCGCTCAGACATGGTTTACATTGCCAAGCTGAAGTGACTCAGATCCCTTTTCCTCTCCTGCCTGGAGTCAGATCCCTGGTCATCCTTGTGCCTGTTCTGTGAGCGGCATCGGTGCATACTGCACTGATCCAGAGCAGGGAGACTTAAAATATACTTTTTTTAGAAGTATTTGTCATCTTTGACCTGGATCCCTGTCCCAAAGGATTTGGGACATGACAACAAAGGTCTCTGGACAAATTCTATTGTCTTCATTTATTTGCTTTATTTTGCATATTTATGTCTATCAATGTACTGCAGTATTTCTTAAAACTATTTCTTAAATTACAAAAAAAAAACGCCAGCTGAGAAATAGCCTTAACATATATTTACCAGTATTTAGTACTCATTTTAAAAATAATTTAGTACTCATCTTAAAATAATAATTGACAAATATATATAGTAACATAATATAGCTGGTTTATAACAACAAACAAACATCCAGAATTTCAGAAGCAGAAAAAAAACACAACATAAAAAGAGTGTTAAATCTGAAAATATAACAGACTGTCACAAAACCAGCACAGTATTAAAGTAATGCATCTTCTTTGTATGTAATCCTAAATTCCCTTCCCCCATCTCATAGCCCAGTGACAAACGGCCCCTGTTAACCACGTTCACGTCCTACCTCTGTACCCCGGCGTTTCAGATTCCCCTCAGGAGCTCAGGAAGTCGCCTGCCCTGCGGCGGTGATCCTACAGTTGCAGGTGTGTTTTCCAGCCCACAGTCAAGGAGCTAACGTGTGATTACTACAGTAGAACTAATGGTAGCCTCCAGTCTGATAATGATAATAACACTGTGTCTGTACAGTGGCCGACACACCAGACGGTCCCTAACCCCCACTGCTGTCTTGTCTTGTTTTCACACTGATGCCTACAGTCAATATTTGTTCAAATCAATACTGACCTTCAGCAGTGTTGACACTGCTAAATTTTTTAGAAGTTTTCTGAAGTACCTCAAACACTGTATTCTGTAGCGTTAAATCAAAAGTCAACAGGCGGCACTTTCTTCTTCTTTATGATTTTAATTGCACAGTAAGTCATTTGATGATGTTTGTCTTCGTATGGAATTAAGTTTTCCCCTTCTTTCTCTGGAGGTGAACCTTTGTCCTGGACTCACAGTACAGTTTGTTAGTTTGGTGAATCAGTAAAACAAAACAAAAAAAACACTAAAAGAATATCCTAGAAAAACAAGAGAGCCAAGCAGGTTTAGGAATAACACTCAAGTCTGTTATTGATCAGTAAAAACTGGTTTAATGTTTTTAAAAATACCATGGGTTGTACAATGTACAATCCTGAACTGACCTCTGTGTTTCATACAACACCACGTGGTCACAACCTGTACACAGAGAACAACCAGGCTCAGACTGTGGCAGCAGCTCAGGGCAGAACATTCTTTCTGAAATACTTGATCATGCCAGTGAGCACCTCGGGACGGATGTTTTTAATGTGAAATATTTAGTAAATATTTAGTATCATCTACTCCAGAGTTGGTTTAAAGATAGGAGTTCATTTTATGTCTGTAATTGTGATGAAGAATTCAAAATGAAAGGAATTGCAAAAAACCAACCCACTTAAACGGCATTTAAAGGTTGCAGTCCGCCTTCAGTGATATTATGTTGAGGGAAACTAAAACATATGATATACCGTGCTGTCACACCATGGGTCTGTGGACATGTGACAGTGGAGATGGACTGATGGTCTCCATTAGATCTTCTGCCTTTAAGCTGTCTGGTTATTAATATTCCAACAGTCTAGAACTAAAGAGTTCTATAAATGAATAAAGCCATTCACCTAAGAGGGTTTTTTTCCAGTGGCGCCCACGCATCTCCTCCCAGTGGATCTGCTCTCCGTCCTTCACACCTGCTCAGGTTACTCTGTTGATTCGTTTTCCCTTTCATAACCTGCATCCTATTTGTACCGCGTCGTCCGCGGGGCCTCGGATTTCCACGGAACGATTGTTGGGATGAGAGTTATGGTAAAAGAGTGTGGCTGGGGACAGTGTTATACTGCCCCTCCCGCCCCCCCACCCCCCCCTCCATCTGCAGGGAGCGTAGCACAGTAGCATGCAGATCTATTAATATTAAATCAAGTAGGAAACACAATCTGCTAACCCACTGGTTTCCATCCGGGCTCCAGAGATTAGCAGGAGCAGAGAGGAACAACACACACGAACACAGGTGTGAAGCAAGTGAGAATTGGCTGCACTTCCTCCCGTTTCAATTAATTTATATCCCACTTTCAAGAGGAGGAAAAGATCAATGGCATGAGAAAAACAATGGGAGGAACAGGAACGTTCCATTTCCCGGCCGGGCCTGGAAAACAGACCATTATTTATTTGCCTGGTGTCAAGTAGCCGCGATGCTAAGAAGGAAAGCACTGTTTGTTTTAAAAGGCTACATTCCGTGACCACAGTCTGAGCGACTGTACATCCTCAGACTGAGAGCCAAGAGGAAGCTCCATCCAGTTTGATGCCTCGGGTGTCTCAGTGAGTGTCCTTAAGTGGGTCTTTCTTCCAATGTGGTCTTCCTCCCTCCACTGTGTCACTTACGCTACCTATTTATAAAGTCGTGGTGATTTAGGGCCGAGAGGAAGAGGAGCGAGTGAGTGACGGCTCAGTTTCACTGTCAGAGGAGTCTCCAGTGAAATCCTGGAGGCGGCACACCCTGCAGATCAGCACCGGTGGTGACAAAGTCACATGGCTCGCTCTTATTAATATTTGATCTTCTCTCAGACAGTTTCCACAGTGCACAAGCTTCCACTTAGGTGGCTGACTCAGAGGCACAGGAGACCAGAGAAGAACCGATGAAATGGTTTCGTTGCTTTTAATGGTTTTTGTCTGGAGGTTTGTTTTTTGTTTTGTTTTTTTCTGAAATTATGTTATAATTTTATGTTCACTACAGCCAGAATATAACAGCTGTGTAAGAGCTGAAGTCATTAGAGGTCGTATGACAATCTGCACTCACTTTCAGGTCTAATCCTCAATCTGCCCTGGGATGAATCCCTCTTCATAGACAATCAAGTTAATCCTCCGACATCATTTTGATGTATATGGTCAGCCACACCGTACTGAGGCGGATGACCAGAGGTGATACAGCCATCAAACATGCAATTACCCACAAGTCATCTGGCATAAAAAATACTGTTTAAACCATGAAAATGTGGTTAAAGAGCCTCACAGTATAAGGATGAAATACATGAGGAACAAGGAAGAAAGAAATAAGGTCTCGCCATCTATCTATCTATAAATAAATAACTTTTTTTGTGACTCCTGTGAATCAGCAGAGTGAACTTTTCACTCTGCAGGAAATAAACAGACCGTAGTACAAGTTGAGACACCCCTGGTTTAGAACCCGTACGTTGCTCCATGTTCTGTAAACAGGCCGCTCACTGACAACAACTCCCACAGCCTGCTGCTGTGGAAAACAACGCACCACAACACAGACGAGGAACGGGAGGAAAAAGAGAACTGTAGGAGTCTAGAACTCTGAATATTTGACGGTCGGTTTACAAAAGTTAAATTTGAACAGCAGCAGGTGAGTGGGTGATGAAGAGCGAGTGGAGGACAGTTAAGCTGCTCTGGTTCGTCAACACACTGGAAGGACAAACAAACACACACACACACTGGTTTTTGTGTTTAATGAGCACTCCAACTACTGTAGATATAACACATCCTCTGACCCTTTAACCCTACCTTTAAATATCACACACACAGAAGAAGATGATAACCATCTGCTCACCCGAGAACACACTTTCCACCAGTGTCTTTGACATGGTTCAACTTCCTGTTTAAACATTATCAAAGTGTGAACCCAAGTGTATCAGTTTGGCTTATTTTTCTCTCTTGTTTAAACTGACTCTATTAAAATCAGGTGGAAATATCACGCTCACCTAAAGGTAGTACAGGAACTGTTGCCATAGGTAGTGATGTAGTAACTAACTGCCGACAAACTTCGCACAGTAGGAACTGAATTGTCACGTCAGTCAAGGAACCTTGTAGTTCGGTTGGGTCATAGTTCTTTTACCAAGAAAGACAATTATTTATATGCTATTTATTTCCTGTTTAAAACAAAGCTATTTCTCTGTGTGTCCTCCAGTTAAGTCTAACTTAAGTCTTCCCATCGAGGTATTCTTTAATTGTACTGTAAAATCCTCCTTTAAATCCCATCTAAGGACTTAAATCCAATTCTTTCTCAGTTTAAGGCGGTGTTTGTTTCTTTTCCTTAGTTGAAGTCAAATATGCTCAGACTTCAGAGCATCACCTTCCTGCAGAGACCACAGAAAACCATTCTCACCAGCCCAAGGTCGGGAATTCATGTTTGGCTTACAAAACAAGAACTCCTGTTTTTGTTTTGTGGCTCTATCTAAGTGGGAGTGGATAGTGTATCTGCAGAGGAAGAGATTGTAGAGGAACACATTTCCACCTTAACCAAAACAAACAGCCGGCCTCAGTGGAGGAAAACATTTCTGCGCTGGATTGTTATTTATGAGGAGGATTTGAACCATTTTCCATTTCTTTCTTACATACGTTGATCAAACCACTGCAAGATCACAGGGCATTATCATATGTATAATATAATATAATATAATATAATATAATATAATATAATATAATATAATATAATATAATATAATATAATATAATAAAATATAATATAATATAATATAATATAATATAATATAATGTAATATAAATGATGGTTCCATAGTGTAGCAGTTGGCACACTTGCAGGAGAGCAGAGAGAGTCTTGGGTTTGATTCCCGGGGGAATTCCTAATGGTGCCTGTGGCAGTCGATGTGGCTGGCAAAGACTCTGACTGTAAATTCTGACAAACAATAATAACTCTATTATTATTATTATTATTATTATTGTTATTACTTCAAATGTATAGCAGGGTTGCCAGATGTAAAAAAAGTCAGACCAAGCAGAGCAAAAACAATACCACAAATAAACACAAATAAAACAGGAAGATGAGCACAAGGTAGCAAAACATGGGAGAAAAAGGAGTTATTAGAAAGTTAAAGTTAAGTTTTAAAGCTTCTTTACACCAAAAGGTTGGTAACAGTTAGCTCAGAAGAAGTCGCTCTTGTTTGTGGTTTCAGTGTTTTCAGTATGCTGTATTATTCTGTTATTACATAAACATAAAAAGAGGATTAAATACTTTTGTTGTCAGTGAAGTCAGATATTTTCCCTCTGAGATCACGCAGTGACTCTGTATTTCCACTGTATCATTTGCACATTTGCATGTAAATCTCTTCCACACAGATTTTGTATCCATGCAAACGCTGCGCAGACACTCTAGCAGAGTGTAGCAATCGTAATAAAACACATCGGTTAGTCTTTGGGGAAATTTGTAAAAATGCAAAACATGTTACCCTCCAGCCTTAAACGTATCAGATCAGATCAGATCAGATCACACTTTCACCCAGCTTTTTTTTTTATTTCTCTGTTAGACATTCTTGTTGTCATTTCCCTTAGCTAAAAGAACATTAAAAACAAAAAGCTCTTGCAGACACACGGGGCACTTTGACGATTATGGGCTTGATCCATCATCATGTGAGATCTCGTGAGCAGAGCGGAGTCTTAGAGACGACCAGAGGCTTAAGTTGCCGCAGGCTGCTGTGTGATGAAGTGTGCAACAAGGCTCCCTTTAGAATAGAGTCAGAGTACTGCAGTGGATGACCTAAATAACAGCAATGCACACTCACACACACACACTTACATATAATTTCTATGGGATTCCCCAAAAACACACAAGTTGGGATTGCGCTTAAAATGCATTTTATAATAAAAACAAAATAAAGAGAAGTAAAGAGAAACATATGAGGCAACTTTCACATCCTCACACCCAGGCTCTCTGTCTCTGTCTCTGACTCTGTCTCTGTCTGTCTCACACCCACACACACACACCCACACACACACAGGATACGAGCTGTAGGTACGGGATATCAGGTAGGCGCTGCAGACTGTGAGTGGGTGACGGCTGAAGAGAGAGGACACTGAAGACAAAGCTCAGGAAGTTTAATAAAAATAAATCACTAATCAACCATCATCTGCTTTGTTTCGACTTGAAACCCCAGCTACTTGCTCCTATATCTTTTATGTGGAAATTCATTTTAAAAAATCCAATAATTAAAACTGAAACTTACCAAAAAAAGAGTTCTGTGTTTTCAGTTTAACAGTTACTGATCATTTTACCTTAGGTCAAAGTGAAAGCATGTCTGCGGTCACATCTTCCAGAAACTAACTCATCTCAGAAACATCAATGGCCTGGTTAATGGTTCTTGTGTGATTGGTGAGGTAATGATCCCTGGGAAAAGCCAACAACAGTCCATAGACTTGAAACTGACGAGAAACAGAACAAGTTTCTTATGAAAGTACCACCTGGCATTCAGATGGTGGCAGGAAACCACCAGCTGTACCACTGAGTTTTTGAATTCATATCAACTGATGTGTACATGTGAGTTTTTTACCAACATCCCACAGCCACAGTTCTGCATCATGATGTGACGTCAGTGACGTCTGAGTAGTGAAAGATCTACTCAGCTGTACAGTAAATGATCATTATGACGTACAGGGATGCTGTCTCTGAAGCTGAATTTGTCGGGGGGTGGGGGTTCAGACATGACCAGTATAATTTTATTACCTAGTTTTTCTATATTTTTGTTAAGAGTTTCTTCAATTTATTCCAATTATTATTGTTTAAAATGACATCAATCTATGTTTGTAGCATGTTTGGCTAAATTTGTGCTCATTTCATATAATATTTTTATATATCTTTTAAATCTTGACCATTTTTGACTAATTTAAAACATTTGATGTTTTTTGTAAGCAGTGGTGTGATTTTATCACGTTATTTTTAAATAAACAAATAAATTAGGCTTCAAAAATGTGTGCACCACCTGTCTGTCATCTAAAGTATGACAGTTGATAATTTTATACTTCTAGCCAATTGAATTTATTATCTTCACCATATTAATCCCAAACTCGATGGTGCCATTAATATAGGATGACAAACCAGACTGATACCATGTGCCAGAAAACAAAGACTGAAGAAGGAAACAAAATGGGGAAAAACCAGAGGGAGGAAGTAAGAGTGGGGGCAAAATCACTTCTCACTGCCAGCCCAGAACTGAACAAACACTTACAGTCTAACCAGCCACAGTTACTTGGAATACAAAGACAGAGAGAGAGAGAGAAAGAAAGAGAGAGAGAGAGAGACGGAGGTGGAGGGGGTGGTGGTATGGGGGACTTGAAGCTGACATGGTTGAAGAATTCCCCACAGGCAGTTCAGCACAGCGGACAAGTCCTGACTCAAATGTACTATAAAACTTTACGAGAAGCAGACACACCGTCTACCATCCATCTCCATCCACCACCTGTCTCCACTGTCCACACAACTGTCCACACAACTGTCCACTGTCACACCTGAGAGAATCACTGCTGCTCTTTTTACTTAAATTATTTGTTTCAGACCTAAGTGGCGGAGTGGTGCGATTTCCACCTGCAGTGCATAAGGTTCAGGTTTCAATTCCAATATCACTCACTATAGTTTCAGAAGTACTGGCAGTTTGAATTAACTCAGGTCATAAAAAAGTGATTCAACACATTGATGAGTGAGCCCAGCTGGAACTGTGCAGCTGGTACTGTTGAAAACACCTGAAGGTGTTTATAGGGCACCAGGGGTATAAAGAAAACTAGTCTCTGCGGACACAGACTGAAATCTGACACTGACTGAAATTTCTTATCTAAACATTACTCAATCAGCTGATGTGTTTTTATATGGTTTACAGTGATCTAATGCAGCTGGGATGAAACAGCCCAGGTCTTCAAAAAGATCCTGCATTCTTGTAAACATTTACACATCACAGAACTTCAATGCATTTTCAAAAGAATCAGCGAAACAATGAAGTTTTTTTTTATTTGGGATCAAACTATAACCTAAAGACAATCTGTGTCTGGAACTAACTTTTATCTGAAACACAGCAACCCACAAAAACTCTATCAGTGTCTGGAAAGCAGACAATAAATACAATATAACTTCTCTAGAGTGTGAAAAGAACATGAGAAAAATAGTCTTTGTTGCCAAGTGTAATGCACTGACATAAATAAAGTATAATAACACTAATTACAACAAGTGTAAAAAAAAAACCCAATAGGTCGTCTTCAAATATGAGAGACAAAAATAGCTTCACAGTCGGTGTTCGCTGTACCTCAGTGATGGACCAGTCTGTGATGAGTACGAATTCTAAAAAAAAATGTTAACATTCTTCCTTCTTTGGAGGGTTAAAATTATGATAAAAGCAGAGTCGTGAGTTTGAATTCTTAAATAAAAACTGTGCATGGATCACACTGTCTGTGAATCTTTACACTGCAGAGCGCTGTGACTCATTAGGGTGTGTACATTCAGAGGAAAAAGTTTTACTATAAAAAAAAAACACTCTCACTGTGAAGAAAAATATGATAGTACAGAAAAGGAACCTGGCCTGTGTTGTTAACTTCAACACTTTCTGTGATTAATTCCTTGATGGCTTCTTCCTGAGGCAAAGGGACAGAAGGAGAAGCAAGAACAACTGAAACAGAGTCTGTTAAAAAAAAAAAAAAGATGACACTAAGAATATGGATTCCAAGCACATCAGTCATTTAAAGTCCCAGCCGTATAAAAATGAAGCCTGGCATTGTGGGAGAAGAGAGGACGAAAAGAAAAGAGGTGGACAGGTGGTTCTTCCACTGCTAATAAAAAAAAAAAAAAAAGAAGAGTGTTACAATGCAGAGAGGAGACGATCCATCACTCCATGATGGTTCTGTAAACGGTGGGCTCGATGTAGTCCCCTCTGTATCGAGAGTTCACCACCCGCTGTCTTTTGGAGTTCTGCTTGACGTCGTCCTGTGCAAAGAGCTTGTAGCGCATGTCTGATGCCACCGACTAAAAAAAAAAATATATATAATAAAATGAGAAATTCAGTGATGACAATTGAAGACAACTCTCAGACAACACCTATTTACCAGCCGTGACTTGACTCTCTTGGGCAGATCCTCATCCAGAGTGTAAATGTCCTCCCGCTTGACACTGAGTTGTGACCCATCCTCGAACTCCACCTGAATGAAACCACACATACACACACACAAAATTCACATTAATATGGTCTTTAAATTCACATGTGGTTCTGGATAGACTCAAGCATCCCCACATTACATTTTCACCTTTATGTTTCATTTTGAGGAAGTTGTTTGGGTTTTATTCCTCTCCCAGGCTTTTTAAAAAAAAAGAAGTATTATTAACTATTTATAATTATTACATTTGTCTGGCATAAGAAAAGTGTCAACTAACATGCGCTAGCCAGCTACACACTAGCTTAAAGAGCAGAGCAGTTTGATAACAGACGAAGTTGTAGCTGTCACAGCAGGTGCATTTTGGTATCATTTTAAACTTGAGAATATGAACATTACAGCAGTTTTCATGCTGTAATGTTTCAAACAAATGTTTTTTTAAAATTAAATGACAATTAAATTAATTTTTTTCTTATTTTCCCTCCAATTTTCTGAGGATCCCCTAGCGCCCTCTAGTGGGGCCCTTTTTGGAAAACACTGGGTGAACTTACCGAAAACATTGGAATGGAGTGTGCTGCAACAAATTTGGCTCCATAGATCAGGCCGTCAGTCCACCGCACCTGAACAGCATCACCTTCAGCAGGGGGACCCAGGAGGATGCAGTCACGGTTCTGTGCACACAATCATGATCCACAAATTATACATGACATGTGCAACATGATGCAAGAAGGATATAAATTTATATATATGTTCACGTGGCTACCACGGGAGGCACCTCTGGGGAACCAACCCAGGAACTTCTGCGTGTAAGGCAAATGTGTAAGCCAGGCCTGACAACCGCTACACTATGGAACCAGATGCACATGCACTGATTTGTAATTTCAGCAGTGGCTACATTCAAGTTCAGTGAAGTTTTGAACCAGTAGAAAGTGTGAATGTAGGGGGCGCTCGTCCTATCTATAAATGTTAACATTTAGTAGAAACAGCTATTTAACCTCGATGTCCTCAGGTAAGAGGTTGTCACTGTAGGAGCCGTCGTCAAACACCACCTCGTAGAAAGTAGCTGTGGTCAGTTCCATTAGCTCACTGTGGTAGTAACGGCCGTTCTTGTATTTACAGATCACCTTCTGTCCCACTTGCAGGTCCCGCATGGACGTCTTGTTTCGCTAGAATACAGAAGTCAGAAATCGAACAAGCACAATGTCATCGAAGGATAACAACGCAGCAAAGTCATATCAAGTTCATTCCAGTGAATTAACTTTGTTTCACAACGATGCAACATTTGTCCAAGTAACATTCTTATAGTATGGTCTTACACTCAACAGACCATTTGTCATCAAGAGTTTGGAGGAATTTAAGGTAAATGTTTATAAATCTGACTGTGGAAATCCTTGGAGCCTGTATAAACGCTGGATTAGAACAATTTCAGATGTGTGTGGAATCTGATCCTTCCTAACTAAAGGACTCATGCCTTAAGACAGAGAATGGTGTCTGTCTGGGCCTGTTGGAGCCTGCTGGCTCCAGCACTTCCCTAGTGTCTGACTTCAAGAAGAAAAAAATAGGAAATGACAAAAACATTCTGTTAAAGCCTTGAAGGCTGCGTGTTTAAAGATGGCAGCTGAACCTTCAGCATGTTTTCTTTGAATTGCGGGTTCCATTTACCAAATTGACAAGACAACTTTTTCTTGACATACAGTTGCGATATTTCAAGATCTAAATCCAATATACAGCATCTTAAAACTCCCTGTATGATTCCTGCAGATATTTAAAAGACCCACATTTTCTTCTTTCATCCATTACTTCAAGGTCTGACAGCTTTTGTTTTTTTTTTACCTCAGTTATGACAGGTGCTTTGTGTCTGTGACAAGTGATGAAAACCACAAAGGGCCAGTCGTCTGGGTGCATGAGGACGCCAGCTGCCTGAGCACAGGTAGGGTGAAACGCAGTGGAGCAGCGCCCATGGGAGCACTGAACGCAGCAGCCCGTCACTTCCCTTTTCATCCGCTTCCTGCAGTACACACACTTCTACGGAAGCAACAAAGATGAGGAGTGAAGGGAGAGGGGAAGGAAGGGAGGGGAAAAGGAAACAAGGCAAGTGGGGAGGATAAGACAAGCAAAGGACAATGAAGATCATCAGGGAATATAATGAAGAAGAAAATCAGGAAGAAAACAGAAGAAGACAAACCTTCATTTTGATTAGGATGTGGCAACATACACGTTTGAAAATTAGTTAGAGTGGGATTATGACCTATACCAATAGGAATTAGTTTTTGACACCCATGTGTTTCACTAGTTCAGTGGTTCTAGTTGCTTTTGACAGTGTGCGACTCATACAAACAGAAGACGGGGGGGTACATGTTCGTTCGGCAGCAACCTTTCACTTTAGTTTTGAGAAGAACACTTATTTTAAGAAAACGAGAAGAGGAACTAAATCAGAATGGCCAACAGTTTTTCCCTGTTTCAGAGACACCGAGACGCCAGCAGCAAATTCAAGTCTGGCAGTTCAAGTATGTCAGGCTCTTTTTTGTGGAAAGTGGATAATGGTAAAATCTTGAAATATCAATTTGTTAAGTTGTGCTTGAATTAAATTAGTAAAGTTTAATAAAGGAGTAAAAAGAAAGGAGTTCAACACAACCAGTTATGTTTAAAGCAGTGCTGTCCACAGGGCGTATGCTGTCCTCGCAGACATTACGACATTATTTCTCTTTCTCCTTGTGACATATCTATGCTGCAACTACCAAATATTTATGTGCAACTCATTTATTTCAAATCCTAATAACCAATAACAAACCAAAAACCTCACGGCTAACAATTATTTCTATGAAACCATTCTGAGCTAAAGATAAATGACTAAATGTCTTGGAATCAGATTTGTTCAGCTTGTGTAATTGTACTGCTTCTTTATAAAACACGGTGGTGCCATTCTGTCATCAGTATAAAAGATTAGTCACATTCTACACCGAGTACAACGACAGGCTTATGGACTCCTACCAGTCTGAAGCGGGGCAGTGGAATGGCAGAGAGGTCAATGGGGCTGCGCTCAGTGATGTTGACAAAGCAGGCTTCCAGCACAGTGAGTGCACACAGCACGTGAACCCACCTGTATCAAAGGCAAACAATGAGTAGGAGTTTACACAAAGCTTTCTCGTATCAGGGTTTAGTGTTTCTGGAAATATGCGTTACATGTGGTGTCATGAACATGTAACCTGGTGTGATTCGCTGACCTGATTATAACAAACATCTTATCTTACAGCTCGCGTCCATAAAATTGTCTGACCAGTTTGAGTCCTTGTATAAATGTTGACATTTGAAGTTTGTCTGTCTTTATTCAAGAGATGGATTACTTCTGTCCTTCAGACTGAAGGAGGACGCAGGCATCATAAGGTTAAAAAAAAAAGAGCACGACAGCTGCTGTTGGCTGTCTGATGAGTGACAACTGCCTCGATGCTCAGGCTGTGAACACCCAACATGTGTTCTCTGAAATAAATACTGGTGAAGGGGAAAAAAAAATCTAATAATGGAAGATGACAGTTTCTTGTTATCTTAGTAGTAAAACAGGTAGGAGTTTAAAAGAAATTATCACATGATGAAAAAGTCTGATGCTGTCTGATGTCACTTACTTGTCATTGTTGGCTCTCTGCAGAGCCCCCCCTCTGAGGGAGCACAAACAGCAGTCCTACCGGGAGAGAAACAACTCTTTATTTTGTTAATATTAAAAGGAGATTCAAACACATGACTTAACAGGTTTGATGTGGGTCAGACTGGGTGGACTATGACGCTTTTGTTTTCACCTGACAAACTATCAGTTTGCTGATATTAGCTTTAGCTCCATACTGACGTCTATAAACCTGCAGCTACTGCATTAGGAAAACTGCAGAAAAAAAGAATGTTCTGAAAAAAACTGTTCTTAACATGATTGTAATAAAATAATTATAATAACTTCAACAGCAATGCCTGACACTGACCAACGCTCAATGAATGAATGAGAGAAGTTTAAGTTCTTTGTTCTACCATGTATCTGTGGGTTGGAACAACAATGACACACAGTGAGTGTATTGTGCAGGAATGTACTGCGGTGCAACGGTGTTTCACACGTTTTAACACCAACAATCATTACTAAAAAAGACATGGTAGATAGGCATTAATAACAAAGCCAATGACTCAGTCTATACCAGCTGTGGTATTTCAAACCTCTCTACCATTAAACAGGCAGAACAGGAATTTTAAAACAAGTTCCAGGGGTAAAAATATCATCATTTAAAAAAAAAAAAAATCAAAGAGAAAAAATCATTCCAGTTGTTTCGTGAGGTACACTGCCCCCTAGCGGTTGGGTGTCTGAGTCTATGTATGTCTACCTATTGTTCTGAAGAGAAAGAAGCTTAGGTATGTTTGGGGTATTTCTATAAGGCTGAGTTAAAGCAAATTTTCAACACATAAGACACAAAAGGAATGAAACAATAAAGACCTCCATACAAAGGAAGTGACAAACAGAGGAACAAGTTTACTCAAGGTTAGAGAAGAACAGAGAGATAGATAAACCAACTGTGAAGTTTTCGTATTGTTCATGTAGGTTAACAAAAAAAAGTGTACACACAGAAGTGCACTTGTGTAATATATTTAAAGCATGAAAGAGTCAGTATTAGGAAGGAAGGAAAGTGAACTACTCATCATTGTGATACAGCTCACCACAGCACACAACCAAATGTGACTTCTGCTTTGAACCCATCACCAAAGTGAACAGTAGGCAGCTTTAAGTGCCCGGGGAGCAGTGGGTGGGGAAAGTGTGTTAAATATGCATTTTTATTAAATTATATTTGATAGAAATTTTTAACTGTCTTTTCCTTCAGTTTAATTGTTGACTCTGACCTGATTAGTGTGTAAAAAACACACAAGCTTTTGTAAATCAACCTTATTTTTCCACTACATCTGTTGTAGGACTGATCAAACAAAGAGGATTTGTGATAATATGTTGATAAATGAGATTCTGTATGAAGAAACTAACACTGGGAACCATCAACTGACCTCTGTGATGGCATTTGCCTCACATCGTGCACACAGCCAGTCATCCAGCTCCGCTTCATCACATGACACACCATAGCAACCTGCAAGAGAAACAAGAGGAAAAACATATTTCACACAATTCATCTTCTAAAGCCTAATCTGAGACCTTTAATAGATGAATGACCAGAGCTCAACATAACCATGTACAGTACCTGACGAAACACACATTTTCCAAACATGTGTGTGTATTTTACTAAATGTTTTTCTAACATAATACAGACTTACAGAAACCACGGAATTAAGAGTGGTTTAGGATTGGAGTTCTGACTATAGAACAGGCTACAGCTATATATTTATTTAAATTTCAGAAGTAGCTATAAATAACTTGTGCATTGTTACATTTTGTTTTTGATGCCTTAGATCTTAGACAAATGTGTAGGTGTTTATATCATTTAACAATTAAATAAGTAAATATGTGTAACTTATATTGCTTATCTGTCTTTTGTTACCATTTTATAGGGAAGACAGTATATAAGTATATATTATCTTGACAAATTAACAGAAAATTATCAAGCTGTGCTTTTCTGATCGTATCACCCAGCCCTGGCCATATATGAGAAAAAAGTCACCCAGGCTGAAGATGACTTAAAAAAAAGCCCATGTGATACTTGTAGATTTAAAGAACTCACTGGTGTGCACACGGACGCTGCACTGAGCACAGCTGACCAGACGACTGGTCCCATCCTCTGTTATGTTGGGATTTGACAGCTGTCCCTCCTGGTTCATCCTGCTGGTTTGGGTGTTGAAACACATTTCTGGAATAAGAGGTTTGGACCACTGGTATCCTCTGGAACGGCTCACTAACATTTTGTTGGAGCACCCACCACTGGCCTCAGACTAAGAGAAAGATAAAGTTGGTTAAAAAAGAAATGTAAAATGTGCAAATTCTTGTAAGTATTTTTCTGGACAGCCTTTTGTTCTTACCTGATTGTGAGTATGGAATATTAGGCAGATGCAGCAGTAGGGAGCCTGCTGGCCCATTCTCTTGTTGTACTCCCACTCTGCCTGAGGGTTAAATGGCCGAGACTGCCACAGCTGAACCAGTGGCTTTGCCCATTCTTCTTTCTCCTCTTGCTCCACGTCCACATCAACATACATTTCTACATTTCAACAGGCAAAGAAAAATGAATGCATCAGAAATCAAAATCTGAATCTCACAGTGCAACTCGACAGCAGATGAAGATGTTGTGCTCACCGTCATCACTGTGCACCTCTCTAATCAGAGGGTGGTGGCGAGGCAGCTTATGAAGTTCTTTCTGCTGCTGCTCCTGCTTTACTACCGATTTGCAGTAAGACTGCTCTTCTGCCACTTGCTGGAGTAACCGCTGTATTGCAAAACAGAAAATTAAAATATGAATTATTCTCATTTCTTACAACTGAATACTTCAACAGAGTGATATGAGACAGGTTGGGAGCGCTGTACTGTGTGTACACTTTTCCTCACTCTTAATTAAGCCCAGCCACCCGTTTATCAGTAAATTCAACTGTAATATCTACTTACATGGTAATTCTGAGTGATGGCCATTTCATTTTGATTTGGATTCTGGGCTGGAATGGTTTCTTTGACAAAGGCAATGCCACTATCCACAAGGGGGCATTGGTTACTCTGTAGCATGAACAACATGAGTAACATTGAATTTCTGAGGGTACAATTTCAGAATAAATTCTATTTCGAGGAGATATTAGAAGAATTATCTAAAGACTGCAATCAGTAATTACTGAGAGATGAATAACTCTTTGTTATTAGTAATTACTGAGAGTTTATTAAAGGTTTGTTATTAGTAATTATTAAGCAATTAGTAAAAGGAGAGATGACTAGGGTGTTGTAGCATTATAATTATCATCAAGGTCCTTCTACGTAATAAGTTAATGAGCTTCACCCAAAAGATATTAGTACGGGAACATCACACAAGGAAATAGTGTAGGCACAGTCTGCAAATAGTCTTGTTAGGACAGACCTGAGAGAAGGCTGTTGGTTAGTACAACTGTATAGTTGAGCAGTAGAATAGTGTTAGAAAATTGATCTTTATTTGAAGATAACATTTATAAGGGTGGAAACACTGACCTTTCGCTTGCTGTTCTTGAGATTATCTCTCTCTATTTTGCTTAACTCTTTGGCTTGTGACTGAGTGTGGAGACAATGGGACATGCTGGTGGATTCAACCTCAGGCGTCTTCAGTTCAGCATGAGCGTCAGAGAAAACCAACATTTTGGGTTTGTCCTCCTCATCACCTTGCTTCGGAATTGGTACTTTCGCTTCAGTTGGTGTTACTTTGGTTAAACTGCTGAGAGATTCTGGCGGGGAGTCCACTTTTGCAGAACTCGATACCTGAGATGAAGATTGTGGCTGCTTGTGAGATTGTGCAAAGGTTTTGTGCAGAAGATGACGGGGCTGATGTTCTCTGGCGTAGCTGTGGACCTGCAGCTGTGTGGGAGTTTGCCGCTGTGTTTCCAGAGAGTAATTCTGGACCTGCAGAGTTTCTTTTGGACTTAGTGTCTTGTGGAAGAGTAGACTGGCCACTCCCATTTTGCGGGAAGGCTGTCCTGGAGCACCTGGCTGTGTAGGTACCACTGTAACTGGAAGATGTCCATTTCCAGCACGGGTCTGAGATGAGATAGTTGGAGGTCGGGTCTTCGCACAGTGAGTGTATCGGCCGGCATTACTGTTACTTTGGATAAAGCCTCTGTGAAATGGGTCCAATAAAGTAAGTTTGGTTGGTGTGACGACCAGTTTTGGAGGACCTGTGAATTACAATGTAAATCAGTGAACTGTTTAGTAACGGAAAGAAAAAAAACTTTTATTCTACATTTTACACGTAAAAAAAAAAAGGAAATACCTTTATTTCTTTTGCCTTCATGTGATATGGTACGTGGCGGCAGGAGACTCAGCCTCGGACGCTTTCCATAGTGGTCCTCCTCTTCCTCATTTTCCTCCTTAGGAACAATGTCCTTTGGTATCTCTAAACACACTCTATGTCTTTTGGTCTCTATTCTCTGTGTAGCACTGAAAATGAATAAGAATGGAAAAAAGAAGAAATGCTTCGTTAATTTTAGGAAATTAAAATGTATCAGTAATTGGTATATATGGATAATGGCAAAAATATATTTTAGGATCTGGTATAGGGATGTGACAGCTAATGTAGAATAGAGTCTAAAGATAGTTTTCTATACATCGAACAAAAAGTGGGAAGTAATAACATTGTGAGTTCCCTTCGGTTCAGATGAATCTTGTGTTAACATAGTAGATGTAAATTACAAGCATAGGAGGTTATATTACATTATAAAAAAAGAGAAATGTAAAAGGTTTTTGTTAACAATGCTCAAAATGACCCAAGACGGTGAGCTACCTAGACTAAGAACACCAACTAAGGTGAACTTCAAAGTGGTCTGAATGCATTGCTATGAGTACACATTTAAAAATAAAAAAGCCTTAGTGTTTCATCTGTGATGCCATGTCCGTGATTTACCTTTTCCGTTCTTCACCGCTCTCCACAGAACAGTTATTACTGGCACTGTGCACGTTATTGAAAGGTTCGTTCAGGAACTCCTTAGCCTCAGGTGTAGGCTGTGAATGATCAATGGGCACCACATCCCGCCCTGCTAGCCACTGCTCATAACGATCCGGCTGGTACTTCTTCACAAAAACATCCATAGAAATCTTCACCATGTCCTTGCGACAAGAACACTACAGCAGACCAATGCAAAAAACAGAGTTCAAAGGACTTGGCAACAAAACCAGTATGTGTTCCATTTTTGCTAAAAGTGTTAAGTTAGTCACAGTTACCAGGACTGCTTGCTTGCCATATTCAATCCATCTCTCTGTGGCAAAGTTGGTGGACTCTGCACAGTTGAAGCCGTGGTTAAAACCAGCATGGTAGGAGTAGGGGAAAGTTACCATGAACTCACCAGCCCTTTGAGTAATCTTTAAACAAAAAACAATTTTTAATAATCCAGTCAAATTCTATTTTGGTTCATGTAGATTTTATAAAGTATTTTCTTTACTTACTTTCTCAAACGGTATTCCATATTTCTTTAGGGTAGAGGGAGAGATCAACGTCATCTTGTGTCTCAAAAAGGCCTCACAATTCTGGGAACTTCCAGGAAAGAAACCTTTGAGGAAAAAACAAAATCACAGGTAACTGTTAAGTTAATATAAATCCTGCTGAGAAAGATTGATTTATTCTACTGTTCTCCTACCTGTAGCCAGTCGCTCTAATCTTTTTCCATGTTCTGGAGGAATACAGTACCTGCAGACAGTAACATGACCTAATGAAGTGCCAGTTGTGAGTTTGGTCTGACTATAACAGAGCAATTTCTTCTAAACATATAGACAAACCCTGGGGTCTAAACAGTGCATATATATAGGAAACACAGTTCACAAAATCCTTTTATAGTAGTTAAAACTAGACTCATGTCGTCTGTGTACTGTTCTTTACCATGACTTAGGTTCCCCAAAGTGCAGGTAGTTGATACTGTAGAGGTCCATGTCCTCAGTGTGCCATGCAAAAGTGGTCTTCCACATGCCAAAATACAAGTAGGGTGTATTAACGCCCTCAATCACTATGCCACTTTCACATTCAACAGTATCCAAAATGGTGTCTAGGTGGCAAATGTTCCATTCTTTGATGCCCTGCAAGTAGAAAGAAAAACATACATAAAATATTATATACATTCACAATTTTTATAGCACATTTTTGGAACAGAAAAATATGGCCACCCACTGGGTCATAAAGGGATCCATTTACATCTGCCCCATATATCGGAGGATTAAAGGTCACATTCTTCCAGTACTTGCGCTCAAGCTCCTCAAAGTCGTCATAATGGGGGCTACAAAACCTAAAGAGATTTCAGCAGCAATTAGTAACAACAAAAATACACTTTGCGCTCACACATTAATATCGAAATCGATATATGGCAGTATTCTAATGCTTATACGTATTTATTGTCACAGGCAGCTGCTTGAAAATGTGTGTTACGTCTCACTTGTCACTGTTGGCAATCTTGCGGAACTCCCGGACTGTCATTGACTTCTTCTGAATGTTGTACTGTGTAAAAAGGCCTGACTGACCCGTCACCACCTGTTGGATGGGGGCAGGTATCACCAAGTCATCAATACCGTCATACGATCTTCTGGGTTTCCATTCCTTTGGTGGGACAACCTTTGGGGTTAAAAGTGGAAAATGTTTTAATCCTATGATTCTTCAATGGCACACACAGAAAGTATTGAAGCTAGCAGTATTGATAAAATTCTTGTAAAAAAAAAAAAAAAAAGTCCAGTGTGCCCCTTTTTATACCTTGCTCTGTTTTTTTATACCTCCTTAAAAGCAATATTTATCTATAGCACTTGTGGGCACTGACAAAAACTGTGACGATACTCACTTTAGCCAAGCCTGCCTTGTGCGCTCCCTGTGACTCCATGTAAGCAATGTAGCGATTGAAGTTGCTGAACTGCTCCACGGTGGGGTAAAAAGTCATGATCCCCCTGGATCCATGATTTTGTGAGGCCCCATCTGACGCCATCCCAACACCTCAGAGGAAGAGCCTGTAGGTAAGAGCAGTACATATATACTTTATTTAATTCAGAATCAAATCATCGCTATTTATGACTTCTTTTTCCACAACATTATTGTCAACTTTTGAAGTGCTTGTATCAATTGTTTGCCCTATGATGGACTTCAATCAAATAATTTCTATGAATTTAAGAACATTTTTCATTTTAGATCCCATAAATGTCTTGATTTCATATTTTTGATCTTTCACATTGCAATTATGACAATTCACTAACAGTAAAAAAGTAATAATTACTTCTATATATTATATAATAATTTGTTTTATTTTTATAATGCTCTTTTTTTATTTGTACACTCCCATAATTATTTTAAGTCCTTATTCCGGCTGTGTCAGGTCCCAAGTATATTATTTAAGTGTATTATTTATGATAACATTTTAGTTATATTTTAACTGAATATGTTATAGACATAATATAACATGTAACTAATAATAATAAGATAATAATTACAGAGTTATGCCTTGTTATGTACATGACTTCGACGCATCACTGACATTGGTGTTTTTAGTTCAGTTCAAACAGTTCAAAATTTAAAAAAAAAACAATTTTGAAGATACAAATATTTTGCCATTGTTATTTAGAAATAAAAAGCTGTTACAGAAAAACTGAATCCTTTGGATGATGAGGTAATTTAACAATATTTAAAATATACAAATAGCTGTTGTTACGGGTTAATTTAGAGTTTCCCTCAGTACAACAGGTACAGATTGGCCTGGAAAGAGCTGGAAGTAACAGGAAAAAGCAGGACAGCCTCCTTGTGATTGGTCCAACCATAGCTCTTTAACTCCACTCCTGTGGGAGGGGAGAGCAGCTAACGGAAGCACACAAGCAGACGTGTTTAAAAACGCAAAATGTATTAGATTGCACACGTGCACTATATAAATAATTACCCAGTAAAGCCACAAATAATAGTCAAGACTCATAAAGTGACAGCCCAGAATGCTATATAACGTGCAAATGGGCTGTCAAACTATTTTTAATATGTCCCAACGTCTCATACAGTTAGCCTCAGTCGGGCTAATGATAGTTGTTATTGCTGCTGATTAGATGCGACTATTATTTGGATTTTAGTATCAACTGCTACGTTACCTTGCTAACGAGTCTACTGATACAATGGTCGGTTCGTAGAAAATGACTAACGCGACCATAACGTTGTGATGACATAAACGCCATAAAATGAAAAACATGCTAACACAGTCATTAGTCTTTCCAAACTTAGTTTGACAGATGAAACAGGCGTAAAACTTAGACGTAAAGTCAATTTCGTCTTTACCAGGAAATAGTCTACACCTCCTCGGTTAACAACCACTTTAGCCATAGAGCAGTTCCGGCTAGTAAAACCACGGCTATCCTAGTTAGCTTAGCACTGTGAGTTAGGAAGCGAGGATTCTGGGGCCTTCTTAAGAAATACCGTCATGCAAAAACTTACCAGCTCCTCGTGTTTGTTTTGGAAAATGTCCTCGGAATTTCTTTGCTACCGGGTAATGAATTAGAAATGCCCACTGCGAACAGCATATACAGCAACGGAAATACTTATTGAACTCGTTGTGAGTAGATCGCTGTCCTCCATTACGCTTGTACGCATGCGCACACCTTAGATTTTGTTTACCACAACACGCAGATACACGCTCAACCAATTGGGGCGCAGCTCAGACAAGTCGTTTACCAAATTGTGGTGTATTGTGGTGCGTATAATTCAGTTATTTTACATACACGATTACCTTCATGTTTAAAACAAAAAAATACACATACATTGTATTTGAACATATTATAACATAATATAATTTAATATAGTACAATATTATATAATATTGACTGTGATTTGTATATTGTCCCAAAAAAAGATAATCTATATGTGGCTTACTTCTGTATAAACATAATGTCAGTCTATTTGCTTTTGTTTTTTGTTATTTAATGTGTAATTTCATGTTTGCATATTTATTTTACTGTATATACAATTATTGCTGCAATTTCAGCCTTTGTTTTATACTCAAAATTGGGTTTGTTATGACAAAATTATATTCCATTATCCAGTATTTGACTTGTTTTACCACTGACTCATGTCGTCAGCCTGACCTTATGTGTGCTTGCCATGGATGGGAGATGCTCCTCATTATCTGTTCTCCGTGTCCTGTAAGACCTTGACAATTGCATATTTCTGAGTTTCTGTTGGCTGTACTGAGACCAACTGGCCCCCACTCATATTCTTGTACACACACACGAATGTATCTAACACACTATAAATGTAATTTTAAACTCGTTTGCAAGGGGCACTCTTGTACAGACAAGTGCTTGTGTTACTTTCAATAAATTCTTTAATAAACTCAAAACAAACAGCGTTGTTCATTTTCTGTTTTATTCTTTATTCCAAGGTGACTGCTGACATAATTACCAAAACTATTTATTGTTACTTATATTCTTGGCTTCCAATAATTCTTACCTTGTAACTACACCTTTTTCAGCAATTTTGTTGTCTTCCTTTTAATCATTATTCATTGTGGCTAAGAATTAGCAATGCCTTAAATGTATTAATCCTTAGCTAATATTTATAATTTTGGCCTGGTGTTCAGTTCTGTTTGCCTATTGTGACAATGGCTCAAACACAAAGGCACAGATGGCCCTATAAATATATTGAATTCATTTCCTTTGTTCCCTCTGACCGTACAGTTTGTGTGTTAACAAATATAAAGACAAAAAAACCCCATTTGAACATTTGTTTTTATTTCATGCCATAAAAGGCACATTTACTGTGTACACTGAATCCAATAGTTTTCATAGGGTATATAACGTCATATGCATCTTTACTCAAGTAGTGCATATAATAAGATTCCCATGAGTAAATGCAACAATAACTTTAGCACATTTGGTTAACGACAAAAAGATAAAACACACATGAGCACTGACAATCTGTGTATGCAGGTGGAAGTACATGTACACCCTGTAGTCCTTGGAGTTCCGATGACCTATCATTACACCAAAAGGAAGCATACAATACGTTGCATTCAGCAGCACTTGGTTTCTGAAAGTCCATAGAGACTATATACGGTTTCGCAGCTGTCAGTCCCATGTCATTTAAGTCATGTCTCGTTCTTTTTGTCCATTTGCATAAGCCTTGTCACGTTGCATCTGCAGTCAGTTAAAATGCATATACGACAACCTGCAGGCTGTCTACGACCGCTCCTTTGATTCATTCGTTTCTGCTTTAACCATGACAAAAACTCTCATTTACTAATTAACACTTTCTGCTATCCAGTCAATAGATAATCACTGTCTGGGAGCATAGACTGTGCTTTTTCTTGCATCTTACTGTCCCATTATGAGACAAAACAACACCCACGAATGAATGTCTTTCAGAGAATATAAGGTTCAGCTCGATATTTCACTGTTAGATAAATAGGGGAACACACCTTTAGTTGGAATTAATCAGCTTAGAGACAGAACAGCTTGAAGCAGTTAATACAACCACACTTTGTTATGGCAGTTGCTGTTATTTCAGAATTAAATAATAATAATAATACGTACACATTAGGAGAGACACTTAGGAGTGGATTTTTCAATATGACAATATACTGAAACTCTCTTAATCATCACTTACACATTTTCATATTCTCATGTAACTCATGCAGGGTCCTTAGTATTTGTTGTATCCTTAGGATATTATAGTATTATATAATTTTGAGAAAATGGCTTCTACACTGATGGAGGTGGGCCACAAAGGCAACAGTGTTAGTTATTGTCTGGTTTTACGTTACGTTAGATTGACTTAAATCTGTTAGATTATAACTTGTTTCTCATGCATTTGGGATTCATGTTTGTGATTTATTCCATTATGGTTAATGTACTCCCACATACCTGTTTGAATTAATATTAAATACTTTTTTCTTTTTGAAAATACAAGCCAATTCCAGCTTCTGCCACTGGGGATTTTCATATTTCAGATGGTGACTGACTGCACTGTATCACTGTAACAGTTGGGTTCATTTGATTTCTGCTTGTGGTGCAGTTGTTAACTATATCTGCATGTACAATAGCTTATTAATCATGGCACATATTTATATGTTAAGAAATGATGTCTTGTACAGAATCAGACATCACCATAGCATTTATAACTCTCCAGTTTGATGCATTCACCTCTATCTTTACACTTCACATCTCCATAAAGGCATAAAGGCAGACTGTAGGTTTTGCAGACAGAATATTTATGATAGAGTCAGAAAATGAATGGGTTTTATGCCTTTCTCTTTTTCCAGTTGTTAGTTCTTCACCACAGACATTTCAACACAAACCACATGGACGTACGTCCTTTATCTCCACATATTGTCTCTCTTAAAAAGTGTGATGTGATGGAGCACCGACTCTTTCAATAAGTGAAGAAGAAACTTTTTTTTTTTTTGCTTCATCCCCGTCTGATGAAAGTCCTGCTTTATCTTCTACACCGTCCACATCATGAAGAGATGGGTCTGGAAGTAACAGCTCTCAGCCTGGAAGCAGCCTCAGGAACATTTGCCTACTGCCAAAAAAGGCCTTCTGGTTGGTTGTGTTGACTCCTAGACTCCTCGTGGTTATTTATCCATAGACTTGTTGGTTTTCAGTGTATGGAGAGTGTCACTGGCAGCGGCGGTCTTGTCTGTTTCTGTCTTGCTACTGTCTTTCCTGGACATGTCCGGCTCCCATAAGAAAAACTCATGGAGGAGAGTGTTGACAGTCTCAGGACACTCCATCATGACCATGTGACTGCCTTCCTCTATGACTTTGAGGAATGCAAAAAGCAGGATCTACAAAGGGAGTATAAAAATAACACAAACATTACAACTACACTTGCTTTTTGTATAAAATGACAAATGAACCACAGTCATGGTCATAAGTTACCTCTGCCATCCGCTGATCTTCATCCATGGGCACAAACTTGTCACACATGCCATGAACCAGAAGGATGGGAACAGTGAGCTCAGCGTGGTAGACCTCATCTCCTTCAGGCCAGTACTGTCCACTCATCATGGCTCTCAGGACAAACGGAGACACGTTGAAGGCGTTGCCCTGCTTCAACAGCTGCTTCTCTTTGGTCCCCTGACGAGCAAACCCTGCTCTGAAGGTTGGAAAGAGACGAGAAATGTTACGATGGTTAACTGCACCGTTTGAATGACGTGTCAGAGTGGATCACTCACTTGAGAAAGCTCCATGCCAGACAGGGGGACAGACAGTGTAGGACACAAGATGGCAGTTGGAAAATGGAGCACAGGCTGGGCTCCAGAGCTGTGGGACCGCCTCCGTTGATCATCACCACCTTATGAACTAAATCAGGGTATTCATGGGCCAGGAATGTGCAAAATGACACGCTGAGAAGGATAAAAAAAGACTTATGTAAGCTAATGGTGCCACATAATAAAATTCATAGAATCATCAAATGGTCATAACTGAGATTACATCAGAAATGATTGACAGAGACTCACCCATATGAGTGGCCAATGAGAATGTTGCGTTTACGTGCATATCTCTTAAAAATGGCACGGAGGTCTTCCGCCAGGGCATAAAAGGTATAAGCTGCTGCGATCTGTGGGGCAGTGCTGGCTCCATGTCCTGCCAGGTCTGGAGCAATGACCTCATAGCCCAGTCGAGAAAAGAAGTCCAGCTGACTGCCCCATATGTCCAAAGAGCCGCCCACTCCGTGCACGAAAAATAGCGCAACGTCCGAGTCCGTACCTTTGCAGCTGGAGATCACCCTTTTAGAGTCGATCACTACTGTGCGTTTGGGTTTGCGGCGGCGCCTGCGAGGAGGCGGAGCGGGTTTTTGTTCCCCGTGAGTTGGCGGAACCGGAGGAGGAACAGGGTTGGGGTCTGGAGATGAGGGCATTTCTTTATAATCAGCCAGCTCCACCTCCACCGTGCTGCAGGGCTCAAGGTCTCCATCCTGACACTGCAGAATCTCAGAGTGCAGAACATCACCGAGGTTCTCGATCACCAGCTGGCCGTTACGGTACACAGTGATCTTCCTCTTACAGTGGACGCTGCTGCCAGTTTTGCTCTCATTTTTCTGAGAACAGCTCTCATTGTTGAAGTTGCCATCTGTCTTTACTGTTACTTGTTTATCTGTCACCAGGGCCTGCCGCTCAGGGACAATGTGGCGTACCCGCAGGACTCTCCCAGGTTTCACCTCCACAAACTCAAACCCATCAGAGGGTTCTGACGACTCCAGAGGCAGGACCAGACTGGCAGTCTTACCAGTGAGGCAACACAGTATGCCTTCAGTGATGCTGGTCAACATGGTGCCACCCTGCTGTGAAAAACACATAAGAGAGAAGGAAATGTTATTAGCAATAAAAAAAAAACAAACAGAAGATGACGATATAGCACATTAATGACATTTTCTTATGATCTATTTTAAATTGAATGACTTCATGTCTAAAAGGTCCGCACATTTGGAAAGATTTCTATCCTCGATTCTCATATTTTCCCCTCTGCTCTGAGCGTATGCATCATAAAGGTTCCAGGTTTGCAGTGTTTGCCAGTTGCCAGCAGCACACCAGGAAGAAATTGTGTCTCGGTTGGATTGCAGTAGGACTAGAATCAAGCTGTTTCCTAGCAACACAGTTACAATATAACAGTCTCCTTTATCCCTTCATCACACAATAATAAGCCAAATGAAACAGGCAAAGAACATAAATGTTTTCTCTGAGACAAATTGCAGAACAAAATTCAACCAAAACACCAGAGGTTGTCCTTCGTGTTTTTTTAAGCAGATTCAACAATAACAAACATTCAACAATGCATTTCCTCTGGTTAAAAACAATGACCAACAACAAAATCACACCTTTCATCTGGTAGGAAATAGGAGTAAAGTGATTAAAAGCATCTTCATCATCTAATGGTGATGACCTTGCACATGTAACAAGTCAAACCAGGCAGCATGGCAGCAGCTTTCAACGTCACTCCAGAAGGAAGATAAAATGAGACAAAACCAATATTTCTTTTCACAGTTAAGTACCTCTCCAGATCAGATGCGTTTTGTAATGTCTATTGAATGACGTATTATTGGTTCCCACTCTGACACATGCTGTACATACACTGGTTATCTCTAGGAAACAGAGGGGAATGAGTTCAAGTGCAAAGTAATTCTCCATATCTGCCTGGTTATATTAAATGTGACGTGGATCTTAGTTCTTTTTTAATGACCCTTTAATTACAATAAATAGGACAAACATGTCTGGATGTTTGTTGACTGTCTAGTCTGTTAGTAGATCTATAGTAAATATCCCTGAAATTGATTATTTTTTTAGATTTGAAAAAATGCTCTGTCATGCTAACATCCTCTAACTGTATGAGTTAATGTTTGTTTGACCTAATGTTTGCTGTGTTTTAGTAGGTTTGGATGTGGGGTATTCCATCATGAACTGGTTGGGAACCCAAGTGTCAAGTCATTGCAAAAAAAAAAAAAAATACATTTGCTGCAAAAATGTCTCTTTTTAACAGATATGACTCTTTCAGAAGCCATATATAATGGAAACTTCATGTCTTAGAATATAGGCATTTAAAAAATGCTTCGGTTGATGAGATAAAACACAGACAAAACTTCAATTGTCATTAAACCACTTGTCATTCTGGAAAAATATAACCACAAGCATGATCAATACGACTAGTGTTTGAATTTCTTACATTCAGAATTCACATCGTCTCCAACATGAAGCACAGGAAAACAGGCATAAGAGGAAGGCAAGACTCCACTGAAAATTGTTTAACAGGGTAATACTAGTACTGAGCATGGAGCAACCACAACACCTCATTAGCAGGAAGGTAGTTCCAACAGTCATCTCACTGTCGGTGAAAACAGGGATTCTTTAAGCAACGACCTGCTTGGTGTTGTCAAAAGCAACAACAGGCCGAAGGTTAGAAAGCCATTTGTTTCCCATCCAGGCTGTAGGACATGGGGTTGATGCCTCTGTCATGTCCCATACACGTTTGGTACACTGTGTGCTGCTTCACCTCTCAAAATACTTCTTTCCAGTAAGATGCAGTGCAATAGCATGCAATCTGACGTGACATCGTCAGCCATATTACTTGCCTGAAATAAAAGATGACACTATATGATCACATTTCTTAATGTAAGGCCTGGTGCACTAATGTCCTACATAGCATAGCTGCTTTACCAAGCAGGTGACCCCCAAGACATCAACGCCACAACCATTCTAGCCACTATGGCAGAGAAATATTTCAAATAATCAGGATAAATCATATCAAGTAAAACAAATCAGGATGGTTTTAAGGAGGAAAAATAAATAACACATTTAGGAAAAATGCAAATCATTTATGCATTTTAATATCACAATGACATGAGCACTGGTGTTGCTTAGATGTATTTCCTGAGTGATGATCAAACTGAACAGTGTATGGAAGCGTTATTTTTGCAGGATCGTGGTGAAAAAAACAAAATGCATGAAAAGATGCTGCAGCTGTTTATGGGTGCAGATGGCAGTATGATGCAAAACAAACGCAGAAGGGCACACGATAAAATGGATTACATACCTGCAGAATTACTGGTGATGGAGATTGGGATAAATCAAGGACGGTTAAAGAAAACGGTGCATTTGGCGCAACAATTGTTTACGCTGGAGATGCTGCAGAGAGACGACCGCTCCTCATTGGTCTCGTACAGAGCCTGGTGGTGATGAACGGGCGTGCATCCATAAAATGTGCCATATGCATTTCAAAAGGAGAGACATTTTGGTTTAAACTATAACATTTGCAGCTCTACATACATCCACTGCACGTTCAGGTCAGGCCCTACCCAGCCCTACCGTCCCTGCTGTATCCGCAGCAGATGCAGACACCACGGTGCTCCGGTAGTTCGGCACCCGAATGATTGACAGTGGAATAAGCGAATAAAGGGAGCGTCTGTACACACGGAAGGCCAATGACAGAGCTCTGTTCCTCTGTTGCTAAGGCTGGTGGAACAGCAGAGCGTGTGCGCGTGAGTGTGCACTGTGTCAAACAGAGCAGATCTAATTCCAAGTTCCATTCTCCTGGCTGATCAACCATGTGAATCCAGTTGTTTACCTATACCGGCTGCATATGTGAATTATAAGGATTTGGTACTTAGAACTACTCATATTTTGACTTTTTTTTTAAATTTATTTATTTATAACAATCTAATTCCAAGTTCCATTCTCCTGGCACCAGCATGTAAACAATTTATAACTGACCAAAAAAATAACATTTTTGTAAAATAAATACATAATCTTTGATAGCTACAAATTAGCCAGGGTATATTTTGCATTCGGTCAAATGTATTGGCTGCCTATAGTATAGTTATGTTTAACTATTGGTGTTATTGGGTCTGTATTGTTCCTGGTACAGAATGGCCACTTTTGATGTAAACTGAGAGAGTTGAGGCAGCTGTGTGCTCTCTGGCATTGTCTGTCAGCCAGTGTAAATAACTATTGCCATGCTTGTTCTTTCAGGCTATTGTGCTCTTATTTAATAATAAAAGCACAATAGCAATGACTAAAACATATTTCAGGCAGACTACGTCCATTGATAACCCCTGTTTTACATAAATCTGCCTTTTTAAATATAGAAAACATCCTGCACTTGACCATGTCCTTAAATGTCATCAATTCACAAAGTTATTATGTTTTTGTTATTTTTTCTCTTATGCACTAATACTGATTATACAACATATGTATAGGATATATGAGAATTCCAATAATTAAGTCCCTTGTCCGTCCCGCAATGGGGTAATTTACAGTGAGTCTTTGCAACCGACACAGTCTATTTTACTTTTTTAAATGTATTTTATTTTATTTTAAGTTGCCAAGAAACCCGGATATGACGGTTTCAGCAAACTGTATTACTATTGGCTTAAAGCCTTCAGCCAATTGCTGTACTCGATATTGGAAGGTAACTAACGAATCTGTGACTTTCACAGAGCCCACGTTAGACACAACAATTGTCTAAATATCTTTCAAAGATAAAATGAACAGTATATTCTCTTCGTTTTCTCGACTCCGGGTACTTACCAGCGTTGGCAGGTAAGTAGAACAGCTACCGATGTCAATAAACGGCATTGCTAAAAATGCTCGCAAGGAAACTTAATGGAAATTAGCAGCAGAGCTATCCGGCAGCCTGATGAGACCTGCTAGTTTATTTAAAATTAATAGCATTATTTAATGACCTGCACCTGGGATGAATGCTGGGTCAAGAAAACTGGTCTTTTTGTTCGCCAGTAGTGACTTGGTAATTGAACTAATAAAATAACTGGTACAAAAGAAAATTATATATACAGTATGTCTGAAATGTTACGACTTAGCATAACAACGCAGGTATTAGGAGGGCCCTGTTTAATTATCTATTAACTTAGTTTTGGTTCACTTATAGAGATTTGTAAAAGCAGCACTTTTACTTCTATGTCAAAATTGTGTAAAATATTAGAATTCCAAGTTTTCCTTTTAATGAAAGATGTAAAAGATAATATCTTTATCCATTGAAGAAAATGTTTAAACATAGCATTCACAATAAATTTAAGGAATTAAATTAATATATTTTTTCTATTAGCAGCATTCATGCCAGAAGTGCAGGTATGCCAGCTACCTCTCACCTCAGATTATTCAGCAGCTGGATTGCGTCTAGAACATCTCCATCACCTTTGATTTCCAAATGTGGACCGCTCTCTTCACAAGCAGAAGGTTCAGGATTATTCCAGCAACTTCCATGCCAATATCAGCAAATCCGGACACGCAAAAGAGGCATTGAGTACCAGCCCAAGAACATCAAACGTAAAAGAACACACGGCTGGATCAAGAGGATGAGAACCAAAAGCGGAATTGAAGTTGTTCTACGGCGAATGCTAAAGGGACGTAAATCACTCACACACTGAGGAATTCCTGTTGGAAAACCTGAGATAATAAAGAAGAGACTTTGGTTTTGGAATGTTGGCAATGGGGAAAAAGCTCTGTGTGTTGTCCAAACTGGTGATACTGGGTGACAAACTGGTGATACTGGGTGACATTGGGTGGGGTTTGAAGTGGCTTTGAATTAGGTGACATTGGGTGGGGTTTGAAGTGGCCATTCACATCAGCTTGATTTTACCATGAGTTGTATGAAACCTGGTAGTTTCATCCAAACATGTAGAAAAATAATCCATCATCCTTGTGAAGTCATAATCACAATTATAAAAAGATCACAGTTGATTGATAAACAAAATCTGTTGATGAGAAAACACATCTTAATAAAGTTATATTGTAAAATCAAAGCTGCTGTTCACTTCTATTTGTTACATTTAAGCTGTTTCAATAGTTGCATGTATATATTCTGTTTTCTCAGGTGTCCTTGTTATTGTGATTTATGCAAACAACTATAGACGTTGAAAACTAATCAGTTGTTTTAAATGTTTGGTTTTTTTTTTGCACAAGCGTCAGTTACAAAATATCCTAAGCTAAGAATGCAAGAAGCATATGTTTTTCTGAATTCAATAATATTCTCAAATACAGCATATACATTCCTGATGTAACTACTAGTAGTACTCATACCGTCACAGATGCTAACATACTAATTAACCTCTTAATCATTGACCCCAGAATGATTGAGTTCTTGATCTTTTTAAGTTGCTGACAAAACCATTTTAGAGCAAATGTAGGTTGTTTTTTTAATGCATGGTGTTAAAAATTAAGTAAAATGTTAAAATGGAAAATGTTAATGTTCATATGTATAAAATCTATTTTAAGCCACCCTATTGCTTTTGTACATTTGAACACTGTACAGAGAGAAAGAGAGAGACATGCCCAAGGTATCGAATGGTTCATCCCTTAACCCCCACGATTACACTGGAGGCTCGGTCTGTTACGCAATACTTTTTAGCCAATCAGATTATATATTGCCTCCTTCGTCACTCATCACTCACGGTTGAACCAAACAGAAACGTCAAAGTTTGCATGCTCCCGCCCCTGAGCATTAGAACAACAAAGATGGAGTTGTGAAGTCGTAGAAAGTCGTCACGAATTGTTCGATCTTTTCCTCAGTTTCTGAATAATTATTTGGCGATTTGTAAACGACCGGCAGGAAATGTTGCGACGGAGAAACGGAACATTACTATTTTTATAACTGTCTTTAAAAAATAGTTGAACTGATAAAGGAAGAGGCTTCGACTCCAACAGAAAGCAGCCACCGAGCTAAAGAACTAGCATCAGTCTGATATCACACAGAGGTGGTTAAATAACAGGAGGATTAAACAGAAATGGAGAAGGTAGGTTTTTCTGACTCAGGTTAAATATTTTTTTACAGAGTTTTACGCCAGCTAATATCACCTTATCAAAACAATATACAATAGTTAATATAGGGTTGTAGTAGTTGGCTGTGTCCTTTATGTTGTCTTTTTATTTCGTTGCTTTCACAGGGCGCTTTCCTCAAGGGTTTACCAGTCTACAACAAAAACAATTTCAGCAGGTTCCATGCAGACTCCGTCTGTAAAGCATCAGTAAGTCGTGCTTTTCGTTTGGTATAGCTCTATATGTCCTCCATTTTATTTGTTCTACCAGCTGTTACACCTAGGGAATGAGATGAATGTTGGATTGTTCTAGTGTAACACGTGCTGTTCATCTTAACACACAAAGTCTGTGTTGCCAAAAAAACAAACAAACTGCCATCCATGTTTATTATTAATCCAGACATCTATGTGGAGACTAGTTGAGTTTTCCCTTATGTATCCATTTTAATGTTAAATTACCACAGTGTGGTGGTTGAAATGCAGGCCTACACCATTACAGAGCCTCACCCATACAAAACTTCTGTATTTTACAGAATCGTCGACCATCCGTGTATCTACCAACCAGAGAATATCCCTCAGAGCAGAGTGAGTAAATACAGGGGTGTGACCACTGGGAAAGATTACCTACATATATGTCAGTCATATATTTGTTGAACAGTGTTCCTCCTTGAACATTCTTATTTTCGGACATATTTCTTTTTATCCATTTCTTGTTTATTCTCAGTCATCGTCACAGAGAAGACAAACATCCTGCTGCGATATCTTCACCAACAATGGGACAAAAAGGTAAAGGTTTTAAAGGAAGTAGGAGTTTATTCCTAGTAGTACGTTAACCCAAACCTGTTGCTCTGCATTGATGTTGTTTGTTTTTTTTAATCACCCATTGTCAGAATACAGCAAAGAAGAGAGAACAGGAACACACAGAAGACGACAACATGGCCCCACCACGCAAAATTGCCAGGTCAGACAGTCGAGACCAGACTGAGGATTCGTAAAGGAGTGTACCCACAAGTATACAAGAGTTTGCTCATTTCTCAGACAGAGTCTGTAAAACAACTGCTTTCCTTTTTTTAAGTGCATCAACTATTTTCACTTACTTCTGTAAAAACTAGGCCTCTGTCTTAGTCAGATTTCACCTGTATACTGCACATCTACCTCCTCACGCTTCAACCAGTCAGGTTTTACGTTCATTTAAGTCTGCAGTTTACCATTATACATACATTTTATTTCTCTGTTTGTGTCTAACACATTCATTCTTTAGTTATTTATGTCATCTCTGAGGTATCCATGTTTTGGAGTTATTGGTTGAGTGTGGGTGAATTTCCCCCTAACTGGCAGCATGTAGCTCACTGGTCAACAAGTTGACTGCACTGGTACAAATTGGTATAAATCAAGTGGCCTCAGTTATTCTCATATTAGTAATCATATGTTTGGCACTGCCAGATCTCACCTCAGATCAAACTGTTTTACAATTTTGTTTACAGTTGTACATTTAACCAACAATCCTCATTTCCAGTATCTAATTTATAAAGTGGGAGGTCCTGAAAGGCAGAGTGGGGAGAGTTCTGGGGACTGCATGCGCTCAGTGGTTAATATCAGTGCATTTGTGAAGGAAGCCATAAATAGAAAACACAGGGCAGCTCATCCAAAATGAGACTTTGTTTTGTTTTATTTTGAAAATTCATGCACACTCAACCTTTATTTTTAGGTATGGAATTATTGATGCACCGTCTTTTTTTTTTTTTTAAAGTCAAACTTAATTTATTTTGTGTTAGCGACGACTTATATAAGCAATGGTGAGGATCCTTGGTGTGACTGCTGTCATTATAGTGAAAGTTCAATTCACTTGTTTTTTTTTTTGGTCACGGTTAGAATCAAATATTGCCTTAAATGGAAATGTAAGTGAGTGATAAAGTTTCATTTTTCAGGGAGAAACATCCCATAGTGAAGGTCTGGTAATTATATTATTACCTGTGATATTTTTCAGTCCAAGTTTATGCATTCATATTTTGAGATTTGACTTTGAGATTTTGACAATGGTAGCAGAACTTATAATTATAGTGATATATATATATATATATATATATAGTGTATTTGAATGAGTAGCACAATGTGAGTACATTTACACTTTATCTGCCCAGGAACTGCTGCCACTCACTGTTGTGATGTTGAGAATGTTTTCAGTTGAAAAAAATCAATTGCTTGGTCTTGGCAGGGTCGCGTTAAGAGTCTTTTGTTTGCTGCTTTAGTTGCTCACCTCTGTATAAGTGTTGTGTATGTGTAAAGTTTGAATATTGTGATCGTTTTTATTCAGTTATTAAGTGACTACAGCCATATTGCCGCTCCACTCCTTAGCCAAAGATACAAAAGCGATTCCCTTCTTTAGCTTTGCAACTATAAGCAAATCACATTTTGTAAATATATCGGAGCCATGACTTTATTGTTACTGACATTAGTGCAGGATTATTTGGGTTTTCACCTGTTATTTTCTATGGTTCCCAATAGAAATGTGTGTCATTTCTTTTGTGCTATAATTTGCATCATATTGACTAATTTTATTTAGAATATGTTTATGCTTTTCCTTGATTTTTGTTTTTGGATAAATGCAATATGTCAGTTTAAGGTTGTTTTTTTTTTTTTTTTTTTACATACTGTGTAGGTATACAATATAAAACAAGGTAAAACCCTCAAACTGAAGAAGTCTTTTTTGGTCATAATGGCTAGTTTTTAGCTTTTAGGCTAGCTAGTGTTTTTTTTTTTTTTGTAATTCTGGGAAATAAATCAATCAATCCCACCAGATCCTTCACAGGGTGTTTTTTTTTTATTCTCAGCTAACAAAATCTGCTAACGTGTTCCCTCTTGATGATCATTATTTCAAGTGAGGTTTATTTGCATCATAGAAGTACATTCACTGATTCATGTAGTAAAATAATTCATAGAAAATCAAAGTTAAGAAAAATAGATTTTTTTTTTATGGTCACAGTGAATAGAACTCTGACCTATTGCAGAAGAATACGATGGCTTTCAAAGTGCTTAACAGAAAACTACATGGTGCACACACACATAATGCATGCACATAATGCAGCATGCATTAATTACAGGAGACACAGACCTACAGCAGTGTCCGTTCATTTCCATCTTGTCAAATTTGCTTTTTTTTTTTAGTATGACGACAAGTACGGTTTCCGTTCTCTGTTCTTTTTTTTTTTACTATTTTTTTAGTACGACAAGTACGGTTTCCGTTCTCTGTTTAAATTTTTTTTTTTTAAATGTTGCTTCAAACAAACATGAGCTGCTCTGTAAACAGAGAGTCGTGCTGTATTTGAAACCTAACTAAACATTTCCTCAGATCCGTTCAAACACTGACTGTACACACGTTACCTGGAAGCTAGATTATCGTGTGGTAGATACGGTGTAATACTTTGTGTGGAAAGTAAATTGCATCGAGTGAAATACAAAGATCACTGGTTTTAGACGTGGTCCTTGTGGCTAACAGTACCTGTGAGTTTGTCTTCCAAAGCTGTCTATTGAGAGGATATAAAAAAATGGACAGAGTTGCCATACTCCAGAGCATGACCCACAGAAACCCTCCCAAAAATATAAGGGGAAAGAAAGACAACAGAGGTTTTCATCAAAAGATGTCTTTTTGACTAAATTCTATGATGAAAAAAGGGCAATAAAGGTGTATAAGACATCCGTTAAACAATGTAATGTTTGCTCTCCTTTACCATGTACTCTTATTTGACCAATTAGAATTGAAAGTCTTTTGATAAGACTAAGATACGTTTGATTTAGATTTCACCAAGACTTACAATAAATACAAAAGGTAAATGGGATAAACGAGGGACCATTTTTTCTTTCAAATAAACATTTGTACAAACAGCTAATTAAGTACTGTTATTCTAATTTGTATACGACCTTTTAGCAGTTTTCACTAACTCTTCCCTTTACTGCCATGACTCTATGCCTCCAGACCACAGGCTAAAAAAACCTCAGTGAATGCTGGAGATGGCTCAGTCCATTTTTATATACAGTCTATGCTGATGTTTCACCATGGTTACAGTGCTCCCCATAATTATTCTGTGTCATGTGTCATGGAAGATTGTTTACTAACTTTTGGAGCCGGAGTTTTCTGACTCGGTCAACTGTCTGGAGTCTCCTCTGTCGGAATCGTTGGATGAAGAGAATTCATCCGGAGTTGTGTTCAAGTCATACCTGTTGGGCTGAGTGGCTGCAGCCTGCGTTGCTGGCTGCGTGCCATTGGCACAAACAACAGTACCTTCTGACTTGCTGAAACTGAACAGTTTCCCCGGACTGAATGTTCTGTTTGGAGACTGTGACCTCTCCTGTCCACCAGGTGGAGCTGAGGTCACTATTAATCCCGGAGCTGCGCCTGGAGCGACTGCTGGTTCTTTTTTAACCTCGGGTGACTTTAAAAACTTCAGGAATCCTGGGAGCTTGGCCTCCCCTCCTGTAGGGGACTGGGCTGGAGAGCGTGAGGTGCCGGAGGAGAACTTCCCCTGGAGAGGGATAATCTGCTTCAGCTTCATTACATTGTTATTTCCCAGGAGAGAGCTGGGTCTCTTGGGCTTGTCTCCTGATTTGCCCGCCGTTGTTTTGTCATGGTGATGCTGGTGCTGTGTGTCTGCCTTGTGATATTCACTCTCCTGGCGAGCCTCAGCCTGCAGTTGCGCGTGGCGTTGAAGCTCCTCTTCTTCGCGGCGACGTCGAAGCTGCTGCTGGAAGTGTTGCTGGGCCTGCTGCTCGTGCTTCTAGATTGAGAGGCAGGTAGAACAGAAATGAAGAGCTTCACGCATTTAACTAATTATTTTGGGGTTTGATGGACACCCTGAAATGAACATGAATGTGAGTGTGAATGGCCCTGTGATAAGACTATCCTTCTGTTGACTCCTGGATTTGGCTCTAGCGCCTCCCTGTGACCCTAAAAAGTATTAGATGGTAGAAGATATGAACGATAATGATAATGAACGAATGCATGATTCTTTTGGCTAACATAGAAGCTTAACGCTTTGGCAAACATTTAGCTACTAAGCTAGAGATTTGTACATTGGATGACGTTGGTCCAACATTATATCTCTTTTCATATATATATATGTATATATATATATATACAATATATAAAATCACACATACACTGATACAGAGAAAAACCTTTTGTATCGATAGACAAAATGAGGTTGGATGAAATACATGAACAGATCAAGGATATAGTTGTCAAGTGCTTTTATGCAGCCGTGACATAAACAGCACCGTGTGCAGCAGCAGCAGCATTAGTCGAAGGTCTTTCAAGCTAGGCCATAACTATACCTTGAAAGCTTCCCTTCGCCGATACTCTAGCTTGGCCATCTCTTCTGCTACCCATCCTGGGATATCAGGGATGGCAACATGGATGACGTACTTTAGAAGGATCGCAAAGTGCTGTGGACCACCAACAACACAAAGGGATAACAAGCTCAAGGGAGGTTTATCACAACAGAACAATCACAATCAATAATATGTTATTTTTCTACGGCCAAAAAACAATGGAAACCACATGGTTTGTTGTCATTTTTTTGTCCGCCTATGTATGTTTGAACTTCTCAAGGATGATTTAACTCACAAACACATCAAGTCCACACACAAAAGCAACACACACTTCCAACACATACCTCCAACAGGACAATGGAGACGATGGTCATCTCAGGACTCAACCAGGGAAACAGACGCTGGAGCTGTCCACACTGACCAATCAGGTAACAGTTTACTATGATGGCTATCAAACCCATGGCCTCCATGGCTGTCTGTAGTTCAAGGTGAGAGAACAACAGATATTCACAGGCAGCTACTGTATATGGCGTACCTTCAGTTCAGCATAGTCGGACCAGACGGTTCTTCACTCACCTGCCACTGTCCGATGTTCTCGACCCTCTGCCCGAAGGGTCTCTGAAGGCTGGTACAGAGCTTCAGGGCATCACTGCGAATCTCGATGATGTTGTTGATAAGGGCACACATGGCCGCCAGAGGAAACGCAGAGGAGAAGAGCACCACGTAGCCAAACTGGATGAACATCTCCTGATAGTCCTGAAGCGTGTCCTGTCAAACGGAAGCAATTGTTGATTATTTCCAAATTTTCGGTGAGTTTGTGTGAGAATATATTCCACACGAGGCTTGTGGAGTTCCACCTCATACGTCTGCATACAGCTTTCAATCTCAGCCTGGGTCAGCGTCACAGTTTTCGGTTCCTCTGGTGGATCAATCCAGGACTTCTTGTCCTCTTTGCCCTCACATATGTTCTTTCTTTTTTGACATACGGAGTCGGGCTCTTTCACGGACAATACTGTTGTGTTCTGCTTTGTCTCCTGTGGATAAAAAAGAAACACACCTTCTTCAGTGATGATCTTTCAAAGTGACATTAAACAGAATGTGCTTTCTCCATAATGTCATCGGAGTAATTAGAATAGAGCATTAATCTGTAAAGTAAACTAGTGCACAACTTTAGGTAGAAGTCAATGCTGCCTCTAATCCATTATGTTCTGATTATACACATAATTCACATAATGTTTAAAAAAACTAACTAAAAACTAAATGTGGTTCCATGATTACATACAGATACACAGTGTTTTACTTTAATACTGTACCATTAAAAAAATATACTTTCAGACCATCTGAGTCTGAGGTGACATACTGTAAATCACATACCTGAGACAGTAGTTCGCAATCGCTGTCTTCGTCACAACTGTCAAAAATACTGGACGGATCCATCCCATCTTCAACCAGTGTAGGACTGTCCTCCCGGCTGCTGTCTTCTCCTGCCTGTACTTCTGTTGTGACGTCCTGGTAGTCCACCTTCTCTGTAAAACTGACTTTTCGATGTTTTAGAGCGCTGTCGCTCAGGTCCCACTCTTCTTCTGTGAATCTGAATCCAGCCTTCAGATCCCCTCTTCTCTTTGGCTCTGGGTTACTGTTAGCACTGACGGGGATCCCTCTGGGACACAGGAAGGAGTAGGCCGTCATTGAGGCCTGGGCCTTTCCCAAAGCCAGACGACCATATTTGAGCATGATGGCCTGAAGCAGCTCCCAAAAAACCTTCGGGGTGAAGACCCCCAGCTTGTTCTGTTCATAGAGATAAGGCTGAAGAACCTCTTTGATGTTCTGCAGGAACTGGCGGAAGATCAGCAGAGTAGCCAGCATCTGGAAGATAACAATGACCGTCTTCCTGTTAAAAACAATCTTTTAACTAATGTTTTAGCGTTTCTGTTGTTTTTCTTTTTACATGTATTGGTTAATTTAAAAGGTTTTTGGGGCAAACTATTTGAGATCAATTAAGGTTCTAACATTTTTACCTTACTTTGAAATCAAATTGAGCACATTAAAGCTAAGTAATATTTTAATTTCTCTTAATTTTTTTTTTTTGGCTACCTCTAAATGTATAACCCTGTCTGGTACACAGAAGAACCAACAACATAAACATTAGAAATAGCATGCCCTAAAGACTTTGGGCTATAAAGCTCTAGTATTTGTTCACATTTTATTATAAAGTATTATTACACAAAAAGCTTACCGCCCAACGTGGGGCTCGAACCCACGACCCTGAGATTAAGAGTCTCATGCTCTACCGACTGAGCTAGCCGGGCGCGGAAACTCCAACCCGAACTTCACTTTATAAGGGTCACAATAATGCCGTTTTTATGTACATTTCTATTCTGATTAGGTGCATTAGCAAATATGGCAAATATTATATAATTCTTTACAACAACTGGTTCGATCGCCGTTCGAGCATGTCTCTGTATCGGTTTGCAGGTTTTTCCAATGTGCGTGGGTTTTTATTTTCCCCCGTTTCCTCCCACGGACCAAAAACACATTAAATGGACACTATAACTGACATTAGGTGTGAATATGAACGCATTTTTTATGTGGCTTTGCGATGGAACAGCGAATGGTTCGGTGTGTACTCCACCATCGCCTATTGCCAGCTTTGGTGGTTTTAGAGGCTTTGGTGCCCTCCAGTGGATATGCGAAGTAATACATTTACTAAATGTACTATTACTAAACTTTTAGTAGTAACTTTTACTAAATACATTTCTAAAAACATGAGGGCAAATAGAAATTAAAAGAAATAAAAGAGGTTACCTCCTTCAGTCGCTCCATATCCTTGAGGTAGAATCCAATGTAGAAAAGGCTCAGGTATGAATTGATGAATTCAAACTGCATAACAACAATAGAATCACCAAACATTGGCTCAGTTGGTAGAGGAAGAAAATGGTTATTTTAAAATGAAAAATACAAAAGAACTTACAAAAACCATTTTGATAATAAGGTTATTCTCATATGCACTCTGAAGTCTGTAGTTCTCTGGATGAAGGATAAGAGAATGATCTGTCAACATACTAGATAACCACCATAGAAATACATTTTCACTGTCTTTGTTCTTGGTTTGTTAGCCCGAGGAAGACTAAACCAGCGTTATGAGTCTCACCCATGTCATTGAGCCAGTAGGCAATTTTCTTATACACTTCATCACAAACGGTTACAGTGATGGCCAGGAGAATCTTGGGAATGAAACGTGTGATACCAGGCAGCTCCTGGATCTCCATCACCACTTCCTACGAGATCACGACATATATGTGTTATGAACCACGACAATGAATGTCCCACGACCCCAATCTGTGTTTTAAATGTAATGAACTGTTTTTCGAACAGCACAACAGGAAATAGAAATCCCCAGTGTTGCCCTTGTTAATCAACTGCAGAACATTTTCTAAACCTTCTTGTTGTGCATTCTGTTCATACTTGCAGTTCCAGGCAGAGAAGCATTGCGATGAAGACAAAGCACAGGCAGAGGAGGCAGATGGGCAGACTGACCAACCATCTGAACATGGCCCTCTTCCACGGAGGATAGTAGAACTCCTCACAGCCTGTGATGGGACTGAAACGCTTGACACCCTGCACAGACAACACAACAGGTGCTGAACTGTCATCATATTATATTCTAATAACAAACTTCTAGTTAGTCCTGGACTTTAGATCCTTTTTTCTTCTATGCAGCTTAGCTATTAGTTTTATTAATTTTAATAAATGGTTCTAATAAGGTTATTATTTTGTCATTTTAGCATGTGTTTGTTTTGCAGCTAATCTTCAATTATTATGAAGTTCTTCTCATTATTTATTTTTATTAAATTTCCAGATATTGTTGGAAATTTTTGCTGTAAAATGACAAATGCATTAAGTGTGCCAGAATTTTCAGCAATTTAGCCATTTATGAGTCTGCTTGTTATTTCGTCACACTTGATGTCTTTTTGTAATTTTTTCTACTTAAACATAGTTGCTTGTCTTTACACCTTGTCTGTTTTTTTCTGCAACACGTTTCTTTGGCTATTTTATAAAGTATTTCACTACATTCTAACTTTTTTAAATGTGTTTGTTTCTTTTAACCCAAGTCCAGGCTTTATAATAATATAATACTACAAAAGACACTCGCCCAACGTGGGGCTCGAACCCACGACCCTGAGATTAAGAGTCTCATGCTCTACCGACTGAGCTAGCCGGGCATGCTATCAGCTACCTCATATCTCATTTTGTCAAACTACAACTACAGAGTTGCACACGTGCTAAGTTCACAGCATTAACCAGCAGCACAGACAAAAACCAAATGAAGGTCTGAGAGAAATGTTTTCTCACATTAACGCAACTAGCTCTGTCACCTGGGCCAGTTCTGGTTAAAGCAACAACCCTCTCACCCTGAACTGAGGTCTGGGCTCCTCCAAGGACTCAGCAGGAGTGTCTAAAGTGCCCCACCTATAGGCCAGCTCTGCCTCTCGCCTTTTCCAACGCTCCAGAAACAACGTAGCCCACACCACGTTGAACAGAGCAAATACCACACAGCAGATATCCTGACTGGTCTGAGGAATGACAGAAGAGAAGAAGAGTTTTGTAAATATTAGAGAAGGAAATAATTAAATCTCAGTTTTCTTCAAATTTGTGAAATAAAATTTTAAAAAGGCACTAGAATTTCTTCATTTCTTACACAGTAACACGTAAGGCCAGTTAGAGTTAGAATTAAAACATTTCTCACACAGTAACACGTAAGGCCAGTTAGAGAAACAACTCTAATCCAGAAACAGTATTGGTACCTGATCTGCTTCGGCAAGAACCCAGAGCAGGAAGCCAATGACAGCAGGATAAAGCATGGAGTTGGTGTAGAAACCCAGCCAGGCAAAGTACATGCTGATCTTAACTCCAAAATAGTCACAGATATCATCTAAAAAACAGATCAAACGGTTGAAACGGATTCTTTAGTCAGGGGCCTTTTCTCCCCACATCCCTTTATATAATCATTTAAAAGAGACCTGATTATATATAAAACACATATGTGACGCTTCCCACCTAGTGGTTGACTTTCACACACGGCCTGGACCCAGGATGTCATCAGCTGGTTGAGAATCCTCTGCTCATGTAGAGGAAACAACTGGTGGATCACCCCCCGTGCAACAAGCTCTGGAACTAGAAATGACCAAAAATAGCACACCATTAATAGTACACCACCTCACATTTGATTTATAACTACAATAAATATATTATTTACTACAATTAAGCATTTTTGGCTCATTCTGATAAATCATTGACATAGAAGTTGTCATTCTCTTTTACAGGGTCTACAGGTAGACATGACATGACGTGACAACAGTCAGTTAACACAGACGTACTGATTGGCTGTCCTTCCAGGAAGTGAATGTTGTGAAGCACCTCTCCCTGCTTGGCCCGCAGATTGTCCAGCCAATACCTAATGATGCTCTGGCGCTCCTGAAGACAGTTACAGAAAAATACTAATAAATGATGCAATAATAATAATAATAATAATTAAGAACGATAAACAGGCTCAGATAAAATACCCTTGACCTCTAACCTGTGACGTGAAGAAGCACAGTTCACTCTCGATGTTCTCATAAATGTTGTCCTCCTCACAGGAGAAGCGTCGCATCCCTCCACCAAAGTGAGGCTTGACGGCCTTGTGCATGCCCATCTGCTCTGCTCCTCGCAGTAAGCTGAGGGTGAAGACAGAGGAAATGGACAACAGATGGAGCTATTTCTCAAATCCAAGCAGAGGTCAGTTTAAATAAAATGCATTTAAGCTTATAAAGCAAACAAACTGTGCACAGCACACAGCTGTGAGTCATGTATCTGCCTTAGTGTGGTTTCTAAAACCAGAGAAAGGAGCTGAAGTGTACATAAACGATGGTGTGCATTAGTCTTAGCCATCATTGCTTTTTTTATCTATCATCCCCAATACATGTAAAAGTTGTTTTATGTCTCGTTAGTCCTATGTTTCCATAAAGTTAATTTAATAACAGTAAATTAGAGCTTTTGACATTGTTGTGTTATTATTTAGCCCCAAGCTGTGCAGCATGCTGAAAATATTCCATACATTTTCCCAGCTGGAAATAATCGTAGTAAAGGGTAAAATCAATTCAGATCAACTTCAATGAGCAAATTCTTTTATGTGTACTGACAGCAACAAAGTCACAACTGACTTTGTTAAGGACATCCTGCACCCTGATCCTAACATGAGACGGTTTTGTTAGCTGCTTACATCTACTTTTGTTGCCTTTTGCAAATGTACGGCTACAGAGTGACGCGAGTTTATCCTGCACACTAGGAGTGTACGCTATGAGAGTCGTTGGTCAAAAGTTCCATGGACATAAGAGACGTTAGAGTTCATAATTCCACTATGTGCAGCGTCAGTGTGGGAAAAACCTCCTGCATGTTCTTATCTGTGGGGTAATTGTGTCTGAGAGTCTGTGTTTGTCTTGATGTGTGCTCTCAGCTTAGTTCTTTCCCACCAAAGTTTACAGATTCTTACTTCTCAAAAGTGGTGGTGATGAAGAAGGCGTGAGCCTGGGTGTGTTTGTGCTGCCGAATCTGAATAGAGACTTGAGGGATTCCAACTCGAATCTGATTCAGGAGCCAGAGCATCGTGTGGTCGTCAATGGTATCTGGGAAAAACAACAATTAAAGCACTTTATTCATTTTTCTAGACATGATATATATGATATGATATCATATATTAGACTTTTGACAATAATCTTAAAGGGAATTAAAAACATCTAGCAGACAGTGAGACTACTTCCTTAGCGATCAAAGAGAAAAGAGCTGGAGACATGACAGCAGGAAATGAAATGATTGACTTCCACTTCTGTTTAGAAATGTGCAGCTAATCAACTTGAGTGCACTCTCTGGGTGTTGGCAGACAACATTTGACTCTGTAATTCATTACTGAGAGTCCAAATGCTGCACTGTAGATTAAGTACACCACTAACACTAATCTTAAGGATCTGTATTACTAAATTATAGCGGCCAGGCTTTAACCAAGCCTTAGGTCTAGGCCTGGACTGATCTGCTTGGATCTCGACCTAACACCTGATTTTATCTCTTTATTTCACTATTTAAATATTAATAGTAACAGGTAGATGTAAAAAGGTTGAAAATGATAATGGCGATCACGACCGTGATGTTGATTAATTCGCAGTTGTTTGCATCTTCATAAGGTGGCTCCACATAATACAAAAATTCTGAAACAACAACACTTGTATAAATGGTAATGGTGTGTACTTTACAAAAACAGACCGAGCTGTTATATGTTAATGTGTGGGATTATGAGATGGGATTAGGGAGTAGAATAAGAGATCTGTGGACAAATCCTGTCAAAGGGTTGTGGCATCAGTTCAGAGCACAAATGTATGAGATCTGACATCCTCACATGAGGGCACACTCCTCTCAAAAGGCAGGACAGGGCTGACTCTTCCATACCTGGAAATGTCATCATGATGTCACAGTTTTCGGTTGGCATCATCTTCAACCAGGACTTTCGAGACATAATGTAGTGTCTGGCCTGGAGCAGGCGCTTGCCGAATAATTTATCTGAAAAAAGAGAAAAAAAAGGTCAAAATGGTTGGAAGGTGAGGTTGGGTTTGAAGCCTTTAAAGAGGATTAATGACAACCACAGAGGGTGAAAGTTCTCAGAATAATGAATAAAGAAACAGAGGACAGGTGGATCAGCAGCAGCACGGTGTCACCCACCATGGAATATTTTTCTTCTATCATTAGTTATGCGAGAAGAAACTTATAGACGTGACAAAGAAATTGACCAGTCGATGTCAAAGGTCAGTTTGTTGCCACAGTCACTGACCTTTAATCTAAATTTAAGAACCACCACCTTAGTGAGATGTGGTGATAAAATGTTTTGTTTTTTTTAAGAATAGCTATCTCACACACATAAATTTATACAACAGTAACTTCAGTGTAAATCATGAAAAACATAGTTTGACTGACAGACTTTTTAAACTGTTAACTAGAAAATGTCTGTGCCCTTTTTTCATCCCTAAAAGCCATCTGTCAGAAAGTGGAGTCTCTGGATCTGAGTGAAAAACTAAGTGGGATAAGAATGTTTTAGTGGATTTAATAAAAGCATTTTAATGCAGTTTACTCTGCTGCCATTCCCATGACCCGCTTATATGCCAAGATCTACAGCAAACGGGCCGACCTTTATGCACATCTTTAGAGTCGTCATGTAGCTTTTCCTTTTGTCTGGCAGATGTTCCAGATGCCTCAGGATCAAGAGACAATTTTGGTAGACCTTAGTATGTATGTAGATGTAGAACATACATTTTTCTATCCATTCAGCAGTGGTGTTGTTAAAAACAGTAGAAGCAGGTGTGACTAAAATCATGTGAGTGTTTGCACAAGGGACAGCATTGAATTTTGATCACTGAAGAATTGCACAATTGTATAAATATAAAGGTAAATGAATAATAATACAATTAAAATAAAAAATATTTTGTATGTGTAGTCTTTGAATTAGACTTGCATAAGTGTCCAAGTCCACCATTTTGTTCTGCTGTGTTTCTAACAGGCTGAAAGACAAAGTCCACTGTAGTTCCCTGAAGGTTCTTAAGAATGGAGGAAGTGCAAAAGTTATCTGTGTTTTTGGGTTTCTTTGCAGTGTGTTGTCTTATCAGATGTAAACAATCCTTATGAACAACTGTGTCATCCTCTCTGCTTGTATCATTGCATCGAACCTGTCCTGTCTCTTTGTTCATATACATGTCAAGTTTCTTAGACAGTACCAAAATCCATATATTTCCACCTGTGTAACCTATGTCATGTTTACGGCCTTATTATAGTCTAACAATTAAAAGATAATATGATATAATGTGTGTAGGGACACCGATGGGGGGGACAAATTGGTCTGCTCTCCCAGGCCCAGTAAGAGGGGGCACAGAACTGAGCCCAAATTAAATTATGGAAAAGGAGAGATCTGGGGTGGTGATCTCATCATGAAATGCTAAACCTCCAATTAGACAGTACCATACTTTGCCCAAGGATAAAATATTTAATCTGTACTTCTGTGAAAATGAATTCAATACCCCTGCAAGAAAGGACAATGCTGCTCGCTACTCTTTCTATAAATAACCACAACACAATAGTATTCTGCTTACTCACCATTCACTTCATTCGCCTGTGAAACCCTGAAACACCTGAAAAACAGAGTTGACATCAGAGCCTGCAGCACAGTCTCTGTTCTCCACAGAGTCATAACTCTGTCTGCTGGGACATGAACCGCATTCACCTGTGGACCAGAACGCATCACTCTCTCCGGGCCTGTCTGAATCGGAATGCGCACCGCGATGGGAAAGGAACCGTTATGAGCATGTACCGTCCTATCGTGGACATTTAAATATGCCCAAACACTACGGATTCAGTACACATACACACACACACACACAATGAATACATGTATATTCATCTTATTTTGTGACACTCACCGAGAACTGTGGAGGACGTCTGCTGCTGCTGGTTGGTGTTGGTCCTGTGGTGATGCTGCTGCTGCTGTTCGTTTGCCACCGTCCTCTCCATCCTCTCCTTTGCCCCGTCCCTGTCGTCGACGTCTGTGCTGCTGCTGCTACTGTTTACAGTAGTGTCGGCATCAACTGCCACCTGCATGCTGCTGCACAAGCACTGCGAGCTGTGCTGCTGCTGCTGCGGAGAATAACAGAAACCAGTCGCTAGAAGGAGGCGTTCACTTTTTGACTGTTAATGCATGTGGAGGGAAAACCCTGGTGCACCAGATGGAGGTGGAGGAGGATCATGGCATCTTCACGCTAACACACACAAGACCAGTCGTGACTGATTAGCCAATGACGACAGAGTGGAGGGAAACACCGCACACTCAACGCCCACAGGTTTCTGTACAGGTCAGGTGCACGTTCACGCCACGTCAGTTAGAGTTACGTAAGTTTCCTAAAACATACGATGGAACCAATCAAACGGAGCCCCCTTAAAAAACATTTCAGGTGAAACGGCTCACCATAAAAAAAAAGTAAGACGCAGAAATGGTCCTCATACAACTCAGAGAATATAAATAGCTAACAACAACAACAACAATAATAGTAATGATAATAATAATTATTATTATTAGAGCTTCGAACAGGTTTAGTCTAAGCTCGTGGCATGTACATACGTCACATCCTCCTGGGGCACCTGTACATTGCTCATCTACCTACAGTCCTGTGTAACAAAATTAGAAAACAACATTAGAAACAAAATGACATTGTTTACTGAAAACTGATGAAGTAAACACGTGTGGCCCACATACATCTACAGACTGGGTAACTATAACCTTCAGACCTGTGAAGGAAATGGATCTAAAAGGAAATTTAATTCATAGTTAATGAAACGTTGGTTTTTAATTTCAGTATGACAGTTCCTGCTATGGTCACTAGATGGCGGTAGACGACAGGTAAAGGGTAGAAACTATCAGAAGACAATAATGTAGATTTTATCTCCTGCTACTTAACCTTTTTCCGGGTAGCAGAGGAGGTGGAGCCATTCCCAGCAGTCACCTTGGCAGGATGAGGCACAGTCTGGACAGTGGACAGTACATTACCGGGACACAGAAAGACTAAAAACCGATTTGCAGTCATACCTATATTCAAATTACAGTGAACAATTGGCCCAACCCTACATAATCCTCGACAATGAACATAACCATAAACATGAGCACCTGTAGTAATTCCACACCAACTGTAGGAAACGTGGGTTTAAACAAATGAAGCTTGCTGTAAAGGCAAGACCAGAGGTCCCAAGAAAGATAGTTAAACCTGTTTAAACTTTAAAACCTGATGGTTAAATCATCGTCATTGTTTTAATCAACTGTTCTTGCAGGCTAACGCTAACGCTAGCTTGAAAATATATTTAAACTTTGAAGCATAATGGCTATAAGGTCTGACAAATGATGTTGGTGATTACCGTAATTTCCGGACTATAATTCGCTACTTTTTTCACACGCTTTGAACCCTGCGACTTAAACAATGATGCGGTAAATTTATAGATTTCTACGAGCTAACGAAGTTCATCCCGCTCCTGATCAATGACGTTTCTGGTAGGCTACTGTGTGTTATACTAGTAGCGTATCTGTCTGTGAATGGCTGTGTGCGTATACTGTATGTGCGTGGGGAGTGCGTGAGCGCAAGAACGGAAGCGGAAGTTGATAGCAATTTGATCCCTGTCATGTTGAAGTGTGAGTTGGTTATACAGGAGTTGTTAAAACGCTGTTTATTTACTGTTTTGCTCCGTGTGGCTGATAATAAAGACCCAAACTTCCCTGTTTCTGTTTACCTGTGCTGCGGACAAGCACAAAGTGAAGGGAGTTAGCCCCACAGCTAATGTTAGCTTCGCCCTTGGAGCAGATCATTAAGTCTCCCCTGTACATTCCAACTATGGTCGGGGCGCCGAAGCAGGAAGGAGCTAACATGTAACCAGCCGTGTTACAGTCACTGTTCGGAAAAAACAACAACATTTATTTAATTAAAACTAAAAAAAAAATATATGTGTAAATGACACAGTGACACCTGCGGCTTATAGAGAAGTGTGCCCTGTATATGTACAATTATTTTCAAATCAAGCTCACCTGTGTCAGGTGCAGCACCCCCTGTTGTAGAGTTTTAACCCCTAAAGCTGTGAACATTGGTCTGTTTGCCTCTTGTGGTTGGTTGCTGTAAAAATGTAATAATGGTGTGTTGTATTTTATATCAATTCAAAGGTTCTTAGAAGTTACTAAATTTATACCTCACAACTAACAGCTGCAGAGAAGCTGCCGTTAACACTGGAGTCTAACATGACCAGTAAGACAACTGATAACCTTCAGGATGATTTATAACCTATTTTTGTAATTTATGATTTATTAATCTTTATTCTTCATTATTAATAATGTGGCAGGGGCCAGAGAGTGAACATCCTGCTGCTGAGTCACCCGTGTCCCTTCACCTCGTGGTGACGCTCAAAGCTGTCATGGCTGATGGAGCTCAGGGGGATTAAGGGATCAAATCTAAATAACTGCAGAGGCTTCAGCTTTAGTACCTGCGTCTACTGTAAAAACAGATAAACAGGAACTCCGTCAATACACTTGTCTGTGGCGAGGCAGCTGTTGGGTTCTCAGCGTCTGATGGATGATCAATAATATAGATTAACTGACTCTTAAACAGCTGGTAAATTCCCCAATGTAATGCTACTGGGCGTGAACGTACATAAATGATTGTAACACAACGTGTGAAAAGCTACAATTTAAGACATCCTACAGTAGGGCGATTAAGAAATTGTTGTAAATCATGGTTTGTTGCCTTGGGCATTTACATTATCGATAGACCTCACGCTATTTTTCCTAAAATAATGTTTTACTACGTCTGTTTGGGGTATTGTTGAAGTTTATGTAGTGAATCCCATCCTCTTTAGGCTATTATACTGACCTTGTGTTTACTTTTACATAACTTACAGAGGTCAAGGTAAAAGTCTGCGTCGAGCTGAAGGAATTAAAACACAAAAGGTCCCCTGCTGATGGGGGGCGTTTGGCCTTCCAGCTGTTTCCAGACCCTTTCCTCCTACTTTGGCCCCTACTGTGGGCCCCCCCGAGATGTCTTCACCAGCCCTTGACTGTCATGAGACAGAGAAGACAGGGTCGGGGAAACGGGGCAGTTAGGAAATGCAATTAGAAGTCAGAGTAAAAAAAAAAAAAAAAGGGCGACTGTAGGAGCAGCAGACAAAAGAGTTTAGAGTCCTGCAATTGGAGGTGAGGAAGGACGTCGTAATCATTAAGTGCCTCTTCCTGCACTTGGGCGCGGACAGGGACGTACCAGGACAGCCTGTAACGGTAACTGTAAATGGTATTAAACGCCACTCATGAAATTCTTGTTATTGTTATTCTTGGGTGGTGGATTTTACAACAACAATGATTATTCCATGTGTGTTGAAACTCCGGTCTCTTTGCCTTCTTACTCTAGGCCACTTAAAACACAGCCAAAATGTCATGAAAATGTCAGAAAGAAAAAAAAAAGCTGTAAAAAGGAAACAGAAAGCTTCATCAGTCACTTATTTAAACACATCTCAGCTTTGATTTCCTGACTCACACACTACAGTGTATATCCCTGCTGTATGGGGCACATCCCAAATGTGGAAAAACATTTGATGTTAAACAAAAGAACAGACATCAGACGGGAAAGAACCCTCCCTGTACCTCAGCTTAAGTGTTGTATTTATTAATTGGCACCAACACAAAACACTCTTGGTTCTGGATTTAACTGTTCCCATAATTTTACTGCACAGTGAACAGGATGTTTGTCAGCACTTATGATTCATTGTTTCTCTGCACTATTGTGAGAGCAAATAGTTCTAGTTCTGATTGGAAATTAATTACATTCAGTAAGTCAATAACACGATGACAAACAAATACGGTTTACAAGTGTCATTCAACCTTTGGGTTGCGACCCCACGTCGGGTCCCCTTGAATTCAGACGGAGTCCCCTTATATGTCGAGTAATTGAGAATTTTTGTTGAGAATTAGTTAAGGCTCATTAAAAGATTTAGGAAAATAAAATGTCACTTTGTGCGTGTGTAATCTGGTAACATTTGCCGAATTTTTAAGAAAAAGATTAGTTTCCGCTGTATTTAAGCTATTTCCAGTCATTTTTGCAGCTCATGTAGCTCTGTTTAATATTAGACTTGCAACCGATAAACATTTTAAGTGGAATGTAGTTTCTCATCTAGGAAAAGGTCAGAACAATCCTGAGACGGCAGCACATTTGCCACATCTCCCTGGGTGTTCATTCTTCACACAGATATGTTTGGATTTCATTTGAGTTATGGATACAGTCAAGTGACGAACCATTGTTTTGAAACGGCTGCTTATATTTCATACGAGTGCGTTTCATACAATTGGCAGGTAAACATAAACATATCAAGTCCAGTAAAATTCCACCAGGAGGGGTCGTAAAAGTCACCAGTGAACAATTAGCCTCACAATAGGTGACGCATGAAGTGACAAACACTTCTTTCCGCCTCTGTGAAGGATTAATATCTTTATTTATAAAGAGGAGACAGGCGCAGAGGACGTGCTTACATTAATACACAACTTTATTTTGGTTTTATTTAGACTGTGAGAGCTCCACTGCAGCTCCTGCTGCTGCTTCATGAAGTAATGATACAACTTGTTGACTGATATTTCACATTTTACATTCATTCAACAAAAGTGCATACGTCGATCTGATACGGAATATATCATATTATTGGCTAAACTTACATTCATGTGTTTTATAGAGTTACATCGTGGGGAGCAGATCACATTTTTAAAAAGTGGGTCATCGTGAGAAGAAAGACTAACCGATCATCCTGGCGAGATCGTCGTTTTCTCTGGAGGAGGAGAGAGAGAAAGAGAGGGAGAAAATAAATAATAATACATAGTAATTAATAATTTATTGTATTAGTGTATTTGTGTAATTATTATATTATATATATTACATATTTATTGTTTTTGACCAATGATTAGCTAGTTGCCTTGAAACAAATTTGTAGCTTCCGTCACGCAACCTTTCTGCTGACACTACCTCCTATTTAACCTCTAACTAACTCCACAAGAATTCTTTCTGATAACTGCGCCACGTCTCACTATCAAATGGTACAGTCTAACTCTCGTAAAATTTACAATTATATTATAAAACCTAGACAGAAGGACAAATTCTACTCACTCTTGGGCAGAGGGGTTGATGAGACGATGCAAATCTCGGAGATGTTGAGCCACGTTAACTGTTGGACCAATAAAAACAGCAGTTTGTTGTCACATGACCAATGCCACAATGGTAACATCCCTCATATAATAATTAAAAAAAAGAATAAAATGCAGATGAATTGTGTCGTATTCATTCTCACCAGATTCTGCTGTCCTTCCTGTGCTCAACGATGAACTGGTCCCAGTGCTAGCACTGCTGCTGGATGTTCCCCTTCCAGTTGCAGTTCCTGTTCCTGTTCCTGTTCCTGTTCCTGTTCCTGTTCCTGCAGTCTTACTCTGGCTTGAGCTACTGAACCCAAACCATGAACCCAAACCGGACGAGCTTCTGGTGTTCGACGCTGGTTTACTTGAGCCCAACCCAGTTGAGCTGGCATCTGGTTTTGCATTAGTGGTTCCAACACTTGATGAACCTCCTGCAGCAGATCCAAGCTTATTCACTCCTAACCCCCTAGAACCAAGGATTGAACTTGATTCAGATGCAGTTGAGGTTGAGCTTGACGAGCCTAGCCCAGTGGATCCATACTTATTCAACCCTGAACTGGTAGAGCCTAAGCTTGAACCCAACCCATTTGATCCAAGCCTATTTACAGCTGATCCAGTAGAACCCAGGCCTGAAGTGGACCCAGTTGAGGAAGACGAACTTGAAGATCCTAAACTGCCTGAACCAAGCCTATTCAACCCTGACACAGATGAGGAAGATGAACTTGAAGAACCTGATCCATACCTATTCAAGCCTGACCCACTGGATCCCAGGCTTGAACCTGATCCAGTGGAGGGTGAGCCCACTTTATTTAATGAGGATGCTGAGGAGCCCAGGCTTGAACTCAGCCCACCTGATCCTGACCTACTCAGCTGACTATTACCAGAAGATGGAGAGGAGCTGGATCCACCACCAAAGAAGCCCCACCCCTGCTGACTTGATGTGCTTGTCCGTGAGTTAGGAACAGCAAATGGTGTCTGAAATAATAGTAAAGTAAAATATATATGATTCAGTTTTACTCTTCTGAATGGAGACATACTGAATTGTGTTCAGCACGTCACGTAAATACATGGTCGCTTTGCTTGGCCTGATGCTATTTTTGGGGCCACTTATAAAATTTAACAGAGAAACTCTAGTGAAATTACAGATATTTCTGCTACAGTTTCTTGACTAATGAATAAGTATGTGCTTAAATTTATGCTAATGGATTCAAATTTGGCTATTTTATTTATGGATTTATATTTATTTATTCCGATATCCTTGTTGTTTTCTTACCTTATGCATGCAGGACATGTTGAGTTGATTGATTTGCAAAGTGAGATGTTCCACTTCCTTAACTCTGTATCTGACGCTGTTCTCCAGAACTTCCTTCTCTCCAGTTAGCTTCATCTTCTCCATTAGGAGTCTCTCCTTCTCCTGATCGTGTTTCTGCTGATGCTTGTCGAGTTCCAGTTTGTGCCACCGGATCAGACCTGTCCGGTTCTGGTTGCAGAAGCGGTAATCGTCGGACACTCGCTCGTTCTCTGCCTTCAGCCGGCTGTTCTCTGATTGGATGTCTGAAACCTGTTCTCCCACGCTGTTCAGGTAACGCTGGAGCGTGTTTTCCACGTCCCTGGACAGATTGGTGCAGTTAGTTTGGATCTGCTCCAGGTGTTTCCTCTGTCTTTCGCAGGTAAGCTGAAAGGGGAGGTGAGTCGGGAAGAGGGAGTCGATCTTGTGCAGGAGAGCCCTGGAGACGTTGGTGACGATACTCAGGGACTGGGCAAAGTCGCTTTTACATTTTTCTTTCTGGTACAACAGCTCCTTTTCTTTGGTGCTTTTCTCTCGCCTCAGAAGGATGGCCTCCAGGTTGATGTAGTCTCTCTCTTTAGCAGTTTGATCCATTTCCATATTCAGCTTTTGCACGGTTTGGGTGAAGTTGGACTGTACCAGCTGGAGGTGGGCTTTCAGTTGGCCCGCAAACGCCCCACAGTCACAGTTACCTGCAGAAACTTAAGACAACGTACATGCACTTTCAGCATTACAGCACAACGCTGTCCAACAACTGCATGCTCAGATCATCTCCGTCCAAAGACATGCTACAAATTTACATGCGGTAATGTGGTGGAAGAAAACGGTCAGACTTACATCTCTGTGGTGACGGTAAGTTGCAGTGTAAACGGGCGGAGGCATTACACACGTAGAGGTTGGAAGTACACTGTTGCTGTTCACATTCAAGAAAAGGTGGCGTTAGTTATGTGTTTTAACTCTCACAGAAATTGTTGTAATCTAAAATCAATCTGACAATTCGTTTTTGGGAATTAAAAAATTGAAACGGATGGAGATTGAAATCGAAATAATGTATATATAATATATATATATAAACAAAATTGGTCATTTTAAACACAGTTAATGTGTTTCATAATCTGAGAATAGGCAAATACACTTAGAATTATCTAAGAATTATTTAAAAAAAATTAAAGTATGAATTACTACTAGATTAGGTATGTATTCAATTATTTGAGTTTTAAATTTAAAAAATTGTATAACTCAGTCCTTACCAGTTTCCTGTCATAGTCCCGGATGATGTTAGCAGAGATGTTGGAGTAGTAGCGTAATTTTTCCAGGTCCCAGTCATTCCGAGCCTTCTGGGTCAGAGTGGAGTTCAGTAAGTTGGTCAGGTTCTTCCTCTGTTGTCTCAGGGCCACGTTCTCTATGGACAGGCGGCTGAAACTTTCCTCCAGGTCCTGAATGCGTGTTGTAGAAGCCGAGTCCTGCGTCTTACCGTAGACGAGAAAGAGCACGAGGCTGACGATGATGAGAGACTGAATAAGTGAGGAGAAGAAGAAGACGATTCGCATGTAGTAACCGCAGCTTTTGCCCTTTTTTGAGTGAAACTGCTTTCTCTTCTGCGAAGCAGGACTGTATTTGGACACATGCGAGTAGCCGCTGCTGTACATGGTCGCTGGTAGCCAGAGGATGACACGTTTTTTTTAAAAAAAAGTCAGACTTCTGAGTTTCCCTATGAGAAGCCAAGTTTAAACAAAGTCCAGGTGAGGGGTGAGGGGTGAGGGTTCTACCTCAGCACTCTTCAAAGAAACAAGTACAGTGATGCCGGACCAGAAACCCCTGCTTCTTTATTGTTCTCCGTCCTCCATCACATCACTTTTGTGTGGTGGTGGTGTTGATACCACGAGAATTCATCAGTGTGTGGGCAAGTGTAAACATAGGGATGTTTTTTTTATGAACTTCTCTTACCTCACACCACAATGGGCTGTTCTCTCAGCCTCAGTCTCCTCCCTCCATCAGCTACCACCCTGCACATGGAGCGTCCTTTAAAAAGAGCTTATGAACAATATCAGGGTATGAAATACCAAAGACGTGAAATCATATACCTATGTAAACTGACATCTAAAAATATTGATGGCGGCCAGAAGGCTATCACTAGGAAATTGTTCTCGACCTTAAAGAACTGTTTGGACACAATTGAAGAATGATCTGATATGGAAAGACTCACTCATATACTGAGAATCCAACTGGCCGGCATTGAAGTGAAATAAGAAAAATGGATAATATATAAAACCCATAACAGTGACACCACTTAAGATTTGAATACATTCTGTTAAAATGACAAACCACTTTAATAATCTATGTATCCTTCCTGAGTGACACGGATGGCTGTTCTGTTCTGTCGTAGATTTGTTTGAAAGAAATGGATCGTAAAAATGTGTGAAAAAAGAGATTATGAAGACAAAAACACAGTTAAAATGAACTTTTAACATCACAAAGATGACCTTTGTCCTTGTCCTTCTTCAGCACACACTGTCCTAAACCTTTGGGGTTAAAGTCCTCTAGCAGATTTTAATTGAGGGACTTTTGGAGGAAATGTTTATCAGTGTCTAAAGTATCACATACCAGAACATGTACACAGACCATTTCATCATTTTTAGTCAGTCCAATCCATTCTAATACTATTTATGCTTAGAGTACAAGCACGGACAACAACAATTTAACAATTTAAATTTAACAATTTAAATTCTAGATAGATTAAGTTTAAAATTAGTTGGCATGAAGTGAATCTGAGAGTCTCTTAGGAACACAACATGGAGACAATGTTGAAAATGTTGATCAAGATTATTTAAATGTAAAAACTTCTGGTGCTGATGTTTTATGTTTTACCACATCCATTAACCAGGGATGACAAACTCCAGGCACGCGGGCCACATGTGACTCACAGGCCTCGCAAAAAGGGGCCAAACTTAGATGTCAATAATAATGAAGTCTGGTTTTTGTGGCCATTTTATTTGGTCTTCTATGAGGTGGCTGTGGTAGCAGTGGCCCACAGCTCATTTGAGATGGAGACCCCCCCCCCCAGATAAGTCCAGAAGGCCGATGGACAAATAATATTATTACAACAGGGCAGAGCGCGGGTCACAATCAACCTCAAGATGTAGGGTATATGATATATATACTGTATATATATATGCTAACTAGCTTGAAGAGGTAAAAGTCACGAGAATCGTGTTCAGAACATGTATAGCGACCTGCGGGGACCTTTGCTGCCTGGGTCCTCCATAAATGTGCCCAAAACATCTTTTATGGGATCATGCACAGAATTTTCCGGTGCACGGTGGGACAGGAGGACAATGGCTCATGTTGTGTTTCCGACATTCATTCTCTGCTCCTTTGATGCCACAAGTCTCAGTCCAACATGATGACGTGGGTACGAAGATGCCTGACTGTCTCAGAGGACACACACATTCACGCAGGCACGCAATTGAAAATCAAGTCTGAGAGGGTGACAGTAACAGTCACAACATTTTCCTGTCAGCCTTTGTTTCTTGACAGGAAGCAGTGAGTGGACTGCTGGCCAAACATGTGGCAACATTTGAGCCTCCAGATCTAAGGCGCCAACAAATGCAGGAAGTCAGAGACAAATATAGGACATAAACAGTTACAGTGATGATTTATGAGAGTTGAATGTGTTGGGTTTTTTTTTTTTTTAATCTAAAAAGCTAACCACTTGAAACGATCACACGCTCTCAGGCCACACTACTGTCTCTTAAAATGATTCTGCCTCAAACAAATAAGAGATATTTCCATACTCCACTCCAGACTGTCTTCTTGGTTTTATTTTCAACAATAAAGACGCAACTATAAACCTAGCAGGGACTTGAAAAATTATAAAAAATAAAAATTATATAAATATATATAAATGAAAAAACGATCATTTATAACTCTTTATGATTTGTTGTTTGACCTAATCTACATATATTTTGACTGAGGGAGGAAACTGGAGTAAATAATTAAATCTATAACTCTGAGGAAGATGACATAATTGTTTAAATTATCAACAGTCATTCTCCAAAAAAATATTTTGCACTGGGAAAATACATTTCTGTTTAAACGTTGTCTTCTTCTCTCTGAATTACAGCTTATTAGCATCTACAGTACATAGGAAGCCTTAGCACGTGGAGCGCCGTTGTCCGCACATGTGCTGAACCCATTGCTGTGGCTGAAGTTATGCAATGGTTTGTTTACCTAGGGGTCTCTGGGTGTCACCCCTAACATTCTTCATGTCAAATTCACCAATGAAATGTTCTGAGACACAATGCAAACCAATGGGAATTGGTTTCCTGTCAGAAAACAGCTTGATTTTGATTTACTCTACTTATCACCTCAATGCAAACCGTATTGCATTGATCATTGACACCTGAGCTAACATTACCCATTTGTAATTTTTTCCATTAAGTCAAAAGGAGATGTGCAAATTTTGTTTAGGATTTTAGTTGGATGTTAAACGAATTTTCTTGACATTTTTCCTTATTAATAATTCCCTTTGATTAGTCACGGATAAAAACAGCCATAAACCTACCTGCTGTTATGTATTTTCTGTTCCCGCTATATATATGATAAAAGTTTACTCTACTCAGTCTACTGAAAATTAAATCCTAAACCTCAAAATAGTCTTCTGTTTTGGGCTCCTGTTAAAGTCCTGACAACGACAGTATTAAAAAATAAAACACTGGTAACGTTTACTCGGTACTCAAACACGTACACAGAAGATTATCATGGGGCGTGCTGTCACCTAGTGGTCACACTGTGCTATTGTAGCTGCAGACTCTGTAATTAATGAGCAACATGAACATTGAGATCATGGAAATGAAGGTAATGATCTCTGAAGTAATGAAGTGTGTGAAACAGAGATAATGTGAATAAATGATGGAACACAACAGGCTTTTTACTTATTCATGTTCTTTGAAGATACGATCTGATTAATACGGTTCAATTTAATGAAGCCAATGTGCTACACCGTCTTTTCTCCTGAATTGTTAAAACTACATCTATTCACAAATGTACACTTACTGTGGCCATGACACTGTCATAAACTCTCCATCATTCAACACCTTACATGCACATACACATTTGTGACAGTCTGTGTGCGTTTCTGCTGAGCCACGGTACGACATTCCATCCACTGTCTGTGCAGCCTAAATAACCAGGAATCAGACTGAGATGGTGATCTGTGGGTAAGACACTTGGGTAATTGCTGACTTGCTCCGACAGACTGGTCGTGCACGCCACAGCCGTGCGCTGCATCACAGAGTCAGCCTGAAGAAAGAGGCCTCTGTTGGTGAGGAATAGAGACAGGGCAGAGGGGAAGTGGTAAATACCTGCGCTGTCCACCAGACTGAACTGAGACAAATAAACAATGTGGTGCTAAATCACTGCATGTGGACCAGCGTCCACGAGACAAGCGAGGAAGCGTTTTTAAACAGGCAATATTAGTTTCGTTTGGTGCTTTCATTGTTTTTTAGTTTTGTATCAAAATATGGCATCATTTAAATGAATGGTTTATATTACTGCTTCTACTTTAGTAGAAAAAAACATAAGTTAATTTAACTGTCCAAATGATTTTCTCATCAGACACTGTAATGTGTCCCTCTGTCAGCTCGTTAATTTAGCCTGAAATTCAATTTAAGAAAAGCAATGGAATCCGAGGCCAGTGACTCCTGTTGGTGTGTGATAAGAGACATGACAACATTAATATCAAGAACTGACCCTAATATTGTATTTATCTGCAGTTACTTTTAATGACTTCTGCCTGCTGAGCTGAGGAGGCCGCCGTGGAAGTAACCAGGTTAAATTAGAAAGATTTGAGTCATAATGATGTGACGTAACGTGGATTTATTTTCAGCCACCTCTAATCAGAGGTGGTTAAAAGGCAGAATGATGAATAGCTGAGAGTTAATCCCTCCTCCTTTCCGTGTCTTCAGACCAGCAGATGTTTTCTCTTTGACCTACACAAAAGGCCTCTGTTTTTGTTTCCAGGCCTGACCATTCCTCAGAGGTCACAGGTCATGCTGGTCTCAGGGTGAAGCTGTCACTGCGAATGTCCAAACATTTGACAGCCATCGGAGCGTGATGGAAACGCAGCAGAGGCTTCACAGACGCCTCACGGTGACTTCACGTAAAGACCTACTTTCCATATGCTGATGTGGTTGAGAGCACACTGCTAACACCCTGATATTGAATTACAGTGGTTGCCTCAGTGACACAGCTGACCTAACGTTAGAGCCTTGAACGTGCCGGCTTAATGCACATCAGCTAAAAGGTTAGCGTCAGTGGTTGAAATGTTAATTCTATCTGTAGACCAGACACTCATGTCTGTGCCTGAACAGCAGTGCCTGAGGGTAGAGACCAAATCTTTCATCTTCAGATTTGAACTCCACAAAGAGGTCTCACAATGAAGGCGGACCAAACCAGTCAGCAGACCAGTTTGTTGCCCCAAGAAAAGGTTTAAGCTGGCCTTCTGTTTTTATTATTGCTTCACTGATTACTTTTGCCAGCAATTTAGCATTTTGTTAATTATTATAGATAGATAGATAGATAGATATATAGATAGATAGATAGATAGATATATAGATATATTGATAGATAGATAGATAGATAGATATATAGATAGATAGATAGATAGATATATAGATAGATAGATAGATAGATATATAGATAGATAGATAGATAGATAGGTAGATAGATAGATAGATAGATAGGTAGATAGATAGATAGATAGATAGCTAGATAGATAGATAGATAGATAGACAGATAGATAGCTACGTACACAGATAGTTAGATAGATAGATAGATAGATAGATGGATGGATGGATACTGCAGCATCCCACATGCTCGCCCTCAGACAGAAGTTTCAAGTTACAACCACGACTTGTTAATTACATTTCTCACATTACACATCTTACAGGGTGACCTTTGACCCCTATAAAGCAAGGCAGGAAACTAAACAAAGGCAAAATTGGGAGAGCGAAAAGCTAAGCTGCAGGTTTTGTGTGCTTTGAAAACATTGTGCTCAGGACACAGTATGTTAGCAACAAAAGCACAAGTTACAGAAGACTGATGTTAAAGGCCTGAACAATAGGCTAATGTCAAACTCTCAGTTAGACACACATGATGGATCATGGGAACATGTGCACCATCTAAAAGTGCAGGCGTTTCTCCTCGCTTTATTTTTCCTAGATTAATAAAATGAAACAGAAAGTTTAACTATACATTTATTTATATTCATTTCAACACATGATGAAATAGATATGTATATATAAATATATATGTATGAGGCTGTACAGTTCATTCTTCGTGTTCATACTCTGTCTGAGCTGACAGTTTGTTTACACCCTGAGGCTAGAACACTGCTAGCTGTTTTTGTGCGTGTCCTTCTGCCAGGGCGACAGACGTCTCTTGCAGACTTGCATTTCAGGATTCTTCAATCTGAGCAAACAAATTTGTGACTGATGGTTCAAAGGTCACATCACTCCTGCTCACTGAGGCATTTCTCACAAAACAACACAAGTACAAACACGCACACACAAACACTGGGGACATTCAGAGTAACCTGGAAGTGAAGCCCTCTGTGCCATCTCACTCCTGGCTAATAGGGCTGCCTGGAACAGAAAACGACCGCTCTTAGTAATTATAACCTCAACATTGCCTGTTCAATGCAGGAATATGTCACCACTGTTTACTCTCTTGATGTTTTATGTGTTTTCGGTGCCAATTTCAACTTTCAAATTGTCAGCGAATGCACCAGAGGGTTAGTAGTATTAGCAATAAACATGTTTTTTTTTGTTTTACTAGAGATGAGGGATACACTCTAAAAGATAAAAATAAATGATATTAGTATCACCAAATTGAAATGAGAGACGACCTGACACATGATAGTACTTATGGTGAAGGTTTCATTACTCTGAATGTCTGTGGAACTGAGAAAAAGGTAATATCATTGTATGTACTTTGTACTAGCGGCGGATGTAGTGCACAAAGGATCCACAGTGACATGTTGTAGTACATTTAATTCTTTACAGCTGGAGAAACTAATACAGTGTAAATAGAAGGCTGTCCCACAGATTGACCCCCTGAAACCTTTGTTTGGGTCATTTCAAGAACGTGAACCTTAATCATCCCACTTTCTCTGTTATCCTCTGCAGGACAGTAATGAAGGGGTTAACACAAATGTCATGATTTTCATGTAAACAGAGATTCATCAGTGTCACAGCTGGATATTTCATCTCCTTACACACACACACACACACACACACACACACACACACACACAAAGTAACACATAATCCCCAACGCCCCCCCTTTATTCAACAAGACTAATCTTTCTCAGCACAAGAAGGCACAGTAGCCCTAATTAAAGGGACTTTCATTCAAACATACACTCCCTCACACACACACACACACACACATACAGCCCTCTGATGATCCATTAGTTACACAAAGGCACGACAATGCTCCTGCTCACAAACTCTCTCCTCCAGGGGTAGGAGTGTGTGTGTGTGTGTGTGTGTGTGGGGGGGGGGTAGTTTCAGATTTAGGAATGCCATAAAAATGTCTTGAGAGAAAGGAATGTCAGTAAAAAACTCTGCAATTGCTCCCTGTAGATAAGACGACAAGTTGCGTGTAGAGAATCTCTGCATCGCAGACACTTTCATCCCCGCACGTCTGTGATGGCAACCCCCCAATCTGCTGCACATTTACAAGCAGATTCATCACTTATCTCTTAAGGCTCTTATCCAGGGTCGCTGTGTGTCCTCTCCCCTCTTTTATCTGTATTTGACCCTGGGCTTTTTACCACCACAGGGGTGTGAAAGTCAGTTTGACCTCTTGGGTTAACCCTGAACACAAATCACCATGTGCTTCCACAAAGCGCTGAGGCCGTCACCCTTTGAGCAATGGGCACAAAACATTAACCTTCAATACCTGCACGACAAGCCTTTCTGAAGGAAAGCCCTACTGCACGTAGGCAGGATCACAGAGGGGACATAAAGACCAACTCACCTATGCTGCGTCTGACATCTCAAATGTGGAATATGCAGCAAGTGTTTTGAAACACAGATTATGTAGCTCGTCCTGCTTTCTCTGCAGGGGGTTCTGCATATGTGGCTTGAATCATCTGTCCCATTTGTCAAGTGGGAGACGTCCATTTAGCATGGAGTCAAATGGTCTTTATGGTAGTTCAGTACTTCTGGCTCTGCCAACAGTCAGAAATACATTCATCCATTTATCTTCTACTCCTAAATCCTTTATAGGGTCAGGGAGATAACCAAAGCTGATCCCAGCACTGGGTGATCAAACCCTGGACAGTTGACCTGTCCATTACAGGGTCACATGTAGGCAGGCAACCATTCATACCCACATGTGTAGCTATGAGTGTCCATTTAACCTAATCTGCATGTATTGTACGCGGGCAGAACATGCTAACTTCGTCTTAATCTTTGTGCTGAAAGGCAAAAGCACTGGCCCAGAACAAAAAAACATGTCCACGTGAGATTAAGTTGATAGAAACCAAATTGGATTGGCGGCCTATCCTAGTTCTGTCCAACCTTGTGTGAGTGGTGTGCTATGATTGACCTCAGCTTCAGCCACAACCAGGATAAAGTGGTAAAGTGTATGAATGAAAATCACATGGTCATTGGTTATTACAAATGCATGATAAGACTGTGTGATTAATCAAAGCTGAATGGACAAAGGTGTTAGCCTCGTTTAGGTGGCTTATTTGCATAGTTGAGCACCTCTGTCAATATGGGGACAGAACTCCAAAGATGCCTTTTTATTACACACATAAATCACAAGTTTTGTGTGGAGTTTGCATTATTGCATACACTGTTATATGGAATTTGACGCTGTGTGAAATGAACTGCAGGGGTCTCATGATTTAAATTCCTGCATACACTACTCTGCATGCACTGTAATTTAAAAAACCTTTGTCTCCAGCATTCATCTGTTCTCAGGAAGACAAAGGCAAGCAGAAGATTGGCGTGTTTGTATTTGTTGCAGGGCTTCGGGGGGATCTGTTATTGTCAGGGTTGCTTTGTGGCCTTGGGGGGTCAAGCTTTCTGCATCTCTGCGGTGAGAGATCCTTCACATTCTTTCTGTGTGTGTGTGTTTGTGTGTGCGTGCTGACCCACGCAGCCCACTCTCTTTGCTCTTTGACTTCAACAGCCATATAAGGCAGCCAGCTCCATGGTAACTACTGGGCTTGAATAGCAGTGTCAAATCCCTGGGAGCTTGCTCACTTGCACACATACAAACACTGAGTGGGAGGGAGAGAGAGAGAGAGAAACTCCCCTTCCCCTTCCTTTGCTTGATCTCCCCTTGCACGCGCAAGCGCGCACGCACACATATTCTTATTGAGGATGGTGGAATAAAAATTAAAGCAAATGCAAAGAAGAAAATCTTTGCTCGGGTCCCCCTAGGCTCATTTTCTTTAATCATAATTCGGTTTGTGGAAGAGAAATACAGGGATACATGACAGAAGAAGAGAGGAGAGGAGAGCGGAGGAGCACCCATCACTCCAACCCCCACCTCCTGTGACCCACAGCCAAAGAGAAAAGGGTTTCACACAAACACAACACGGATAGGAAGCAGTACACACAAGCTGCAAGTCATTAGTTCTTGGTGGCCAATCATTGACAAAAGACTGGAGGTAGGAGATTGGATGAGAGGAGTAACCGAGGGGGACTTAACTCGATTAGTTTATTCTTTTTGGTAGCATGGGGGACACTGTTACGCAAAAACGGAACGGGAAACGCGGATAGGGAACATCGTCTGTTGGAAGTCTGAATCCTGCACTGTCTTTGACTGCAGCTGTGTCAACGGCTGTTCCGTTGAAGCATCACTCTGCAAAAGTGTTGTCTGCTGTTCATGTATAACTGATTTAGCGTACGTTGGCTTCGATGTGGGTCAAAATGTCGCTGATAGGATTACAGCAGAGCAGGCAAAATCCTGTTGCCTCATTTTCGCTGGACCAAAGGAAGCTCTAAGAGACGGCTTTATTTTTCTGCGGGAGGCGCCGCCGTACTTGAATGCAGCACGGACAACACACTTAATCGAAGTGTTCGCTGTCAGGTAAAGCTCTGACAATTTTACACGAGGTTAATATTTAGACAGGCCACTGTTTAAAATGAGAAATAATTACTCCGAGGGCATATTAACCGAGTATGAGGGCGAAATTCATCAGAAATGACTGGTCAGGCGCTTAACGGCGTGCATGCTAAGGTGAGCTAACAGGCTAACACAGAGGTCGGTTTCCGGCCATTCGGGTTGTTCCATAACGAAGACGAAGCCGAGATTGGACGGTCAAGACAGTGCATTTAACCTCGTGTTATTTATTTGTCTTTTTTTGGAAGCCATTTTTGTTTGACTTAATTTTCTCCTGTTGTAAAGGTTTCCTGGCCGAAGGCGTCTGGTCGGAGAACGTCTCAGAGGAAGAACGAAGAGGACAAAAAATAGAACAGGACAAAAGAGAGGAAGGGAGACACTTAAAATAATCCCCAAACTAAAAGTTTGTAAAGTGGAGACTGTTTCCAGGTCATAGTGAAGTGGGAGGAGACTGGGTTGGTCTTGTGTTTTTTGCCACGGCCAGTTTTCCTCCTCATTGACATCTGCGAGTTCAGTCCAAGGATTGTGGTTGTAATTTTTTTTTTTTTTAGTATAAATTGAGACTTTATTAACCACGGAGGACATTAAAGGGTGAACAACATCGCGTGTCCGCTTCCCCTACACACGGGACTTTTCATATTTATGTTACTTTGACAGCAACCACAGAGCTTGGCTGCCTGTCCCATTTTCCTCTGCGGTGGTTCGCTAACCAAGCGATGGCCATGGTGAGTGGGGGCTGGGGAGATCCCAATGGGGGCACCAACGGGCTGGGGGACAAGGGCTACCTGAAGGGGGAGGAGGAGGACGGCTCTCCCCAGGCTGGAGGCAGCGACATGGAGGCCGGGGACGAAGATAAGGCGTGCGTGGTGGACTGCGTGGTGTGCGGGGACAAGTCCAGCGGGAAACACTACGGCGTGTTCACCTGCGAGGGCTGCAAGAGCTTCTTCAAGAGGAGTGTCCGACGCAACCTGAGCTACACTTGCAGGTTAGAACGGAATCCTGGGTATTTTTAAGCCATGGTAGGGCAAACAGTATACACTTAACGACAACTCTTAAACAAGTATTTTCATACAACTCTATACACACTCAAGGTATTTTTATTTCTATACAAAATACATTTATCTTGCAGTGTCATGGTCAGAATAATCAGCTTCCCTGATTTTATTGTTCAGGTTTTGAACAAGTTTCAGGTAGTATTTTATATATTTTTTTTCTTTCTGGAGATTCTGTCAAATTCTTCCCATTTTGATACTTCCAGGAATGGACTCAGGTCTTGCTTTATTTTATTAATTTTCAAGGCCCATTGCACGTCAGGTTACAGGTTTTCCCTCAATCTTTTGGAGATGGTTTTTTGCCCTTTTTTGAAGAATTGTTAGGATGTAGTTGAAACACACAACAATAATGGCCCTGCATTCTTAAAGTTTTCTGTAAAACCTTTTTCCTTGATCTCAATTTGACCAAGAGATCCACAGTGTGACTAATAATGATAATCAAGTTGATAATAAAGGATAAACATCTTTTCTGCAGTGTCTAAGTCTTTGAACTCAAAGAAGCATTTCCCAATCGCTCAACCTTGAGTAACCAACAAGGAACAAATTAGGTATGAAAACCTAATTTCCTGCAACTTGTTTGCTATAAAAGTTAGTTTCTTCAAATTGCTTTGTTACATATCTATCCACATAGTCATTCAAAATAAATTATAATTGATTAAAATGATTTATTTTGTCTTAATGGTTATGTGCTTTGTATTTCTATTAGATTAGATAAGAATGATGGGACCATGGCATTCAGTCCCAGTCAATACAGTTGCAGCTGTAAACAGTTTTTGCATGGTTTGTGCTTTAAGCAACTTATCAGTTAATTAGGAACCAATCATCAGATGAGCGAATAATTATAAATGATCACAAACAATGGATCATTAGGTAAAGACTTACACTGTTATGCTGCTGAAGCAGAAGAGCCTGTGGTGGATTGTGCTTGGTGATAAATCATGTTTATCACTGCAGTGGCATTCATTTTCCATGTGATTTGGACAATATTTCATGCTTGATAAAATCTGTATCAAAACCAATAAATTACCCTGACTGTGTTGAAAGCAGGTGGTATAACCTTACAACAGATCAAAAACCTGGTAGTTGTCATGATTGCACCCATTAACATTGGTTAATATTTGTATTTTTAGGTCCAACAGAGAATGCCAGATTGACCAGCACCACAGAAACCAATGTCAATACTGTCGTCTGAAGAAGTGTTTCCGCGTTGGTATGCGTAAAGAAGGTAACTGTCTCTTATGATTTTTAAATCCTTCATGCATCCTAATCATGTGCTGAGAATATGAAACACCAGGACCCAGTGGGCATATACATGTGGAGTCTTAGAAATTCTGAACTCAAGCTAATACTGACAAGAATTGTGCAGAATTGCAGTGAAATATGTTGGAGAGGCTCTTCATTATCCCCATTAGTTGTTCAATTGGGAAAAAAATCAATCATTGTTAGGTTTGCTTCACTCCTCTTCTCTTCTCTGCTCAAAGAGCTTTACAGAAAATGCCACACATTGATGTCCAGACCCTATCATGTCTAAGCCAGTCATGCATGTCAGCTTCATGTCATGCACTAAGTGACTTAATCTAGTGTCGGTGTAAGTGGGACTGAGAGGAATACTGTGCTGAGACACCTGCGTCCCCGAGCTGTAAGCCTCTGATTGAAGCTGACATGTTGGCTGCATCGAGGAAAATCCAATATGTGGATTTCGCCTTAAATGGTGAAGCTCAGAACACACGTCATGTAACAGCCCGCCAGCCGAAACACACAGACATATTCTCTATGTCTGTTTTCCAACCTTTAGCACACACAGTATGTTGCATTGTACAAAACCCATGGCATACTATCAAGCAAAAATGTCCCAAAAATATATAGAATGAAATACAATGATATTTAAGTTTGAACGAAATTGCACCATACTAACTCTTGGCCTGTTGAGTTGGACAAAACCCTGATATACTTGCATGAATTGAAGAAATACACGCATCTTTTCAAAAGCACTGAATCCTTTTTTTTTTACTGTTTACTGCCACCTGCTGCCATCTAGTTGAAGATAATCTAATTGTTCTGCCTTTCACTGTCTCATTGACAATAACTGCAAAATATTGGACGCTAATAAATAAGAATTTTAGATCAATAAGTGAAATTGGATAATTTTACATGGTACGCCTGATGATCTCTCACGGCACACTAAAGGCCACGGCACAGTGGTTTGGACTCACTGGTTATAAGACACCTTTAAGGCTTTGCATATCATAAAATATATTATAAGACACCGTTAAGGCTTTGCATATCATAAAATATATACTTTGGTTTTAGACCTAGTTTAGAGGTTTTATGTCTTTTTACCTCAAAGAGTTCATGAAACCTGCTAATTGGACACTTTATGACTCCCTGTGGTGAGATTTGGTTTACTTGACTATCCTTTAGGGAGCTGGGAGGACACAGTGAGTGTTAAAGCAGCATTCCTCTGATTGGAAGTGACTATATTGTGCTTAAGGAAATGGAAACTGGTCTTGTTAATTGTTGTTCCCAAATTGGGCTTCTTTTAAGTTAGACTGCTGTGTGTCCTCTTTTCAGTTGGTAATGCTGTTTAACTATGCCCAACAAGTCTCTTACAGTTCATGTCTTTACATTGTTCTGATAGTATCTGGCATTTTACAGTTTGGTAGAGAAGTGACACCTCTTTAGAGGAACCCAGTTTTAACTTTTCTTTCTCTCTGTGTTTACCTCCCAATCCATTTCTCCCCTATCGTTACACTTTTGTCATGTTTGTTCTCTTTGGTCCTCTCCCACCCCCTCCTCCCCCCTTTGCCCCCCAACCAAACTACAGCAGTCCAACGCGGTCGCATCCCCCCTCAGCCAAGCCTCAGCCCCTCCATTACTCCAATTGGTGGCGCTGGTGGCCTCGGAGGGGAGTTTTACAACAATGGAGGAAGTGGCGGTCAGCCTGTGTCTGAGCTCATTTCTCAGCTTCTGCGAGCAGAGCCATATCCTAGTGGCCGGTACGGGCACCAGTACAACCAACAGTCTGGTCCAGATAATGCCATGGGCATAGATAACATCTGTGAACTGGCTGCACGCCTGCTCTTCAGCATTGTGGAATGGGCCAGAACCATCCCATATTTCCCTGAGCTGCCTGTTTCAGACCAGGTCAGTGCATTGAATTTCATATCAAGGTATTTACACTTTGACAGCCATAAAAAAAGACTGGGAGACATGAAAGATTTTAGGCAATGTGTTAATGGACTATTGAAAATTATAAAGTGATTTAATGAACATAACAAATCCACCAGGTGGCATTGCTGAGGCTGAGCTGGAGCGAGCTGTTCATCCTCAATGCAGCCCAGTCTGCCCTTCCTCTTCACATGGCACCGTTGTTGGCTGCAGCTGGCTTCCACTCCTCCCCCATGTCTGCAGAGCGTGTGGTTTCCTTCATGGACCAAGTCAGGGTTTTCCAGGACCAGGTGGACAAACTGACCAGGCTGCAGGTGGACTCGGCTGAGTACAGCTGTCTCAAGGCGATTGCGCTCTTCTCACCAGGTAAATGGTCTTTGCTTTTATGGTTGCATGGATACAAATCCCCTCATTTGCCATTTTTAAAAGGTCACACAGATTGAGTCTTCCGCAACCCGACAAAACCCTGGTGACACAGAGGAGCCAATCTTTGAGATTTTTCATCTCAGGTGTTTGGCAGGTTTTCATAAACCTAGAGCTGATTTTCTTTTTTCTGCCCCTGATAAAACAAAATGGAAAAACAATTTCAGAAACACTCAGGAAAGCATTGTCTCTCAGTTTATTTTTTATTGCTTAAATAGTGACATTATTTTTTGTGGTATCTAAGCACAATTACCACCTTGGCTGCAAAGAAGACAATATGTTTATTAGGTGACTGGGACTAATGAACTGGATTTTATTAGATGTTTAGGAATTCACAAGATAAAACCTGAAAGAGAAGTGGGCTATCATGGTGTAAAAATGACACTTGTATTACTTTTGGTGTTCCCAGACTATGGCACCATCTCCTATGGTGCCATAGTCACCACAATCTCTTATTGTGGTGCGTAATTAGTGCTAGTACAGATCATGACCATACACCTGGGTCTCCCTGTGTTTAAGGGAATAGGCAAAAGGCATTTTTCCTACCTGCCTACACTTTCAAATAACCATCTCCTTCTTTCTCGCCTCTGCAGATGCCTGTGGTCTCACAGATCCAGTCCACGTGGAGTCTTTGCAGGAGAAGGCTCAGGTGGCGCTGACTGAGTACGAGAGGATGCAGTACCCCACTCAACCACAGCGCTTTGGCCGCTTGCTCTTGCGCCTCCCTGCCCTGCGTGCAGTCCCCGCCAACCTCATCTCTCAGCTCTTTTTCATGCGGCTGGTAGGAAAGACACCCATTGAGACGCTGATCCGTGACATGCAGCTCTCCGGAAGCTCCATCAGCTGGCCGTATGTCCCGGGACAGTAGCATACCATGTCCAAATGGACTAGGTTTCCATGTGGGATTAGTGACGACAGGGACTCACAGGAAACCTCCTGACTCACCACGGTCCATCTGTGTTGTTACCAAACTGCAGTAGCGATTGGCTGTCGTATGTTCTCTGCTGTAAGCGCTCTACTCTGTCTCCTGATAAGAAAAAGAAGCATGGTGTTGGGTGGACTGTCGTGTTGCCAGCAACATTGTTCTGATGCCAGGTCTTAAGGTTGGAGAACAGTACTTCATACTGGGCTCTGATACGGGCACCACAGGCAGATGTCACAGCTTACATGCTGTAGTGACTAGAGATGGCACAGCTTCTGCTACAAATACATCCAGATTAGAAAGCTGTCCTGTCACTCAAAACCTGGGAGAGTTCTTTTTTTCCTCCCTGGACACAATTCTCCATGACTCAGCATTTGTGACACTATATCACACAACCAACAACATTTTGACCATGCCTATAAGAACGAGCTGTGCAGCGTGAACTGAATATAACGACAGTGAGGGCCTCTTTGTAGGAAAAGACAATTTTGACTTTTACTGCTCTTACCTCAACAGTGGAGGACGACGCCAATGAACTGCTCTAAAGGAAAAAAGAAAGAAAAAAACAAGAAAATCTCACCAAAGTCTGTCACTTCATCTTCTGATGACTTCTTTAAAACACAGTTAGTACCTGACGTAGAAGAAAGGAGTCGAGTCAACAACACTTATAGTTTCACTAACAGTTCACTGACACTCGACTCTAAGATTTCTAAGAAGTGAAAAAGCCAGGGTGACGTATACCTCACGACATCAGAATGCTTTAATCTGATAATTCCTAAACGCAAACCTCTGTACATGTCCTTCACCAGAAACCGCCTTTTTCAACTGCCTTTGTGCTCGCTATAAATTTCATAAAATCTAAATGAATGGTCAACTGTGTCTTGTGAGTGTTGAAAACATTCATCTGGTTTGGGTTTTTTTGGGGGGGGTATCAGTTTTTGTTTAATTTTGATTGACGGACTATGGGGAAGATTAAGATAAAGGAAAAAAAGTTGTTTGAGTCGGCGTTTTTGTAAAATGTCATCTTTACAGTAATGAGCAAATTTGGTCAGTGATTAGTTTTTTTTGACAGCAGCCTCTGCTCAAACATCCTCTGAAAAATGCATTGTGTGTATATATATAAATATATAAATATTAAACAGTCAACCGTTTGTCCTTTGCATGTGAAAATGTTGCTAAGTTTCCTTCTTTCACATTAAGTAATGGTTCTTTTTAAAGTGATTCCTCTCTGTTATTTCCTAAACCTTTTTTTCTATCTGTATTTCTATGGAAAAAATACCTCTGTCATCTGTTTAAGATGTGCAAACACAAGCTGATCTTCGTGCTTTTGCTGCAGCTGTGACGTAGAGATGTCTCTACTCTAGTAAGTGATTTTACACCACATTTTAGTAAATGAAAATGCACTTGGATGAAATTCAACCACACCAAAATTAGTTCGTGTTCGTGATCAAAGACTCAGAGGCTCCTGGTTTCCCTACCTCCAGGGATTCACCTCAAATGGCAAGTCCACAAAATTCACAGATCAAGTTGGTTTCCACAAAAATCAACTCTAAACACAAATGCATTTCAACATTTACATTTGAAAAAATCTGCTTTGTCTGCCGCCGGCCTATTGGGAATTTCTTCTCTATGACAAACGCTCACCAAATATGGAGAAGAGGAAAAAAATATATACTCTTGTTGTTTTCTTTGTGTTACTGATTTCATGTTTATGGAAATGTATGAGAAAAAAGTTCTAAAGTCAGATGTGTCTTATGTTTTTTTTTTCAGATTACTTGAAGTGTTGTTCTAACATCTGTATGAAAAATGCCAAATAAACAGTGCAACATGTACGAGTGTACTCATATTTAAACGACGTCCTCAACCTACAGTGTTTCCATCTCCGTCACCATCTCCTATAAATTCATTAACAAAGTCTTCTATCAATCTGATGTACGGCATTCAAGCAAATTCCGTGTAGGAACTAGTAGGCGAGTGAGTGGATGGATCTGTCTTCTTTCATTTGTGTTGTTTTTTTTTGGGAGAAAAATTCATTATCACGCAGATAAATCACACAGTCCACATACTCCACTTGAAAATTATTTTAAAATGTGTATTGTAATTGCATTACATTCTTATGTACATTGATAAAATCATCTTGTAAAAATGCTCCTTCTATAAATGATAAAAATAAAATATTTTCTACACATAAAACAAAAAAAATGCAAAACCAAGTATGACAACAAATGTGAACACATTATATTTGCTCAACCAAAGACTACATACTGTATAGTCAGTTAGCTTCATCAGATGTGTGTTTCATGATGTATCAGTTTATACACAGGTCAAATCAAACGATAAAACAGGACAGTGATTTCTAACAATTATTATTTTCTTTCTGAAATGCAGTAGTTTAGACAAAGTAATTCCAGAGTAAACAACACTGTCCAATACTGTCAGACTGTTGTGGTATATACAGCAGAAAATAATGTCAACGTCCAGCTCTGTCTGTACTGAGAATCATTAACACATGCCTTCGTCGTAGATTTTTACCAAACGTTTGATGTGGAAAATCTTTTGTCGAAGTTGTTTGCACTGCTTCTTCTTAGCTTGGTAATCTGGTGTCTGAAGAAAAACAATGAATAAATGAGAACTTATTTACCAAGAAAAAATAGTAACAAAAACAGGTTGACACTGCACTCACCTTTTTAAAGTCTTTGAGTCGGTTGTACTCTTCTGCCACACCCTAGAAAAACAAACACAACCTCTATCACCTGAATGTACTGACATTCTATTATGCACAATAAGGAAACAGGATGCTTCAGCACTACAGTATCTGTCTCACATGTTGTCCTCCATACCTGGTATTTGATGGAGTCTTCGTCCAGTGTGTCCATCTCTCGGCTCAGTTTGTTCATCTGGTCACTGATGTCATCCATCTCTGCACACAGACTCTTGTAGTGGGACAGATCAGAGTCGAACTCCCTCTTGTACTGCTGTCGCTGTTCATCTGAAGTTATTTCTGGGTACAACCTGCAGGGGGACATTCATACTTAGATGGATAGATAGATTTGTTCACTTTCAAATTCATCAAGCAGGGCGGATTAAATGGTCAATCCAGGGAGTCAAACTCATGCACGACTCCTTATCAGGATTGTAAAGCCTCATGGATTTGGTTCTTGCCTGTAAAGATGTTCCGTGTGGTCCCGGTCCAGCTCATTGCCAGTGTCTCCTGTGGTATATCCAGTTTCATACTGAGACTCCACCGCCGCCTGAGCAGCACCGCGTGGCTCCCGATTCTTCCTCGCTTTCCTGTCAACGTGATACGGAGGAGGGGGTTTTTGGAAGCTGTTCACCTCCTCCGAGGAGCTGCTGGAGTAAACTGTGACTTCAGTTTTCTGACACAGTGGCTCAGCACCTTCACGGTGACTGGAGTTGGCAGAGAAGCTGAGGAGGACAAAGTTAGTTTGACTTTGATGTGCAAATCTCTTCCTTTCTTCTTCTCAGCAACACTGGTTGAACAGGGTAAGAACGTCACTCACTAGTTGCTTTTATAGTTGCCGTTGCTGTGGATGCTGACGGTTGCGTTGTCAAAGGAGACCACACTGTTCTCTGTCCTCAGGTCAGGTGCTGGTTGCTCTGATGCCACAGTAGTTGGTGCCTGCTGCAGTGTAACAGACAACATGAAGTGAATGGGTCTTGGACAGCAGCAAATCAGGAAAGTGAACATTAGCCCTCCTCCATCTTGAGAGTGTGATGGAGAACAAAAGCATTTTGTGCATTTGAAGCACTATTCCATGAGCAATGTGCTAATAAATTCAGCATAAATAAAACAATATGCATGACCCAGAGATTACGTTTGACCCTGCTCACTGGATTAGGCCTGCTGTAATCTGCTGTGATTATACAGCTCCTGCTCTCTGACCTATTTCTGGTTGAGAGTGCAGTGACACAGGATGAGGGTCTATTGACTTGATGTGAGTGTCTGGAAAACGCGGCGTGTGAAATGGATCTGATGAATTCACAACCGGGGGGAGGAGGAGGAGGGGATGTTGTCTGGAAAACTCACGCACACTGCAGGGAATCAGATTCACAGAGGAGGAATAGTGCTGCTGTTGTTAATCACAGCTGTGCTCAACACATGGAGATTCTGGGTTTTTTTTCTAACTTAAATGCTCAATGTGAAGCACAGAATAATATGTAAATCCATACATTTTCTGCAGTAGCTGAAGCAAAAGGTTTGTTTTGACTTAAAAATCCTTCATTGAAATTCATTGGTTCCTATGTTTTGTTCAGATTTTTTGTACAGTTATACATGTTATTCCCATTAATGATTATAAATAACCTGAACGTCTTCACTGCTGTAACTGGGACAACCGCTAATCTAACTGTCCTACTAGTTTGGTTTCAGATAAAAATCATAACAAATCTTGTCTTACAGCCTCAACACCAACTGAATCATTCAGCGCCTCCACACTTTGTAAGGTTTCATACAACAACTCGGAGGCAACTCAACCCCTTTTTCATATGTATTATACATTCCATATACATTATAAATGACTGCATGGCAGGAAAAAAAAGAAGCAGCTTCCCTGTAGTTGAAGAGAGTCTCAGAGGAGGGTCTGCATTCTGATGAAGATATGTGGTTGATGTGTCGAGGCCGAGGCCTCATGGACGAACTGGCTAATTATTCTTCTCTCATTCATGATGACACACAGCAGACACAATATGATAATAACTGTGTATTTTTCACTGCTAAGCTTTAGGGCAGTACTTTGTGTCCAGCCAGTAGAGCATCACCAGTAATGAAAGTGTTACACAGCTACATTTCACCTGGTGTAACTCACAGCTAGTTTTCTCGTCAGTACTCTTTAACCACAGCCATTCAATCTGGTTTCGTCTTCTGTCACCATCAAAGTTAGTCATTTACAGAGTCACTCGTGTCGGCGCAGGAAACGTGTTGTGTGATCGAACAGCGTGTAATGTGAAACCTTGCACTTTATCGTGAGGTCAGTTTCTGTCATTAAAGTCATGTGACCTCCTTCGTGGACTCTTTAACATTTCACCCTGGGTTTGTGCGTCACTCCTACAGGCAGAATGGTTAATGATCAGTCAGAGTGATACCTGGGTGTGTTACAGAAAACACCAACATCCACTGAGTCAACAGCTGCAGCAGCTGCTGCTCAGACAGATCCACCTTAACTGTGCTTTCAGCCATAGAACAATAGTGAAACTGCAGGAAACTGAAATGACAACTCCAAAGAACAGTATAGAGATGAGCCTTTATACATATAGGGCTAAAGTTTGGATATAGTCTTCAATTTGCATAGGTCAACTGAAGAGAAACACTTTTTTCATTTACTTTGTGCTTTTCTCTTGAGTGAAAAACGTTGGAGAAATATGACTTAATAGTCTGGTTACAAACATTTCTGGAGCAACATTTGCAGAGCAGGGTCAAAAATTGGGAGAGCTCCAGGAAAATGGCCTTAAAATATTAATGCTCGCCCTCGGAATATTCCAGATGGGGGCTTTACTACCCCATAAAATATGCATTTCACAAAATATGAATGGGAAATTGACCAGCTGAGGTTCAGTAGTGTGTTCCCGTATTGATTGAAATGTATGGCATGTTATATTACACTGACAGTTGGACAGAATAATAGCCAAAAGTTGGTCTAAACAACGTAAACCACAGAGACAGAGAAACCAAACCAAACAAATCAAAATAATTAAAATAACTATTTCCTGTCCTGCTGCTGAAGCATTACTTTGCTTCTTTAGGAATAATAATGACTTTATCAAGTTGTCTCACCCAGTCCTGTATATCCTGCCCCTCTGATGGTCTGACAACTGGGTCGTCCCAGTAGATATTAGCCTTGCCGTGCCTCCATATCTTGCTGCGGGTCTTATATGCATAGTAAGCAGATATAGACAGGGCCACCACCACCAGCAGACCCAGCACCAAGGCTACAGCCTAAGGAAAGAATGTCAATTATACATCAGAATGGGGGTGTGCATTAAGGACTGGAATAAATATGGAGAATGGAGCTCACCTCTTCAGGATCCATGTAGCAGTAGTGTTTCAGGTACTGATTATACATAGGGAGCCCCCCAGGTCCCACGCTGCCACTCAGGCTGGGGCTACCCTGGAAGTTCTGACACATCATCAGCATGGGGTTATAGAGCATGCTCTGTGAGCTCTGAGACATGGGGTTCACTCCAATCACAAATATGATGTCGATGATTCCCTGAAAAACAAAATACAGTCCTGGGTAAAAACTGAGGTGGAAGAACAGCATGGGTAACAAATCCAACCAGTTAATGCTGTACTAGCTGTGGACAGAATAAGTATTTAAAATGTATTGACCCAGTCAGGACAATTACTTGCACATTTAGGTCAGCCCATGGTTGCACCCTGACTGGGTCACGGGTTTAGACCGTTGTCCCCTGTCCTGGTTTACAAGTGGAAAAAAAAATCTATACGTCTGACACATTTACCGTAGGTTGCAACACGATGCCTTTCAGTAAAAAGACGTGTGTTTAGTCGGCATGTGTTAGTGTTAGCAAAATGGCTGGCAACAAGCAAGTTTGGTAGCAGCTGGCTACTGTACGTGTACACTGTAAGTGTAATGTTACTGTACAATGTATGTGTAAACAGGGTGGGTAAAGACGAGAGGGTGAATTTTGTTTGTGTTGAAGGATTCCATATACCTGGGCTATTTTATATGTATCTGCTACTTTTCACTTAAATACAAATATTAACTTAAAATATAAATTACTGACCTGAAGTATAGCCAGAATGATGTCACAGATGAACACTGTCAGATAGAAACTGCATCCCCTCATCAGCCTGGACCGTGAGAAACTTGCTATGAGGAAACCCAGGGACACCAAGAAGTTGATGGCCGCCATGGAGATCATGGCCGACTTGGCAGAGTGCGGCGTCATGTAGGAGCCGCCGTAGCCGTAGCTTCCTCCATAATAGCCCGTCCCCGTGCCGGCAACACTTCCTGCACTCCCGACGCCGTAACCCCCGTACCCAAATCCATTCATGTCCCAGACCAGGGTTGAAGCAACAAAGGCAAAGATGAGGAAACACAGGAGCACAGTGAGGCCCTGGAATGTTTTGACCAAGCCAGGAGGAGAAAACCATCGGTAGAAGTGTTGAGGCCTTCCTTCCATGTAGTAGGAGTCTGGAGGGACGCTGTAGGTGTACGGAGCATACTGGCTTTGGGGGGAATTGACGCTCCTCACAGGGAAGAAGTTTTGGGAAGTGGTGCTGTAAGGTGGACTGTACACAGGAGGGCTGTCATACATGATGGAGAATGATGCAACTGTATCTGCAAAAGAAAAATGACAATATTGGCAAAGAGCAAAGTAAGAACACACCACTAAATATTTGCATCTTTTTCTCAATGTACAACATCATAAAACTTTGGTTTGTGTTCATCTCACTAACTTAGCCCTTCCTTGAACCCGTTGCATGGTAACCCTGACCCACTCTTCATCACTATAGAGGAACTTAAGCCAAAAGCCTTCAATAATTCAGACAGCAGTCAGTAGGTAAAAGGTGAGCTGGGGCAGCCATTAGAGGGCTTTACAGTAGGGTCAGAGCACAGATGTGTTCTGCTTTTTCTTCCACAGTCCTTAAATGTATTTTTTTTAATCTAATTCCAATTGTAATTAAGTAATTCAGCAATCATCCTTTACATGGGTACTACAATTACAACAACCACTACACCAAGAGCAGTTGCAACAACAACAACCAAAACGAAAATAATACCAAAATACACCATCAGTTGATGACATATTCGTGGCTAAATAATATTAAGAATAACTCAAAGATGTAAAGATGAATATTTATATTCTCTCAATGTTATAACACATGATCTCTGTTTTACACCATTCCAAATGTCACTCTTTGCAAGACTAAATGTCACGCATTTAGTCTTGCAGTCTTTCTGACTAACTGGGCTAATGTTATTCTTGCGTTTTAGTTAAAATACTAATAAAGAGTTATTACTTTAAAAGCACCAAACTTCTATTCTAAGTGCATTATCATATAACTCACCCACTAACACGGAAAACCGTCACCGCGGCTCCACGGTCCTCTCTCAGGTGTGTCGCCCTTTAAGAAAGCGTAAAATTACGTGTTCCCGTTAATCCTTGTTATGTGTCGTAAAATGGTTTATTTCAACGAGAGTCTGTTTGCCTTATTCAAATAAAGGCTGGTAAATGAAACCGACAGACGACTGTGACTCCCAGCAGTGACGGAGCCTCCTGTTCACCTGTTGCTGCTTCCTCTGACAGTGTCAGCTTCAGCACATTCATATTTAAAACTCTAATGCCTCCGTCACAACTATGCATTGCCTTTAAGCTATTCCGTTGCTAATATTTAGCCTAACCAAGCGCAAAATATATATGACATTAAGGACAGAAATATTCCTGAAGTTGATTCATATTAAGCAAAAGCCAATAATAGTTTACAGCAAGAGGTCATGAATCTTCAATGAAGTGTATTTAATCTATATAATAATAATAATAATAATAATAATTGTTATTATTATTATAATTATTATAATAATTATAATAATAATAATAAAATCGAAACAAATGTATTCTGAACTTCCCTGAACACAGTTTCAAAGTCCGACTCTGAGGGGCGCTGTTGAGCTATGCTTCGTCCTGGTATCATACGGCGCTGTATGATAACAGAATTTTACATGTTTGTTTCTAAGTGTCCATAGTTTTTGCAGGTATGAATAGGCAGCAGAAGGAAGCACATTAGAATGATCAACATCAGCGTTCTTATGCGGCATTATTTTTGGCAGAAAATGTAGGTCCCATATAAACCAATTAGTGAGAAACGTGAGGTCTATGCAATAGTTTTATTTACAAGGGGGCGCTGCAGAAAATGTTTGGGAAAATAAAAACTTTATTGTACAAATGTTTATATGAAACAGTAATTATTGGCAGGTTAATTTACATTACATAAAGGGAATTCACAAACACAAAACAGTGGTAGAAATTATGACAGTGCTCTTCTGTTTTTGTTATCATTTTTTAGTATTTCCTGGTCAAATGTGCTGATCTGGTTTTTGATGTGGCGTAATTTGGATTTCAGATAGTCACAGCGTTCCTTTTTGTCCAGTAAGGCAGGATCCTGTAAAACAGCATACACATTTTCATGTTTTGAGACTTGGATGTTGGTAATTAATGTACAGGTGGTTGATACAAAGGGCTGCTGAAAACATTAGTGGCATTGTTTGACAGTGTGCTGCAGGGTGGAAAATTACACATGTAGAACTTAGAAGAACTTGGTGGAACACTTACATTTTTTTTCTGCTGATAGTTTTTCAAAATTATTTGAATCCTCTGGTGATCCTAAGAGTAGAAAGACATATTTGAATTAAGATAATTTATATTATTTTATTTAAGTTCACATCGTACCTCTTGGCTTTTTCCATCCCGAATGAGTTGTGCCATCATAGCATCTAGCTCTCGGAACTTATCCAGGCTGGTGCTGATGTCTCTGTAAAGGTCTCTGTATTCCTGATACTGATCATTGAAGACAGCTTTGTACATTTCCCGTTGTTGTAAAGAACTGACCTCTGGGTATTTTCTGCAGAGAGATAAACAGATAAAAAAAATCTATCATATATAGAATAATGTGCATTTAACCTTTAAAATGTTGACTCACATGATGTAGTCTGCCACTACGTGTGTGCTGGGGGTGTATTTGGTGACTGTGTCTCTCATCATGCTGACTGGATTCTTATGTGCATCAGGAACAGTCGCCTCAGGACCGATGTCATTTTTTCTCACAGTCTTGTCCATTTCATCCCTGAATGACATTGGCTTTGTTTTAGGACACCCCAGAGGGATGGACTCTTCTTGGTACTGAATGTCAAAAACAACAGAAAAGGCATCTCATTAACCAATTATAACTAAAGAAATAGCTAATTTACCAGGCTGAGCCCATTGTTTACATTAACAACAACTGCTGTGATTTGAAAGTACACCTGTGTTGCTTCTACTTCATTCAAATGTGTTGTTACGCTACATAGACTAAAGTCAAACGTGGCAGTAGGTCAAGTATACTTACTCCCTCAGCGTCACTCTCTCACTGGCACACTGATACAAAGTGACCAACAAAGTCAATAACATCAAGAAAAGCAGTTTTGGAACAAACCCTGATCAAATGCTTTAACATCAACCAGTAGGAAAAAGCTGACAAATCAATACAGACAATCAGCAAGCTCACTGCACATTGTCCTGACTGGCTAATTTCTATTGGACTGGGTCTGTTGCTCTTATTTTGATGGTGTTTCATCAATAACTCTGTCTCTTGCTGCTTCCTTCAGTAAACAAGGCATCTAATGTAATAGGATAATTAAACTGGGACTGCATTATCCTTACATGTGTCACTTTTGTCTGGGTTTTACTGTAACTGTAGCTGTCAGTATATTTATTTCCTCCCATTAAATTACAAGTTACCCTATATCTTCTTTTAGGGAATTTCATTATTTATTTATTTTACAACTTAACAGTACCTGGTTCTCAAAATGCTTCCTTTCCCTGCGTGCCGCCTCATGCCTCCACATTCTCAAGGAACCAAAGAAACTTCCCAGATACAGCACCAGGTTGATGAACATGAATGCTGTTCCTGCCATCTGGCCCCCGTCAACCCGGCACAGATGGGCCATGATGGGGTGAACACCTATTGTCATGTTGCACAGACCTCCACGGTTTAAATCGTTGAGGTATGTGATGGCTGCTGCCATGTAGAGAAGAAACAGTGCCACATTAATGAAGGCTTCTGTCAGGGGCCACCAGGAGGCGTCCAAGAGTATGGTGCGGTAATACATAGACATTCCAATCACCAGAAGACAGAAGGTGAGTATCCAGGAGAAACCAGCTACAACCAGGACAAAGAGGGTCATAGGGCCATTGTAGCTGTACCCAGACACACTGAGACCATTGTTGTAAATGCCATTGTAGTGTCCGTAGGTGTTGGACCATTCGCTGTCTTTCTTAACGTAGGCGATGACACATGCTAATACCATTCCTCCAAACAGGAGCTCAAGTCCTGCCAGCAGTCTGAGCAGACCTGGCCATGATTTTAGATAAGAGTACTTCAGGTTATAGACCTCCAGCTTCTCAGCGTAGTACTCTGCAGGGTGGATGCTGGAAATAAAAGATTCTTCTCTGCTGCCTTCATCAACAAGAAGACGTTTATGGGAATTCTGGCTGGCGGTTCCAAGTGAACTTGTACAGTTCTTGCGCCCTAACAGGGGACTTACAGGCGGGCTTACTCTAGTCCCATTTGGAAGAATATTAATCCCCCTAATGCTATCTTCTGCATCACTATCATATTGTCCTGTTGGTTTGAGCTTGATGCCCCTCCATGATGGCGGTATGATGGATTTCAGCCTGTCTTTCATGCTCCCCATTTTGTTTTTCTTCTTTGGTGCATTTGGTAAAGAGCTGGATGTGCAGCCTGTGGAGTCTTCATCATCATCCTCATCTGTGATATTACTGGGAGTGGGTGAGTGATTAACCCACACAGGCACTGCTGGTTCACTAATGGAGTTCCTCTTACCAGAAGAGACTCCTACCTCGCTGTCAGACTCCTGTGCCTTGAGTTTCCTGCTCCAGCTCTTCATGCTGTGTGATAGTTTTGGCGATCATAGAGACGGCGTCTCTATGACTGTGCGAAGAAGTCATTTATTGAGAAACGGGTTATCACGGCGTCTCTATGACTGTGCGAAGAAGGGGAAGCTGTGTGAGAAATATAAGATACGGCTTTAATTTGATGTAGTCAGCATGCTGACGTTAGAGGGAAACTCTAATGTCAACATCCAAAACTGTACATTTATTTACATCTCAGATTATGAAGCTCAAAAATTCACTTCATTCACCAGGATTATTTGTCACAGATACAAAGAGACAAAATGTCTACTTAAAGCAATAATAACAGAAGAGTTCTACTTGGACTGTGACTCACAGGGAAACTGCTGTACATTTACACACAGGCACAGTCGTGGTTCTGTTATAGCATGTCTAAATAAAACACAGCAGTCCTTTAAATAATAAAAGGTCTAATTCTTACAGTTTTTCTCACCAAGTATAAATGCTCTCCTTCTGGTCGGATCGCTGTTGTAGAACACCACAAACCGCTGTAGAGCAGGAACTGGTATGTGTTGCTAAATGTCAGCCATGTTGACTGGAACCCATGGTCTATCAGGTGACTCGCACACACACACACACACACACACTCAGGACTATCGGTTAGAATGTGTGGAAGGGGCAGCTTAAACATTAACTGGGCTCCTGTGTTCAAACTGTCCATATATGGATAATGTCAACGAGTTACCATATCAAATATGACTGACAAATTGCACGTGCATTTTGTTCTGTTTTTCCACAGTTTTAGTTTTATAAAAGTTGATGTCATAACTCAGCTTCTATTATTATTATTATTATTATTATTATTATTATTATTATTATTATTATTATTATTATTATTATTATTATTATTATTATCCCCAATAGACAGGTGGAAAAATGGTGATCCATCCCAAACCTGCAGGACATCAAAGAAAAGTACACTAAGATAAAGTGGCCTAAAAGAAACCCTTGTAACCTCTATTGGCAGCAACGACATGAAAGAAAATAAAAGTTTTGGCTGATATAAACCTTTTCACGGCGTATCCAATGTCCGACTGATGTGAATGCAACATGAGAGAACGTTAGTGCGGCTGCAACTGATTTGAAGTGGAAAAAGCATGGGCGTGGGAGACGCGCAGGTAAACACACAAGTAAAAAAAAAAGGTTCACTATCTAACTATCTATCAATAAATTAAATTATAATGAAAGTACAGTTCTAGGATAATAAATAAGGTTGCTGGTTAATTTTGAGTTGATAAAAATCAGGTTAAACAACGTTATTTCGCTAACTATACATGTGACGTTAGCTAGGTCTGACGTCAGTTCTGTAGGCTACAATATATTCGTTTTATATTTATTTTTATTAAGTACTGATACCACCTTTATTAAAACCTATAGTGTGAGATAAAAGTTTAAAATGTGACACTGCACTCTACTGAACGCGAAGCAGTGTTGCCGTTGTTATTGTTGGTGTTTTTTTAATGTTTTCATTTGTATACACAGTATAAAACCATCCAGAAACAACCGGTATGAACTTTATTTTTGTACTTTTTTAAAAAAAACTTTCAGACTGGGAGCAAAATGTGTTTTTGTATGACTTATTTTAATGTGTGGAAGTTTTAATGTAATTTTTTATTATCTGTGAGCCTTTTTGTGAATTTAATGTTCAGTTAAATGTTCCTTTCATGTCCCTTTAACTGCTGTGAATATTGTATGTAGACCTCATCTAAAAAAAAAAACAGTTCAAACTACTGAGAGACAAATGGGGAGGATGTGTGTTCTGAGTAAAAAATGGACGTGAATTCCAGTACCTTGTTTGAGTGCTACCCTTTTATTTCCACAGTGAATTTGTGATCACCTTGGTTCAGCTCAGTCCATCGATCTTCATGGGTAAGTGCTTTTCAACTGTGGGATTAGGAATCTAAATAAGGTCACCTGAAATGTTTAGTAATTTATATTTTAAAAAAATTAAACAAATTATTCTTTGTGTGTACACATATTATTTGTCATCAACTTGATAATTGTGATTAAATTCAGTATATATAGGTCTGCAATATGTTCCCATATTCCATAAATATTTCTCTAGCTCCACCCCTGAGTCAGTAATTCTTATGTGGCAGTGAGTTGTTTTTTTATGTCCTTTCTTTAAAATACTCCTTACTTTGTTTGACGACACGTTTAGACATCTCATATCTGTGATGCAATCGCTGTTTTTATGAATAATTCATTGTCAAATATTTCATGTTGATATTGTAAGAGGAAGTGGCATGTTGGACACTAGGTGGCAGCACATTCATGTTTCTTCGTCACCGCTCGTCCTCAGCTCAAAAACAGTTTTGTCTTTTTGACTTCCATCTTTTTTATTGTTGTTATTTTTCTACTCTTATTTATTTAGTTGTTTTGCATTTTTCTTAATTGTCTTTCAAAGAAAAACAACCAAAAACGGTAGCAGCTGAATAATTAAGAAACACAAGGAGATAGTATATGGTTTTTAGGGAACTTAATTATCATTCCATGTTGCGTTTAAAATTCTTTCCTTTAGAAATCACAGTCTCAGTCCCTTCTCAGCTTCGTCTTATTTCCACAAATGACTCCAGGAGTCTTTCTCTGCCGTATGTGATGTCATTCTGAGCCACTGACTCTTAAAGCTTAGGGCAAGGACATTTGGAGAGTCTCCCCACCAACACCACCACCTCCACACCCCACCCTCCCAAGCCATCCACCCACACACACACACACACACACACGCACACTGCAGTACTAATTGTTAATACAGTGCAGCAAGCATATTTTGTGAGTAACTCTCCCAAGTGTAAAGTGAGTCCCACTGATGGCCTTGACCTGGGGCTCAGTCCTCTGGTGCTTGTCCACAACAGCTGGCGAGGACTGCTGTAAAATTGACAGTATTATCTTTCTAGTTGAACAAAGAGCTTAATTCTCTCTGTTATGTGTGATATAAATTTCAGGATTCTTTTGTTTGGTTTAGAAATCTGTCAATAGTTAAACTAAGACCAGGACAAAAAAAAATTAATTAGTAATTCTTGAAAATTTAATGGAGACTGACTTGTTTGTGAACATTGTGATTACCCCTGCGTATGTTAAAAAAAACAACTTACATAGCTTGTGGGCGCTGACAGCATTTTTCTTGTGTTTTGCTAAATGAAGAAGAGAAGCTATGACAGCCTCTAACATACAATCAGCTGGTTCTCCATTAGATCTGTGCGAGATAGAGACAGAGAAAGGGAGAGAGAGGAATGCTTGAATCCTGAACTAAGTGTCACTCAAAAACATTTGATGGAATGAAAAGGCCCTTCACACCCACTCACCACCAGTGCAGCACTATGCATTAACCGAAACCAAGATCAATACTCGCATTCTCTCTGATTTCCCAGAGTGTATGCCAAACCATGTTAACTGAAAGTGATAGTGAGGGCATTAAGCATAATGCAGCCGTGAGCTATTCGCTCCCAGGGCAGACAGTGAGGAAAGCGGGGCCCTGTAATAAATTGAGTAAAATGTCTTTCTCTGCCTGCCACGAGCTGTCCTTGAAAAAAAACTGATTCTGGCTGGTGATCCTCAGCAACCAGTGAGGAGTTGCCTCAGTGTCCTTCCTCATTCCAGGGGTCGTCTTTAATTCTCTGTCTCTTTCTCTCCTCTCCTCTCACCTTGCTCCGATCTTCATTTCCCCCTTTGGGAGAACTGATTATCGGAGACCATTTTTCACAAGTTTCTTCCTTTAAACACAAGAATAAGCCGTAGCTGGATATATGGAATTAACCATGCTTATTAAGAGAGCGATATTTATAACAGAGGACACGAGGAGGAGATTATCTAAACCAGGTTTATGTAACTACCCCTTCGGTCACGTTTTTGTTAGCCAGAAAATGATTAGTGATTATAGGAAACCACACGTGATTTTTTTTTAACACAATGTAAGATTAAAGCAATTATTAATTTAACTGTTCATGTCTCCTGGGAGATATCATCTGCAGAGCAGCCGTACGATGTATTTCCACTGATGCAGGTTTATGGGGTTGTGTAGCAACAGCCACAGGGTGACTGAGTCTGCCAGTCTTGCGGGATGTGGGTCTCCAGCCAACTCCCTGGTGGTTTGACTTTAATTAACCAGGATGATCCTTGTTTGTGCATGTGGACATGAGTAGGAGCTTGTTATTTGACCATTAATAGCTGTGTATGTGTCCGTGTCTGTGTGTGTGTGCGTCCCATAGTTCATCTTGGAACGGTAACCCAGCAGCTGTGTGTGTATATTTGTGTTTATATCACTGTAAGCTGCTATAATCAGACGCTGCTGTTCCACTGGTGTACAGGAAGACATCTTAGATCTTTGTGTCCAAATGAGCTTTAGGTTACTGCCATTTCGCTTTACTTCTGGGGGTTGGACCTTGTGTGACAGTGCCTGACATTAGAGGACAGACATTGAAGAGGTTTAACCTGTAATTAGGGCCAGAGCATTGACAAACAACCGCACATACTGCAGCATGCAGCAAGGATACAACACAACACAACACTGCAACACGAGCATGGCTGTCACGGTGAAATGAGTGGGTTCTTGTGTGTTTGCCTTTCACAGTAAAACAGTTGTTTCTCCTGGCTTTGAAAGTTCATGAGAACTGAAACTTTGACCATAACTTCAAAACTAAAAATACATTTGGTGTATCTGGTCATGAACTTTTAGAGAAAGGGTCAGCGTTCTATGCTTGATACAAAAAAATAAGCACTTCATTAATGACATCTAGCCAGATCCGGGGGGCCCAGTTTAAAGGCCAGACGTGGTCCCACAGGCCAGGAGTTGAATATAGAAACCCGCCCAGACTAGATTTAAGTTATGGCGACTTCCTCTTCGTGCTGTGGGGTGGAACCTTCTGTAAAATAGTTTGAAAGTTGAAGGACATGCAGTGCAGGACTATAGTTTGTGGGAAATTACAGTGCCTGTAGTTTGTTTTGATGATTTCATGGTGACGTTAAACATTAGAAATGATTGCACATGAAAAGCAGCTGTGAAGAAAGAGAGCAGGGTGACATTTATAGCTGAAGATAGTCTTTAATGATTCACCTTCTCTCCTTGCTAGGACAAAAGTTCACCTGTAAATGAAGGAACAGCCAAACAGTTTACAGAGAATATGTTAAATCCATTTGCCATCCATTAAAAGTTGATTTATTCCAGTGTTACTACGTACATAATGCATCATGTGGCAGTGTACACAGAACAATGGTTGGGGAACAATTCCTTACTTTTGGGGGGTGTCATTCAGTTGAGGCGTGTTCTGATGCCTGCTCTAAGATTGTGGGGTTCATCACTTAGACTCATCTACCATAATCGAAATCACATCATGAATGTCCCTCACTTACTCTTTACAAAATACTACATGATGTTCTGTTTCCTAGTGGATTCAGTTGGGTCACTATTCAATATTGGAATGGTGTTCTGGCAGGACTTTGCAGTGACAGGACGAAGAAGAAGCGAAGAGAACAAACTTTCTAAAGTGAAATGACAGATGGAAACGTAACCAAATGACCGTGGCTCTATGAAGAGAAGAAAAATCAAATGGAAAACAGACAAAAATATTTTATTTTCCAGAATAATTCGACCTTTCAAGGTTGTCTACTCTTGCATCATGCTGTGCACTGGACCCATTTACCCTCAGTTCACCATTTGTTCCGTTTAGACTACATCTACCATGTGGTCATATTTACAGGACGCTCACTCTTGCTGTTCACACCCTGAGGCCAAAACAGACATCTGTCAGTTAATGAGCTTTAACTCTCATCTTTCTTTTTGTTCTAATCTACTATTTCATGTTGCCTGGAGAAGAAAAACTTTGGACAGTATCTGGTGTAACAGGATATTATACACTGAGTGCAACATGGAAAGGGGACCTGGAGGGAGGGAGGTTCCTCCACTGCTTTTGTTTGCGTGTTTACATGAACACCAACCAGGTGTCTTTACTGTGAGCCACCGTAAGCCAGAAGGATGGTTGTTCTTAATGATGACAGGTGACAAACAGAAGGAGAAAAATCCAGTAAAATAAAGTTGTGGAAACACTGGGTACAAATGTATGACGGTGAGGTCAACAGTCTCATAAACGCTGTTAGGGCTCAGTGGTTGACCCAGATTAAAGTAGACTACAATGTCTAAAGGGAAGAGTTGAGTGTAGCACTGTATGAGAAGTGAAGTGGCTGAAGGTGGGGAGGAAGTCAAGATTCATGCTTCATCACCTCAAAAAAGGATAAAGGAAACAACCTAATATTCATGCTTGATTAAGTTCTACTTGTAGCGTCTCACTGTTGTGTTAAATGAAGTGCTCTCTGTCCAGTTGAGGAGCAGCAGGAGACTGCACTCTCCCTCTGCTGGCAGGATTTGACTTAGACCTGGCTAAGCTTAAAGCTGCAAGAAGTATTAACAAGAGCATTTAGTAATTATCACTTAATCTACTTGGACGGGCCGCGTGGCCACCCACCTGCTGACTTCCTTATTGGCAGTTTCTTTTGAAATATATTTCATCTCTTTGAAAAGGTAATTTTTGGAACTTTTTCTCACACTTTTAATGAGGTTGGTACACCTAACAGAAATAGGAAATGGTTTAGTGTTTGCAAAGTTAATGCTTGAAAGTAGACTGGAAGTGCTTGGATAGTTGTACATGTATCTTTGTAGAAATGGAAGTTAATGGTTTAAAAAAAGAACTCGAGAGTTGTTGGTCTCAAATACTAGGTTCACCCCCCTCTCTAAATAAATCATAACAAAAATTGAAAACCCATTCGTGTTTAGACACTGGTTGCATAATGTCTGTCATTACTAATCGTCTATTTTCTTCAGAGTGGGATTGTAAATTAGAAAACCAAAGTAGGCAACTGGACTGGCACTTTGTCCGTGCCTTGAGTTGTTGTGGTGTTGTTACTTTTAATTGCTGGTGGAAAAAAAAGATAAACCCAAACTAGGGCCAATGTTAGTGCTAATGTTAGCTCACTATGTTTTAGGGAAAGTGACAGAAAACCACACAAAGGTGTCTTTAAGCCCAATCACAAGAGTAATTTCCTTTTGTGATCTCTGTTCATCAGACGATCTAGGGCCACAGGCAGCAACTAAACACCTGAAAGCACCATTAGGTCATTAGCGTCATCAGTACCATTAGAGACACGGTTACTGACATTGAAAATTATGTTAAAAGAAGCCTCATATTCTCTAGACTTTCAAACCAATTACACAGAGTTAATTCTGACACCAATAGAGCAGTTGAGGTTTACTTCAGGTTATATACGGCCACCAGCCAGTGAGTCTATGTTGGCCACACAAGGGTCTACGTTGGGCCACTTGGGGTTATCAGTTTATCGACTTCTAATGAGAGCCTCATGTAATTTCCTGGTCACAGACCTGGGCTTTACTTTTCATACATCTTTACACCCATTTTTTATCTAATATCTATGTTTAGATTACAGCCAGGATAGCAGCTTCTAAACACCCTCCTAATCTAGTGAGGTATGCACCCCCTGAGGAGCCATGGATGGAAAAACAACCTGCAAGATCTTGCACAAATCACTAGATAGATCATAGTTTCATTGTTTAGTTGTGAGAGGAAATAAGTTTGTCATTAGTTTGTGTAGAAGTGTAACTCATTTGTTGGAAATGTATATTAGTATAATATTCTCTAAACTTAACATAACAACAAAAACTCATGCCTCTATCGCTGTTTAGTTTTAAGTAAGTTATAGTGATTTGTTTATTTAAGAATTGTATATTTTTGTCCTAATTCGTGTTAAAATACTACATATAGATGTACATAAATTATAACACTTTTTTTCCACTTTGAAATGATAAAAAGCTTAAACACAAACCCTTTTTTAAATGTAACTTTTTTTATGCAAGATCTTTCAGAGTTTTTCCTTCCTCCATGTCACTCCCAGGACCCTGCTGTTCAAAAATGACACTGCAGTAGAAGGTAGGCAGGCCTTAGTCCCAACAATGTTGATTATTTTTTATATATCCTCCACTATTTTTAGTAGGCCTTATTAATTTGTCTTTACCTCATATATTAAACCTGAAGTACTTCACAGTACTGCAACTCTTTATGTTCTGCAAATGGACAAACCCCTCATCCTCGTATCTGAGTCGTAAAAAATGCATCAAACAAACGGAAGTAAAAACAATGAAATCAAACTCAATAAAGTCAGAAAGCAATCCTAGAAAAATCTGTGTCCCATTGAATTTAGCACAGAACCATGCAGGAGGAGGACGGGTTTGGTTCCTCAGTTCAACCAGCGATGTCTGTGTGTGTGTGTGTGTGAGAGAGAGAGTGTGTGTGTGTGAGTGTGGCCAAATATACCAGTAGACCTCAAGCCATGCCATTATCTAAGACCACGGGAAGCTCTAATTAGTGGTGCAGAGAAAGGTAGATAGTACGTACATACTGTGGTACGTCGTGTGCATGGGTGTGTGCAGCATTGAGCTAAAAGTGAACCTGTTGTTTTCTGACAGACACACTCGTACATACTGTCCCACTGTCACCTGCTCCTGGAACATTCCTCAAGGTGTTAGTAGTAGTAGGAAAAAGGAAAAACCAGGTTTTCAAAAGACATTTAGGGCTGCTGTGTGATGTAATGGAGGCAATGCTATGCATCACATTAAGACATTTTCTTTGAAATTTTTTGGAGAGGAATGTATCTGAAAAAGGAATGCAATGCTGTATTCAGACTGTTAACATCGTAAAAAAGCTCTGAAATTAGTAATTAAATAACCCTCTACTATTTATACATTCAGGCACTGAAAAATCACATGTCAATATGTAACTAAAAAAGATAGTCGCTCTCGTTTGTTCCTTGGTAAGAACAAGGAATCTGTGACCTTGAAGTTGGCAAATTGTGTAATTTTTTTTTTTCTACCCAGTAGTAATGCCAAGAAGCGTCCCTTTTAGTGTAGCACTTTCCCTTCAACCCCAGTGCACTTCTACCTCCAACCTGTGGTCAGAGCCTTCGACACCTCTTCTTAACAGTTTCCTCCTAACTTTGGGAAAGAATCCATGACATTTCTAGTCTTTGTTGAAAGGGAAATCCAGCAGTTCGTCTTACTCCTCTCACTGGACAAACGGATAAACGGACAGATGGTTGGACACATGTCCTCCATGTTCTTTAGAGGGGCAGGCAGACGATCCGCAGCCCCTCAGCTCCACAGACCAACTTCCCCCTCATGTTTAAGGACTCTCCGGTGTGATAGCCAGCTCTCACCCCAGCGACCCTGAACTCAGTCTTTTTTATTAACTATACAAGGGCTTTTACAAAAAAAGCTAACTTGAACAGCCATACAATGGCTAAAACATAAACCATATCTCTACTTTAGCTCGGTTTTCAGATGTTTTTGATATTTTTTCCCTCTTTTTCTGTTTTTGGATGCATTTGTGTGTGTGTGTGTGTGTGTGTTTTTTTAACTTGCTTCGCGTCTTTATATGCCTTTCGTTGTTTCTCTGATCCAGTCCTGTGCTGAGCGGCTCAGTCACAGAGGAATCGGTGTTTGGGTTTGACGTTGATTGTGGAGGAAGGGGATAGGAAGCAAAGAGTAGGGGTCAGGGATCAGGTCAGATGTCAAGGTGTGGGTCCTTTATTAGTCCAGACATGGACTCTCCAGTGGTTACAAGGACAAATTTAGATGTGGGAGGAAGTGGTGACTTGAAGGTGATTGTAGAGTATTTGTTAAAACTATCCACTATCAGAGGATGTGTGTGGTGCAGTGGAGGGCGAACGCCTCCTCCGGGCGGTGGAAGTCCAGGATCGCTCAGAGCGTTCGGAGCGCTCCGAAGCTAGCGAAGCGGGTCGAAAGCGGTGAACAAAGCCGTCCAGGAAGTCCTGCTGCTGCTGCGTTATGGCTTGGGAGATGAGGCAGGGCAGAGCCTGCAGGCTGCCCGTCACAGAGTCCAGCTTGTCCTCCAGTGTGCCGATGCGCTTGTCCAGCTCCTCACTGCGCTCCTGCAGTTCTGACACCAGGTCATACATCACATTCTGGGTCTAATGGTGAAGAGAGAGCAAGAGTTTTCAGATGATCAGATCATAGAGGAGAAGAACCGATCAGGAGAAGGAAAGTTTATATTTAAATGCAACAAAAACATCAAACTGGAGAAACGGTATTCTTGTTTAGACAAGTGTCCTCGAAGTGTTTGCTTTTTAATGCATAAGAGAAAAAATAACTTCCAACAATTCACTGGCCTTTAGGGTAAAAATAGTAACAGTACTATGATCTGACTACAGTCAACTCAACTCATCTCTAAAAGCACACTTTAATAGCATTTGTACATGCAAGTTTTGCTCACTAACAGGAACGGCTGACAGGTTTCCGACATCTACCCAACAATTTTGAAATATTTAGTTGTAGGCCAGGAAATCTATCTAAGAGTGTAAACAAATTATAAATACCCTAGCTAAACATTTTCCTGATCTCTAAAACATTAATTTAGAGGCAATTAAAGAAGTATTTTTGGGGGAAAACCTACGTATAGAAACCGACGTAAGCCTTAGTGAAGTGGCTGATCATAGACCACATAGGTAGTTATTTTAAACCTGACTTCCTCGGTGCGATGAGGAAGAAATAATGACAGGAAGCAGATTGCAGGGGGAGCTGTACGGTTAAAGCGAGTCAGCACAGATTTTTATCTCCCCTCTGATTTAACAACCGGCTCCTTCAGTCCGTTTATAGCCAGAGAAGGTTCTCAGTGCTTTATGTATTTGTTTGACACAGCTTATTCACGTAATGAAAAGTGTCTTTATTACTTAGGCATTTATTGTTCCAAATGTAGATGCAGGAGGGCTGCTAGTGTTAATGTATGTGGTAGAACCCCCCCCCCCCCCCCCCCCCCCCCAGCCACGCCGCTCTCTCGTCACATGAGGAGAGTGTAGACCCCTTGACAATGGGCCACGGTTTTCTATTAAATCAATACACCTAGAAGATAATAAATAGTCCCATCACCACAAAAAGCCTCTTTCCTGGGTTAAAACGTTTTACTTTTTGGTTAATGTTGCTTAAAAGTATTTTGTGCAAAGGTGTGAAAGGTCAGAAAATGTATAGGCCAGGGTCACTTCTCCTCGGAGATAAAGAGACACTAAGCCATTGAACCATTGACGGGTGTTTACGGATGAATCTGCCCATCAAGCGCCGTTAGGGCAAACACACATTAAAGGTGCTGCCCTTTGGACCTTTTAAAATACACACAGGAGTGCAAATGTCACCTACATCAAATGACACTGCAGCTCCCTTTGAACCCCCCCTTATAATCTGCACCACTGGGCCAGTGAAAGTCCAGAACAAGCTGCTGAGCCATGAATGCTTTTACCCTTTTACACCCCGGTATGGACCACAGTGTACAGTACAGTTAAGTTCTGGATCTCCAAGGTGAGGCATAGATATTACCCAGTTCTGACATTACTTTCTATAGTTAAAAACAGAGAAAATGGCAATGTGTTAACTTGAATGAAAGAGTTTAATTTTGCTGCATGGCAATGTGTTAAATTGAATGAAAGAGTTTAATTTTGCTGCAGTCTCTTTAGCTCAACATATGTAAGGCTTTGTTAAAAAAAATCACGCATGAAAGCTATCACTTTGTTATGAAAATAAATTTAACTCAGTTCAGATATTTATTAAATGATAATATTCCAGTGCACACAACTCACTAATTAGGACTTACAAACTGTTTATAGCACCCCCTGCATGGCTATGCACATCCTGTTTGTTTCTAAGTAATGAAAAGAAAAGGGGTCCAGCACCATACCCTGGGGTACTGTTCAGCTTAGTGCTGCATAACAGTAGTGTCAGAAGGAATTCTTTTAGTGTCCATGCACCTGTCCAATCCTTCCTGACAAATGGATACCCAGGCATCTCCAAGACGCTCATCCAGCCCTAATAGCCTTCAATTAAGATAAAAGACCAATAATGGGATCGACTCGGAGGCCTTGGCGCTGTCACGGACACAATACAATCCACATCAAATCCCATAAATATTATATGGGCCTGTATAGATTTGGACAATAATTCTCTGCGGGGTGATCACTAAAAAGCACCTTCTCATTATACAAAGTGATTCAAGCCGCCGTTAATACACAGTTATTGATTTAAGCCGTGATAGAAGTAGACTTTAATTATTTAGAAAATGTAAATAAAAAAATAGAAAAAGTAAACCCAGCTCTACCTTTGCCAGGTCCACCAAGGTGTTGGCCTGATCATTGAGTTTTCTCTGCTCCATCTTCACACTGCGCAGTCTGGGTAAAGGCAAAGGAAAATGGGAAAGCAAGACCGGAGAAGTAGACAGAGGAGGAGAAGTGTGTGGGGTGGATTTCAGAAGAGGTTGTTTGAGGTCAAGAAGAAAAAGGAAAGGGAGGGAAAAACACACGTTACATCAGGAGCATCGTTTTGACTGTGAAATGCTCAGTAGAGAGTAGACCATCAGCATGCATTTTAAGTTTTAAAAAGACACATCTAAGTGTGCATATAAATATACTTAGAGATAAACACATATGTAGAGTTGTTTATAGAAGCATTCCTGACTTTGTCAATGCAACACCAATGCATGCAAATTGTGGAAGCATACAACAAATGGAAAAATTGAAAACATAAAATGTAAAAACAAATATATGCCATATACTTCCAAGAGATCATTAAATGAATATTTTCTCATGATTGTGCACTTTAATGTTTTAATGTAACATACAATAACCTCAACTCACAGAAGTTTTTAGCTCAAGGACAAGCTATTTTGTGGTAACGTGACTATGGATTACCTCCTAAGTGTACTAAGTTACTCCTAAGTAACCTGGCCTATCTACTATAGCCGGTGTTTTTCCAGCCAATATTGCAATATGCTTCCACAGAAGACAACCTCAAAACCTGTTTCAAACCAAAACACTTCAATCTCTTCACGTCAAATGGTTAATAGAAATAAAAAACCCAACAACAACAAACAGACAGATGACATGCCCTTAGTCAGCGCTGCACACGGCTCAGTGGTACACACTGGTCATTCACTAAGCGTGCAGTGACTGTGAGTGACTTTGTGCTGAATGAACTGTCGTCGGTGCTGCCGTTTGTGTGTCTGTGTGAGTGTGCGCTGTATGTCACAGATAAAAGATGACGCTTGCCAGTAATAAACTGTCTCATGACACTGTAGCACACACTGCAACATGGACATTTAGAAAAACTTACACAATGATACATGGGACATATTTAGTAATGCCTTGGCGCCGTGCCTCTTTATCTCTAATCAAATACATTGTGGCGCTGGAGGAAGTGTTAACATGAATAATGTGCTATTGTTGAGCGCGGCATCATCTGGACGTGCACGGGGAAGCGTTTCCCTGTTCGTCACATTAGGAGACAGAATGGCATTCAAGGGCATTTATTCATGGGCAATTGGAGAAATCAGAGTCAGAGAGCTTATCTGAGTTTCATTCTTATTCGTGGTTGAGCTGAGCAGACCGTTGTACCAGTATCTCAGTGTCCTAGTATGTTAAGAAAATTAAATTATTCACATATATGTATATATGTGATATGGTTGTGATAAGCTCCTCAGTTTTCTCAGTTATGATCGAATGAAAAAATTAAAAATGATAAAGTTTTGCCTGGATATCAGGAGGCAGGAGGCAGGAATAATCTTCATGTCTTTTTTGACTAAATCCATAAATCATCTTTGATTTTGTCGGTTGAGTTCTATTTGAATGTTATTTGACGGCAGACACACCGTGGTTTGTTCCCGGGCTGTGAAAATGCTGTTACTTTGCTTTCAAATCAACGCCTCAAACATTTACAGAAGACCTGCAGATAATAATATTAATAGTAATTACACTAATGGTGTGCTCCATTTGTAACTTCCTCAACCGAATTCCCTGGTCGCACTCTGAAAATGGAAATTAGTTCAACAACGGGCAGAGATCATGAACTGGAGTAGTTCTTAGTGCGGCGTTCACGCTCACAACAGAGGAAACAAAGTAGCCAATGGAAACACCTCGTAGATCTGACATCTGTTGTCGTTAGTGGTAATTAGTGAGGGAAATAACGGCGCTGAAGTAAACTTTAGTAAATTTCTGTCATTTAACATATTTACTATTCAGTTTTATTATAAATAACAAAACTATAACACAATTATTTCACATAAGTTACTTTTGTGATGCTAGTTACTTTCATCCTGTAGGTCGTGACCTTTATATTGTTGTGACTCAGTTACAGTTTAGAGCAGTAAGTCCCTGTTTGAGCGGTTGGTTGTTCTGTAATTTCCCCACCGCTGATCATCTGTCTATCTATAAACCCTGGTTTTAATGAGCCACAATGTCTATTTAATCTCATATTTACATTTCGTGCCTTTTTAAAGTGTGTCTTTATTGATGTCATATGTGAGCATCGTCGTATGATCTCGTACAAAACTGAACAAATATATGCATACAAGTGAAATCATACATGAAGCCAAAATCAATGTTAACACAACAGCAAACATTTCAACTTCATCAAAACTCAACTACGGTACATTACATTAATGTGTGTGTTCACATCATCACAACACTGTCAGGAGTGTAGGATGAGTTCTGCTGATGCAGGTTAATATAGCCCCCGGAGCAGCTATATTAATCATGGGCAACAATATACAGTAGATTGCAGATGATCATGAACCGCAGGGCAGGTCAACACAGCTTCAAGTTCATTCTGTGCAAGATGCTTTTTTTTTCACACTTTCTCTCCAAGACAAACCCTTCCACTATTAACAAGCACAATGTTGATGCTTGTTTCTGAGTCATTCCATTCAAGGAGGGAATATGGAAGGAGAGGGGACTAAATGAAACACTCAATAAGAGAAAAACCAAAAACAATCCAGCATCCAGTGATTTTGTTTTTTCAAAAGAATGCTTTTTTTCATGCATGTCAAACGCAGACATGTAGAGAAGTGGAGGAGGAGTAGGAGGAGGAGGTAGGTGGGAGGATGTTGAGGAAACAGTAGGTGGAGAATACATAGAAGACTCAACTTACTTCTGAGCTCTGCGGTGATAGAGCAAAACAAAGACAGAACACAGTACAGAGTTTTAACCTCACAACATCCACGAAACGAGTGAAACCATTACACTTGTCACTGTAAGCACGGGATAAAAGGGGGGTCGGAGGGAGAGGGGCACAAGGAGGGCAACAAGGAGGAGATTAACACTAGAGTATAGAGAGTGTGTGTCGCTGTGTTTCTGTGAGGGCCTGCATGTTACAATCAGAGAAGATGGTACTTGAGTTGAAATCAATGTAAGAAGTGGTCCTGCTAAAGCTACCGCTACATGTCAGTGGAAAGAAAATGACCTCAAATGAATACAGGAGTTAGTTTTACTGCAACTATAAAAATAGGGAACAGTTGTAGTAGAAATCATGCTTCCTTACTTTTGATTTTTGGAATTACTGGAATAAGACAGATTTACAATAATAATAAAGTTGCCAGCAGAGTTGAGGCAAAATCTACTAAGCTATTTTGGTTCCTGTTTTTTCCTGTATTTGTTCCTATACAAACCACACAGCTATTGTTCTTAAAAATCTTAAAATAATTATAATAATAAATAATAATTATAATTTATAATAATAAATAATTAATTTAACCTGAGCCTAAATTTAGTTTCAAATAGTATACAGTATTGTGAACAGTAAATTTATCCAGTGTAACTAATAATCATATTTCATGTATTTTTCACCATGTTACCTAATTCCTATATGTGGCTGGTGGTGAAAAGTCATCAATCTGTCAAATGAATCCATTTAAACAGATTTAAGAGGCAAGGCGGGACTTACTGATGAATGGCTTGGAGAAACTTGCGCTGGTGTTTCCGCACCTTGGCGTGATCTATCTTTTTGACCAACTTGGTGTGTTTGTAGATGAGCCATGTTTCCCTGAGTACATTGGCAGCTGTGTTCTTTACCTGTTGAACAAAGTTTAAATGTTTACCTTTAAACTGCTTTAAAACTATTAAAAAATCCACCCTGTTTTTAAAAAGATTTTAACGACATGCAAAGTACTTTAGCCGTCTATGCAGACAGATGTATTTGTGGTCATGTGCAGTGACTCACTCGTTTGCAGAGTTGTGTGTCCATCATGAAATTGTGGACGTGCTTCTCAGCCTTGGTCAGCTCCAGCTTTCTGGCCACCACTGCCACTACTAGTGCAGTGCAGCCAGCTCCCTGTACACAGAGGCCATTGTCCTTGTTAATAAATATTAAGAAAATTGCTAATAAAATGTAAATGCTCTTTCCTCCTATGTTCATCCCAGTCAAGGCAGTATATATTAATATGATTGTTAATGTGAAGTTCAAAGTAAAGACTAACTAAAGGAGGGGTAGGGCTAAGGGCTTCTACCGTGAATCAATATATCCTCATCCATTTCTAATGCATGGTGGTGGTCCTTGTCTATTTTTAGCCCAAGACCAAATAACTTTATTGATTTTTTTGTTTTTGTTTGTAAAAAACAATTACAAGGTCATATAAGACATTGCCGACCTGCGGCCTACGTAGCCAATATCAGAACTCCCTGCAGGTGAACGGGTACATTAGGACAATGCATTCACAACAGCAGGAGATTCTGTGAAGGATTCATGAAAGGGGGATCTGCCTGGCTGAAGGACACAGGACGTCTCACTTGTTGTGGAATCTCCAGAGATGCCCCTGCTGTGTTTTCACATGAGCTTAGTTGGACACTGTTCAGAGATTATTCTGGCAGAAACTGTCAGGGAAATCTCAGCACTAGCATACAAGGACAGACTATTTTGACTACATGATTAAAACTAGCTACAGTGTTCTTTTTTTATCGAGAAAAAAATATTCTGTAGGCCTCTTGAATTGAAATAGGACATGGGTAAAGAGAAGTGAGACTTACCATAATCCCTGTAAGCAAACACACGCATTTCCCACAGTACGTGTGTGGTACCATGTCTCCGTAGCCAATGGAGAGGAAGGTAATCGAGATGAGCCACATGGCTCCCAGGAAATTACTGGTCACTTCCTGTTTGTCATGATACCTGAGGTGATGAAGATAAGCAGAAGTAGGAGAAGCAGAGTCAGACAGTGGCTGAAGTGAAGATGCAGTTTTGATTATTTATTTATTTTTTTTGTACTTTTGCTCTCGCTTGTACAGTTATTTTATCCCAGACATTTTGGGGGTAATATTTAATGGGGTAGGAAAGTCGAACAAATGATTTTAAACTGGCTTTTTGTGTACTTTAGCCTATACATTAGAATATTTTAATGTAATATCAGTACCTAAATCTATTTTCAGTATCACCAGTACTACTTCATTGGAGTACCAACTTTTACAACTATTTCCAGGAAGTTTGATAAACATTTTAAAGCTGCATTCAACTAAAATATATTTGTCAATGCACGTGAAACTGTGTTTCTTAAGCAAAAAAATAGAATAAAAAAAAATACATAGACCAAATTAAATCTACGAAGGTTTGTTGGTGAAAACACGAGTCGCCATCTTTGAATGTTCCATCAGCCAAAGAGTGCATTGCAAAGATGTTTGAATAAACAGTTCAAAGCATGGTTATGGATGACATTACCAGATATTATGCAGCAAGACAAAATCTCTCAAAGACAAATCTACTGGAATCCATAGCTTCATTATCAACTCTCAAAATATTGACGAGAAGGAGATCACGTGACGTTCGTTTTTTCGGGGTTAGAATCAAATACTCATCAAACACTTTGAGACAAATTCTTAAAAACATCCTTCTAACCGGACAAAAGAGATGAAATACAGTTTCTTGGGATTTTATTAAGGCTTCTCTGAAGGGGATTCTCACTGGGACAATGAATTTTTAATGACTTTGAACTATCCTGCAGTGACCCAGCATGTGGACTCAAAATGGCTCCAGCAATCACCTCTAATTAGTGCACAAGTACAGAGTGGAACACTGGGGGCCAGACTATGAATTCCTTAAGTTGTTCTTTCCACCGAGGGGGAAAACACAGAGAGGGTCCCGCAGGAATACCTGCTTCTATTTCTTGTGCAAGTTTATTGTCACTCTGTAAGTCATAAATCGGCAGACTGTAGAGTGGAATGGTGGTTGGCGCTCTCAGGCCACAGCAGGAAGGTCACTGGTTTGCATCCCGGCACGGCAGATGACCTTTCTGTGTGGAATTCTGCATATTTCTCTTGTCTGGAGGTTGACTTTCCATGAAAACATAGCTGTGGATGTGGTGAGTGCATGGCTGTTTGTCTTTATTTGGGGAGTGGATGAAGTCTTTACCCACGATAAAAAAAAACTGCACATCTAAAATGTCAGCTCATGCTAAAAAATAAATGAAAACGATACCTGAACCTGCATCCATCAGAGTAACAAAAAGGGCGTGGCCCCTGTAATTTCAACTTCCTTTAAGGTGCATGCATATAAGCAGTCTCAACCATACCATGCAGGAATAAACCGTATTGGAAACCTGCATGCTTTAAAGCCAGTATATTGAGAGCGGGGGGTCGGGGGTCCATTTTGAGATTAAACCACCTCTGACAAACACAGAAACATCACCTGGTGAATGGGGACTGTGAGTCTTCTCAGAGGGGTAGGACTGGGTGAGTTAACAAAGGAAGAAGCTCATTGAATTTGACACCCCTGTCTCTTTTACCTGCATCCCCACACTTGAGCAGCTGCCCTTTGATAACTGCCAGGGGGCTAAACTTGATCAGCTTGCTAAATATTGTAATTACAAGTGACTACTATGTTAATTTCATTCATCGTGTCATCAGGAAATCCAAAGAGTGAGTCATGTCTTCAAGGCAGTCAGAAATGTGCTTCACTTTTTTCAGTACAGTCCACTAAGTATTGTAGATGTTGGGAACTGGGTGGAGCGGGGTTGTCATTGTTTAATAGTTCCAGTATATAACAACCACTTTTTTATTACCTCCTAGAGAGGAAAGTGAGGTAATCTGTTAACATTGTTCATATTAATGTAAGAAAACTCAACTCTAAAAATAAATAGAAGTTGGCACGATGGGCACAGAGACAGAGGCTGAGTGGCAACATTATATGGCTCTCAATATACTGTGTTCAGCTTTCCATTGTCATGAAGAAGAGCTGGCACCACTTCCAACCTGTTCCAGGACAACAGGTTGGTAGTATTTTCAACAGAGCAGTTTTATCTCCTTAATATTTTAAAAACAACACACTCTGAGGTGATGCGTTACATATGTAACTGAACACTATACATCTAAATGGTAAATCTGTCCACTGAGCGTTGAAGCAGCTCCGCTCTAGTGAGCTACTGTTTTTTGGTCACTCTATATATTAAAAAAAGTGTCATTAGTTGAAGCCTTACTCGAGTGCCAACTGGAAACATTCAAATGTACAGCATACACAAAATAAACTGTTAGATTTGGAAATATTCACTGGTTGTGAGTGTCACTAGCAGCCCCTTCTAGCTTACTGCCAACTGGGTTTAGTATAAGCTGCCATAGCACATAAGCTCATGAGCACAGAGAAAGAAAAAAAAACACCTACGCTAATTAACCAAGCTAACTGTTTGGAAGCGACGTCCAACACCAACCGATAGTAGTGATAGAAATACTTCTACATGTGTCCAGTCAAATAACACAAATCTATACTGTGGCAGTTGTCAGCGCCCCTCAGTGTACAATTAGATACTGAGTGTTTTTACATGGCAGACCAGATGTAAAGTGAGCAGACAGACAGACAGGCAGAAGCAGAAGCAGAAGCAGAACATTTAGGAAATAGATTGCCGATATGTAAAACGATGGGTAGGTTGTGGGTCATGTGATATTAAACAACATTTGAATAACATTTGAGTTATCATTTTCCTTGTTAGATAAAGGGATGTCATCATATTGTCCTCAAAGAGCTACTGCTTTTTATCTGTGTACCTGCAACTCTTAGGACTTTACCTCAACCTGACAGAAAATATGATTAGTGCTGACATTGCATATACAGTAGCTTTAACCACAAGGCAACCACATTTTGACATTTTGGTTAAAGGTGCACCAAAAAAGCCTCCTTTTTTGTTGACCTGGAGGTACAACAAGAAATGAATATTTCAAAGTATCCATGAACAAAGTTGACTGGCAGTTTTGGTCTACGTCACGTTAACAACAAAGTCAAACGTACTGTAGGGGACTGAGAGATTGTGTTGTGAGTGTTCCCACATTTAATGCACAGTATTAACCAAATGAGGGGCCTGCTGTGTGACTAAGTGGAACTGGCTGAACCTCTGTAGCATGATATCACTTACTGTTGCACACACTGCATATTTTTTGCCAGGAACTAAATGGTTTTGTCTTACCAATGGCAACGAGATTGCACTTTAATAATGAGCAAAGCTTAATGCATTGCAGTCAAGCGACTAAGATGTGAATCTAGAGGCGGAGGCACGCCTTCATTTGCTGACTTGCTGTTTAGGCAGCAGAGGGAGGCTTTAGGCTTCGGCTGCAAGAAATGATTGAGTGTGTGTTTGTGAATCTCATTCAGACTAATTACCACAGTTGTGTAACCGGTGAGGTTTCCTGCAAAGTCACTCAATTACACTTGATAAAATAAAAGATGTCAGCTAATGCACATTGCTGACAATGTTTTGTGACATTTTTCCTTTAGTTTTATGGATGACCAGGTCAGTGCGGCCCTTCATCTAGTGCCAAGTGTCTGTCTTGATATGAGACCGACACACAGGAAGTGTCATTGACGAGATTTAACCCTAATGTTACAAGGCTGGAGTGTGGTTATGTCAGTACAAGGTTATCAGGGAGCACGTATTCAATTTGAGATTTTCCACTGAATACGTTGAATGGCTCACACTCTGCCATTCTTAACACTGAAAGAAGCTTGAAAGGAAACCGAGCTGGAAACGTGTTCTTGGCAGACTGTAGTGAAAAGTTTAAGTGTATGATTTGAATTTATAAGCAGTATTCTCATTAATCATATGTGCAGAATTTTTTCAAGTTAATGATTGAGGCTATAACATAACCAATGGATATTTTAAAATTCCATCTCTAAATACATCTGACCTTTTTCATGTTTGCAGATTTTTACAACTACAATCTACTACAATGTGCCATAAGTCTGTTCACAGTGTTGTAACTGTAAACAGGCAGGGAAATCTGAAATAGCTGACCTGGCCTCACCTACACTGACTCATTGAGTGGGAATGCCCAGAATTTGGACATTTTCTTGTTGTCTGGCAAAATACAGATACGTTTCAATTTTCAAAGACCAGAAAGACAGTTTAAGTAATGTAACTTGTATACATAATATGTCTATGAGGAAAGTAGGGTGGGCTGTCATCTTAGAGCTGTAACGTGCACGTATCAGTCAAAGATTTTCTTAAAACCAAAATGTTCCACTCACCCACAAAGTTCAAGATGGAAATGGAGAAAAAGTGAAGCTTTCTTGTATGTGGGGAATTCTCTACGACTAATTAAATCCAGGGGAGGCCAGTGCAGAAAGAGTCTGTGCCAGACTGTTTTATTATGGGTCCCGGTGGCACATTTAATCTAAAGCGACATCGCTCATGCAATAAACCAGGGCTGCTTATAAAAAAGAGCGTTCGAAAGCGTAAAGTCTTTAAATGGTGTTACTTCTTTGTCACCTGATAACATGTCCCACATTGTGCCACTCACAGCCATCTAAACATCCAACCATCAACCTCATCGCATCATCCCCTAAACATCAGAATTACACCAGCGAGTATTTGACCAATCAACTATCAAAGTGTAGAAACAGTACATTACCACTGACCTGGTTCACAGGTCACAAACCACTTGCGTAATAAAAAGAAAGGATAGGAGCATACTATACTTTTTGTACTTATACCTATAATACTGTATTGTATTAGAAGACTAAATGAACATTAAACACTTTCTGTCTTATTGAGAATCCCTTATATGTGGCGAGTTATCGCAGTTCAACCGGTCAGCGCAAGTTTAAGGTCACAACAGAAGAAGAGATTAGATAATAGTTAGAGAGGAAAAAGAGAGTTAAGAGGGAGGCAGGCAATGCATGCAAATATGAAGGAAGTTTTTGGCCACGTGGGCCTGATTCTAATGGATAAGGGACAGGGTGTTTGTAGTGGGGAGAGATGAGGGAAAACTAACTGGCATGCCAGGTTAGACTGGTACAGTAAGACCGTCAGTGAGGAGTAAGGGAGAGAAGGAAGTAAGGAGGAGGAAGGGGCTTCTGTGGTAAAAAAGGAGAGGTCAGAAGAGCTTAGTAAAATAGTTTGGTTTTTGGTCGAGCTATGAGGAAGACAGACTGCGTCAGAAGAGAAAGGAACGGGGACACTGATCAATGTCAAATCCATCCACTGTAACATTAGCATTCCTCTCCACTCCATCCTCCCTCCACTCTGCCATCTCTCTCTCACTCTCTCTCTCTCTCTCTCTCTGTTTTCCTGATTGTGGTTCTTTCATTCCCCCTATCTAGGCATTGTCCAGGTAGACTCCATGCTCGTCCAATCTCACATCGTGCTGCTCTCTGATTGGCTTGGGAGCGTGGTCAATGTGATAGTGTAACGGAGCATTTCAGAGAAGATACGAAAATGACACACAGCACTTTGGTAAACAAGCGCCTCTTTCCTCCCCTCCTTTTTGATTTAATTTAAAAAGGCGAGATTGAGAGGTAAACATAGAAACCTGCATGCTGTTTCCATGTTTACCAGAGAATGGGACAAAGGAGTTTGAGGAAATTCAGTTATGAAAGTTAAAAAAAAGGAAACTGGAGACACTGCTTTCAGCTGGAAACAAACTCCATCCTCACTGGTGTCTCCATTTAAGAAACAGTTACAGTATGACCGTTGTCCTTGTTTTGAACTTGTTATTAAACGACAGGAAAATCATGTTCTTCTACACACTCACTACCAAGACTAAGTTTATTTACTAATCTTAAAAAAAAAATTAAAGCCAGGGACGATTCTTTATAGTAGAATCAACAAGTGTCTGTGGGAAAACACTGTCCTATTAATTTTATGAAGAAAGACACATAATGGGATGGTAATGTGTAAACACGAAGAAGGGAAAGGCTCTTGGTTCTTTGCCAATCTTTGATAGTTGCTGTGAAAAGGCCATATTTTGTGAAATATAAATCTATAACAATTGCATAAAGGGAGGGAGAGAAAGGATAAGAAGAGACAAATTGCCCTCTGGCAGACGCATGAAGGTGACTTGAAGGAGCAGCTCCATTTTAGCACAGATTTCCTCCTCTTCCTCCTTCAGTCCCTGCTTGCCAAACACAGGCAACAGTTTGCGAAGAGACGCTTGATTCAAAGTGCTGTTCTCCACTGAACCAAAATTGCTATGAACCAACAGCAGGATTGTAAAGTTTAGCATGAGACGTACTGCTGTGAATAGAATATATATTAACAGCACTATTATACGTTCGTAGTACAACACAGTACTGTGATCAAACAGCAGGATCAGCTTTAACAAGGGATTATAACAGATTTGAGGTTGATCCATCAAAAGGGTGCGAAGAATGGCCTCACTCTTTTTTGTTTATTTGTAACCTGCTCATATTTTAACTATTTGTGACCTTGAATGTCTTGTATCTATAACACCAAAGGGTTAGGCCATCACGTAGAGTCTGTATTTTTCTTGTCCGAACTTCCCTAACTCTATTCTCATTTGCTTGACGTGGATTCTGGTTTCTAGATCTTTCTGAATCCATGAAGGCCTGAGTGATACCCAAGTTGTCAATCGACCCACTGTTGGTACTGTGTCCCCTTAGGAGATTTACCTCCTTTCTGGAAGCATGATTCATTTGGGAAATAGGTAAAGTCAGTTCCCAGTCTCCCTGCACAGATTCAGACTAAACTACAGTAGAGGTCCCTACGATTGTGTTATTTACCACGGTTATATTATTTATGTTATTATTATTATTTTATAATATCTTCTATTTATATTTAAAAATGGTCATATTACAGTATAATAGTTATATTAAGTTGATAGTTATACAGTGAAATATGTGGTCAACACATTTAAGAAGAAAATTCATAAATACCAACATCGAAGTGCTGCCAAACATACGTTTGTGTCATTTATAATATTCAGATTTTTATCATAAATAAGATTTTAATATAGAAAAAACCTACATAGCAAACTGTTGACTATATGATTAATAGCAAATTGTTGTCTAAGTATACAACCCTGCTGTCAGCCTTTATTGTTGTATTTAAGGAGAACAGTACAAAGCCGCTGCGATGCTGGTTTTCTCAGCATTAGGACGTTGCCACTTTCATGCCAACTAGAGGGCCAACCTCGTCCTCTTCTGTCATAGTGATTTTAGAATGGATCGTTGGGTAATTCTTTTGGAGGAGCTGCCGCTTTTGCCTCCTATCCCCCCCCCCCCCCCATATCCCAACCCCAACCCTTCAGGACAGCAGTGGCGCCAGCTCAGTGCAAAAATGGTACGTTGGTTTTTCCACGGCTAGAGACGAGGACTCACATGGTATCCCTACGGAGCAGCATAGTGGGGAAATAGAAAGTACAACAAAACATTATACAAACACACACATGCACGCGCATACGCTCCCACATGTACTTACACTTACCTATACCAACACTACTAGCACTAACCCAAACACACACACACACACACACACACACACACACGTGTTCCACTCTGCCTATCACCAGTCATTCCAAGGTTCTGTTATTTTTACTCATTGACACCAACATATTGTTGAAATATTGCAAAGTGCCAAAAGTTCATTATGGCCATCATTTTTTTTTTTGGATGAATGAAATATAAGAAATTCCTGTTCTATGTAACGAGGCACTTAAGATAAAGTGATAGCAATAAAGTCTGTTTTATGTTTGGTTCTAATGCTGGTAATAATGGAGAAATAGCGACGCGACGATCGTGAACAACTGGTCTCCGCAAAGACAATACTGGTGGTATTGAAATTAGCCAAGTGTCAGAGTGAGCGATAGCAAATATCAAGACTGCGAGTTACAGTGGAGGTTGACCAGCACCTGTCAAACATTTAGGTGATGCTGAGGGTCTGACAGGGTCAAGGGTTACATGTGCTGGGGAGGATTCTGTTAGTGAGTTAATTTGGGTGAGTGGGGGAGAGTTAGAAGAGAGGAACAGGAAAGAAAGGGAGAAGAGTTTCTAGGTAAACCAGCTGCAGGATCACACACAGGGTGTGTTCACACTTGTCGTGTTTGGTGATGCTCTCTTTGGCATCTGTAACTGACACCAAACAACCCAAACTGTAAACCTCCAGGGGTGGCTGGCCTCAGGACTGTTCCAGGTGAACCTGAGCTTCTCCAAGCTGTTTAACGCCTAAACTACTGCAAGAACTCCTGCTCTGCTACACACTAACCACAACTGGGAAAATGACTCAGTGCTCCAAGCCTATACTGCTAGGGGAGCTACCATGGTGCTGTCGTCTGAGGTTGTTCATTTTCTTTCCTTGACTGTGAATATATACATAAAATGACTTATTTCCTTCTCATTATAATGCTTCCCTCTTACGTTCTTCTAGTTCTTATCCCATCTTTTCTCTCATTGGCTCAATTAATTCAAAATTGTATTAAAAAAAAAAATCTAAATCTGCTTCATTCATTTTGGCTAATCTAGAAAGACCTATAGTGTCAAAAACGTGTAAGAGTAAATTATTTCTTTGGTACAGTGCTCTTTTGTCTGGACTTAATCACACCAACTGCAAGTGTGAACACACCCTCTGCATCAGTGATCGGATCTTTACTAAAAAACTGAGAGCAAACACTGGGCCAAAGCCGAATGTTAGCAGTGTGGTACTCTTGGTACTGTAGGTCTGACAAGAACTGTTCCAGTAAATCCTTCTCTCTCAAGACACCCTTTATAATTCCCTTCCTCCACTCCAGTTATGCAAAGATGACTTTAAAACATCAAAGCTGGCATTAATGTCTTATTTCCCTATGCAAATGAAAAATCAGAAGGAAAAAAAAAAGGCAGACTCTTTCATTTTTAGCGCGAATCACTTGCGCCCCCTTGAGACAAAGCCCAATGAACAGACTGGGGGAAAAAAGAGGTTGGGGAACCCTGGAGGCTGTGTTGCATTACCAAAACAAACCACTAAGCAAACAAACAATTAAATGCTCATGAATTATGGACGAGCCATCGAAAATAGCAGTAAAACCGATGAATGGGAAGTAGCAAAACGGTTGCTGAGCTGATGAAATGTAGATCAGGGTGTGTTTAAACACACACAGTATCTGTGTGGACCTGTCTGTGCTTGTGATTTATCCTAATGATCGCACACGTTCCAGTGGACCAGTACCATAAAAAAAAATCAAACTGAGAGGTGTGTGAGGAAAGAACAGGAAGTAGCGATAAAGGTGTTTACTAATCCACCGGGCGTGACTTGCTCCATTATTGAGAACCCCCCGTTTACCTTTCGCAGACTCGTACAGTCCATGCAGCAATGATCCAGGAGGATATACTGAACACCAGCAGAACAGTTCCTGGACAGATGGTCATGAGGGTCTTCATGACAAAGCGTGTGTTGAAGTTGATCTTGTTTAGAGCGCCGATGCTGCGAGACGAAGCGTCTGTAAACAGCTTGCTGTGTAGCAACATGACCCTGCCGATGAGGTAGAGTCTTAGGAACATGGGGATGGAGAGAATGATGTCCACGTCGGCATTAGCCACCGACGGCGTGTAGGTAAAAGCCAGCCGTGCCGTCCAGGTAAAGACGTACTGGCCTGGTATAGGATGGATGGCACACACCAACAGCTCTAACACAATGAAGAAGATCCGCTCATACGTCATGGCTATCCTCCAGTCGTCCGCACCGTTGTCAACCATAAACAGCTGCACAGAAAAACAGGGGTAGTGTATCAAGGGTGTGTATAAGTCATGGTTTAGGATTTTCACACAAGCTCAGGGCTGAGCATAGATATTTACACTGATGAATGATGATAAACAGGACACATACACAGCACAAATGTCAACAAACACATGTCTCATTCATTGAGCACGGGGCAAGTAAATCGGTCAAGGTCACTCAATGTGGTGAATGAGTCATCCACATTGTGTTGTGACATTATATTATGGCAAAATGTTGAAAAGGCTGGTGTGCAGCAAAAAGGGAAACAGAGAGCACAGAGAAAGAAGAAATGATGAAGGAAGGAAAGAAGGGTTTCTTATGCCCATCAGTCATGTCAAAGACATTCAGATTACATGTAAATTGGTCAAGGTCACTCAGTCTAGTGTGGGTTGTTCCCTGTTTTGTCGCGCTGCATGTGGCAAAATGTTGAAGAGTTTCCAAGTTTAGCACCTGCCCTACCCAGTCATATCACACTGTGAACTGCTCAACACACGGGCATAAGGAAAAGAGAAAGTAGGTAGGGAACGATGACTAAAGAAAGGAATTTGTATCATCACATTTTTTTAATTAAAAAAACCAAAGTTATAAATATATATATATAAATATATATATTTATATGAGTTGACTCACCTGGATTTCCCGGGCATGGTACATTATTATAAGAGCAAGCAATATAACAGTGGAAAGGCTGATAAGGCATTTCAGTGCAAATGAGTATGGTGATTCCTACAGTGGGAAAAAAGAAAAGAATTTTAGTTAACGGCTCAATAAACAGTTCATTTTAATAAGTTTCTATATTGCTGTATTTGTAAGGGATTTCCAGCATACTGTACTTTGATGGCCTGAACTGAAGGCAGTACTGTGGTCTCAATAAACAGTTCATTTTAATACGTTTCTATATTGCTGTATTTCTAAGGGATTTCCAGCATACTGTACTTCAATGGCCTGAACTGAAGGCAGTACTGTGGTTCTTAATCGCATTTATTTTCTAGAGTTAGTTGTTAATCAAGAAAGTCAAATAATACAGTGGTTTAGGATTATGTGTAGTGTTTTTAATTGTATTTTTTAAAATTTATATAATAATGTTTGATAAATTACTAGACATTTCTGGCAACATCACTTGGATTCCAAAGCGACCCCACGTGAGGTCGCGACCCCAAGGTTGAAAAACACTAGTATTGTACAATGTGTTTTTGCGCAATTTTTTTTTTAAAAGTCAGTTCATTAATAATTTAATAATTACTAGCATTATGTCTCAGAAAAATCACTGCTCTACATGGAAGTGTTTTCATGTCAAAATTCAGTGCACACAAAAATACATGTAAACAGAAAGCACACACAGTTAGGACGTCTGAGTACACACTACTGTACTCGTGGCCCCCGTCGGCCTACTGTACCCGTACAAGAGCACATGATGTGCTATTACACACTGACTGTGCAGTCAGGATGTTGCTAAACAATGCAGCTGCAGGTGTAGGTGCAGCCTGATATTATCTGCGCCCGCTGTTTGCCTCCATCCAAACTACCAATTAATCAAAGCCCGGCGCTAACAGGGGGGACTTTCCATTTAATGGTAGGTGCAGAAAAGGCAAGGCTAGCATTAGCAGGGAGGCCACCACAGTGAGTGCTGAGCGCTCGTGATAAATAGGCCAGCTGGATGTTAATGTGTGTGTGCGTGTGTGTACATGGAGGCCATAGATCTAGGAAATGAGAACCTGTAGTACTCGACTCTCCCCCTTTTTGCTGGTAAAATGCCATTTGATAAATCAACTTAACAACCATGATGTAAAAGTGCCGCTCTGCAGCCAGCTAACGATCATAGGGTTGTTATTATAATAACGGCACCAACAACAAATGACAAAAACAACAAGTGGAAATATCACTCATAATTGTCAGCGCGTTGACGGTGAGAGCTGCTTCGTATTTCTCCGTCCTTCACTGGTCCATATTCCGGGGCGTATTTTTAGCTATCAACTAGATTGCTTTGCCCTTTTGGGTCGGCAACATGTTTGCAAGACATTCTAATGTCTGACATTGTTTTGAGAAGTCCCCGGTGGAATAACATTAAGTAAACCAATTAATCCAGCTGCCGGAGGTTCAAGGATTCTTTTTTCCTTCTCTGTGCCTGCTGCCTATCAACGCGTTTCCTCCTTCAGGACATAAAAAAAAATCTAGGCAGAGCCTCGAGTGTCTGGCGTGTGATGTGACCGTTCACAGCTCACGGTACTTGTGTGATATGACCTGCCATCTGTGTGCCACTCAGAGATGGAAGGTCATTTCCATTTCGTCTGAGGTCGGCTTGATGAATGGACTTAGGCTCAGTCACTAACAGTCAGAGACAAACCTATTGACTTTCTTAAAACCCCATCAATCATCCTCCAGATTACTGCACTGACTTAATAGCGTGCAGACACACATACACATGCGCTGGATCAAATGGAAAGGAAATATTATCTTGTTAATTACAAAATAATTGAACCTTAATATCTTAAATGCTTGTACTGATAGTGATCTACGACCATCAATGAAAGTGAAAGTGGACTACTGGTCGTTGTGACACAACGGAATGTGACCTCTGCTTTTTACCTGTCTCCAAAGTGAACAGAGGGCAGCTTAATAATAATAATAATAATAATAATAATATCATATGGCATATGATTTATATAGGAAAAAATATTTTCCCCTCATGCACAGCCTACCTTACTGTAAACTCCCCAGGACAGTTCCGTTTCTGTCACCATGACAACAATTCCAAACATCCCAAAGATAAGTGCGTAGTCGCTAAGCCTCTTCCGCTTCTCAAACAGCGCTCTCCGGTGGCCGAGCTTGTAGCCAATGTCCCTATTCTTCTTCTGCGGCGCTCTGCCTCTGCCACGCCCACTGCCTTCCCTGACTAGATTCTCGTTGGACGTCTTGCTGGGGTCTTCGCCGCCGTTGCCCTTGGACACCACCACCTCCAGGCCGGAGCTGTGCAGGGTCTGCAAGGGCTGAGTCTCCGAGTCGAGGTCTGCAAGGTTGCGGCGAGACGAGGATGCCAGGCTGCCAACTAGTGGTCTCACCACGCCGCCATTGTACTTGCAGGTGTTCATGGCTATCTGAGGGAGTCGCCCGCTGCTCTCGGAGAGGGAGGGCTTGGATCCAGCATGGCTCAGCTTCTTCTGCTCAGTTGTGGCCTACAAACAGAGAGATGGGGCAGAGATGAGTGATTAACACAAATACTATCAAAACAAAAATGTTGTGGAAGCTCCGAGTACAGTGAAGAGCCAAACACACAAATGGACTTTAAATAGAGCCTCAATGTGGGAGTTTGTTTCTTCCATGGCTGTGGCTCTGAAGAGGGCACAGAGATGGAAGGCAAAACAACTTTGGTTATAAAAGCAGACAGATTTAGTGCTCAGCAGGACATGTGGTCGACACACAGTGTCAACCACAAAATATCAACAGTTCCTCTCCACGAGTCCTTTTCCAAGGTCCTTCAGAACCACAGCAGAGAGTCCGTTTCACTGTTACACGCTACAAGGGATTTACTAAAGCTGACAGTTTATATAATCTTTTTTTTTAATCATGCTGAAAGTTTGTTTTAGAAATAACAAACTTAAATTCAGTGCAGTTAGGTGGCTCTGAACAAAACGTCCACCTTTTATATACCGTAGAACCTCACGACAAATGTTCTCGTGTTCTCACGTTGTGTTGGACTGTACGGTTCATGAGTGTAGGCTTTCACTTTAAAGAAAATCTTTAGAAGTGGATGGTTTAAAAACAACTGAATAATGGATTGGTCCACAGTATAAATAAAACCATCTATCGAATAAAGGGCTCTACAAAGTGCAGAAAATTGAATCTGTGCACTGCACAAATTTAGATATGAATGATTAATGATCAGTGTGACCCTGTTTTCCTGTCAGAGAACCACTTTTCCCCTGCAGAGATGAGTGAGAGGCTTTTCATAAGACAGTGGAGGAGGGAAGAAAAAAACACAGGCGTGTCACAGGGACCTAATGTGAGAATCACACCATATTTAAGTGAAAACAAGTGGAAACAGTTATTTCTGATGTAAAGGATGTAAATATGAAGTCATTTGTAGCTGTTGGCCTGTTAGAGAACATGACTTTTGACTGACAATGACTTTTTATTGCCTAAAGGACAATTTATCAATAACTTATTAATTTCTTTTCTTGTTACTAGGGTTGTCAAACCAACGGCCCGGAGGCCCATTTTGGCCCATTTTGGCTGGTGACATCTGCTCCTGAGGTATGTTTGTTTTCAGTCATAAATAACTGAAAACAAACATACCTCATAAACCCATTTATTTATTTTGAAATAAATGGCTTTTTGTATTGATCACGATCCCCCAGGGTGAAAAACACTTAAGCAGAGAAAATATCTATTCCACAATTGGTCATTTCTTATCAATTCCTACCCCTCCTCCCTGCCTCTAGTTGGCAGTAACTAACAAAACATTGTTCCTGTAAAGAAACAGAAATGTCTTCCATACAGATCCTGCAGAGTCGTGGCCTCTAGCATGGATTTGCCTGTCCATCTCCTTCCCCTTCAGACTGGAGCAGATTATACTAATGGGCTATGAGAACATCACATCCTAGAAACATGTCAAGGTGCATGATAACACATGCTGCTCCCTTATTAGCCTCCACAGAGCATGGCTAATGTCTGTAAATGTGCAGGTGGGAATAAAGAGGAGTTGGCCCTAATGGAAGATTTACCAACTCCTGGTCCCGTGATGCTATCATCTAAAACATATTGTGTCTCCATGAGAACACGACTAAAGGTTAAGGATTAGTGCGGCCCATCGTGTTTCTAATCCCCTTTTCTCTTTTAAATTGCTTTTTAATCTCTGCCATTAGGAGACCTCTACACTTTTGAAGACCGCTGTCTGTGAATTTTCAATTTAACTGGACAAGAAATACTTAACCAAAAGGATACCGGCATTGAAATTAGCGGCTTACCGAGAACAGAAGTTATGCAAACTAAGCAAATAGGAAAACGTGCAGATTTCTAAGTTCCAACAAAAACAAACGTGAGAGCGTAGTAGAGGTTTGTCCCGATTCCTGACACTTCTTGACATTTTCTATATCAATATATAAATAATCTCATCATTTGGATTAGTCACGATTAAAAATAGACTTGAAACCTATGATTTACCTCAATGAATCAGGTTTGATCATGATTAACTCACTGACAACCATGTTGTGTGTGTGTGTGTGTGTGTGTGTGTGTGTGTAGACCTGTCACTGATATTCCCAACCTGTAAAGTTTGCTGCTCACGCCGTTTGAGAAGCTTTTTTAAGAAGTTCCCGTTTTTCAGGTTGATTTATTTTAAAATGTGTTGAATCTGCAGCAACGGAACTTTATCTTTATTCCTGCGAGTGTCACAGCGTCATGTCATTCATTTTCAAAGGCGAACATCCTGCTTTTGTGTAGGAAATAAATAATTCCGTATTATTTTTAAACTCCGTCAAACTCGGTGACTTTGACAGGCTTGATGTGCAAATACAGGTCATGGGCTGAGAAGAAAGACGAGACGAGGGAATCAGACGAAGGCTGCCCGGAATCGGGAAAAAAAAAGTTGGTCGTATTGTTGTCAGTAATGCAGCGTTTCAGATTGTACTTTTCTAACAACCTTAAGCCATTCAACATGACTTATATTGACTACATTTAAAACATGTTTTGTTTTGTTTTTGTACTCGTTCAGTCAGTGTCCAACCATCATATTTTTCCTGCACAGACTGATGAATGATTTTCTGCGCAGGATCCTTGAAAAAGTAGACCCTGTTTTCAGCCCTAAGTTGGTTTCCAATGACCAATTAGACGAGGATAAATCAGACTTCTGTAGCCATGTTTTGACATCCCTGGGGTAAAGTAGGAGGCTGATATGTAAACGGAGAAGAGTTGGACAGTGTGAATGACGATGACTGATGGAGGACACACAGAGTACTGCTGTTACATCCACATCTTTAGTTACCTGTGTCTGGTCATTACCCATCACTCAGTCAGGTCAGGACTGAGGAAACATCTGCACTAGTAGGTCTGTGCTAACTAGGGCTTTATAGTCATTTTATGAGAAATACTAATACCTCTCACATTTCCCTTTTTTTTACATACAGGAGGAAAGTGCTGTGCTAAAGCAGTGCTTCTCAAAGTGTGGGGCGGGCCCCACTGGTGAGGAACAGAGACATGTCAGGTGATTTTGCAACAAGTGAACTTCAGTCATAAATGAGGTAAAACGTAATGATTTTGGCCTGAACGAAGACAACAATCCAGCCGTCTGCTGGGTCCTTCCTTGGAGGTCATTCTTGTGTTTCCATGGGTTTGTGTGTGACGGCACACACACTATAGTGTATTGGATACAGACAGTTCAGCTGACAGTGTTGCCTGGGCCGGGGACGAGATAATCATAGATGTGTCCCCCAGCCCCGGCCCTGATCACTCCTTTACCACAGTTTGATGAGGACCCTGTGTTGCCTGGGCCTGTTGGCAGGATACAGGATACAGGGCCTTATGACTTTGACCTCGGTATTAATACTGGAATGGATTTGTTAAATTCACACCTTTCTCTATACAGACTAAAGAAACAGCTTCTGGAATATAACAACATAAAAAGTTGACTGTTTTTGCACTTGACTCTATAAATAAATAAATATTTTAAATGATTTATCTGGCTCTTATATTGAATATATTGTTGATTCTACAGAAGTGAGAAAAGGCATTGGCAAGACAACAAAGAACAAAACAAAACAAAACAAAAAACTACTGGCAATGTCATGCAACTGTATTTCTGCTTCTCCCCTCTTCTTTCTAACTTTTCCCTCCGACTTTGCAGCAGGACTCCTCATATCCCAAAGCTTCAAAGCGTTCAATCACTTACCGTGCACTCGCCCATTTAGCCAGCCACTCAAGCGTCCATTTTTTCATTTCCCCTGCAACCTGACTTAAACAGCACGGCGGAAGGGCATGGCAGGGCAACACTGGCCGTGTTGTCCCCCGGTGCCCTCACAGAGGAGACCCACAGTGAGGCCAGCTGTTCAGTCGCCCAACGGCTCTATTTCAGAATGAATAGCACGCCACATCCAGTTTCTATGAAATAGAGCCACATAATAAAATTGAAAAGCCTCAGTGCAGAACAGTTTAAATGAAGGGATCTCTCTCTCTCTCTCTCTCTCTCTCTCTCCCCCACCCCCGTCTCTCTGTTTTTCTCACTGGTCGTCTCCAACCTATTAGAAATCCCTCATTCTCTAGTCGTGTTTGGAGCTTCTCTGCAGCCGTGTAGAAGTTTGTGTGTGTGTTTGGATGGAAGAATGTGTCCATATGTGTGCCAGCACAACCAAATGAGCCCTGATCATGTGTTGGATTAAATGGGATATTGACTAAGACAGAGTGCAGCAGGAAACAAGCACGACTTGGAGTTGTTTTCTGGAAGAACCGAGTTTATGTGCAGTATTTGTTAACGGTGGACTGATGACGACAAACAGACAGGAGAGGGGGATCTGGAAAAAAAAATCAAATCTTGGAGCTAAAGAATAGGGAGTAGGGGGCACGGAGGATGGGAGTTGCGTAACAGACGAATGAAAGAGAGGAACAGTTCACTGTGGGTGTCTCTGTCAGCCCCTGTGGTGATGGAGAGCTGCAGGCTACGTTCTCCAGTTTGTCCCTGCACAAGAGACACTGTCACATTTCTCTGACAGGCCAGTGGGCACAAGGGCTTCTCTGTCTGTCCCTGAGCTGGGAGAGGGTCAGAACCCAGCACTGATAAAAACAAGAGCTCCATATGGAGCGAGGGAAATCCTCCTTTAGCAATTTTTGAGTTCCAGAATCATAACGGTAGCTAACAGTATGAAAACGGTGTTTTAAAAGGCTGGCTATCAACAACAGACAGTGACGAGATTCTTCTAAAACAGATGCATTGTGGGGGCCTCAACATGCATTACACTGTGTGAACTCGTGCTGTCAATGTAATGTGGTTTTATGAATGGATTTAACTAATAAAGGTGAAGAAACGTCAGTTATTAGACCTCAGAAAAAGAAAGCAAACCCTTGTTGTTAGGCTAAAGGTTAGCGATTGAGTTGCCCAATATAATGTATGGAAGTGGGTCACTATGTACTAAACATTCAGTTTAATGTGGCTTCATACATTGTGGACCTGGGTTAAAGTGACACA